AGGCCAGGTCTTCTGAGGCTCCATGATGGGTCTGGGCGCCAGCGATTGAGTTTGGCGTGGACCCCAGCGCTGACCCCGAGCTTGCTCTGGTAAGAAGGCAATAGTTGTTGTTTACATTTTGGTCATTTAGCAGATGCTCTTATCCAGAGTGACTTAGTCAAATGAACCAGAGTTACCAGCTGTATTATTGTTTCCTTGGCCTCAAACTCTGTGTGCCCCTCTACTCAGGCTCTGTGTGTGTCCATGAAGGAGCAGAGACCGAGGCAGGAGGGGGAGGAGGAGGCTCGCCGGGTGGCTGTTGCTTCTGCAGCCGATGTCACCACAGCGGACGGTAAGGAGAGGGAGGGTAGGGATAGATGTCTCTATAGTGAGTAGGTTTTGTATCCCTTTGTCTGATGTATTTTTTTATGCCTAACTATTCTCATTTCTAAAGTATGTAGGGTATAAAAGAAGAGAATACTGATGTTTGTACGGTATGATGGTTTAATTGACCTACTCGCTTGCTCTCTCTCTCAGAATCCGAGGAGGCCCTGCTAAAGGTGTCGGTGTCTCACCCTAAGACTGGTGCCGCTGCAGTGCTGCCTGACTGCAGCAATATGACTGAGGAGGAGCAGATTTCCCTGGCCAAAGAAGGTGGGTTAGAATCACCATCCACACTCATGCCTTCTGAATAGCACCCACTGACACACACACACTTGTTAGCTGTGTGGGTGATTTAAAAAGTGACCATAAGTCTTTTTTTGACCGTTTTGGTTCAAAGCTTGGGACCTACCAATGACCCGGACTGCCGTAGTTACATTTTACATTTACATTTTGCAGACGCTCTTATCCAGAGCGACTTACAGGAGCAATTAGGGTTAAATGCCTTGCTCAAGGGCACATCGACAGATTTATTCACCTAGTCGGCTCGGGGATTAGAACCAGCGACCTTTCGGTTACTGGCACAACGCTCTTAACCACTAAGCTACCTGCCGCCCCTAGTTCCACTGACGCACCGCAAACCAAAACTAAGGGACGGATGCGGCCACTTGCCATTGCCAGATACATAGAGTTTCCATACAGTGAGGGAAAAAAGTATTTGATCCCCAGCTGATTTTGTACATTTGCCCACTGACAAAGACATGATCAGTCTATAATTTTAATGGTAGTTTTATTTGAACAGTGAGAGACAGAATAACAACAAAAAAATTCAGAAAAACGCATGACAAAAATGTTATAAATTGATTTGCATTTTAATGACGGAAATAAGTATTTGACCCCTCTGCAAAACATGACTTAGTACTTGGTGGCAAAACCCTTGTTGGCAATCAGAGGTCAGACGTTTCTTGTAGTTGGCCACTAGGTTTGCACACATCTCAGGAGGGATTTTGTCCCACTCCTCTTTGCAGATCTTCTCCAAGTCATTAAGGTTTCGAGGCTGACGTTTGGCAACTCGAACCTTCAGCTCCCTCCACAGATTTTCTATGGGATTAAGGTCTGGAGACTGGCTAGGCCACTCCAGGACCTTAATGTGCTTCTTCTTGAGCCACTCCTTTGTTGCCTTGGCTGTGTGTTTTGGGTCATTGTCATGCTGGAATACCCATCCACGACCCATTTTCAATGCCCTGGCTGAGGGAAGGAGGTTCTCACCCAAGATTTGACGGTACATGGCCGTCCATCGTCCCTTTGATGCGGTGAAGTTGTCCTGTCCCCAAAGCATAATGTTTCCACCTCCATGTTTGACGGTGGGGATGGTGTTTTTGGGGTCATAGGCAGCATTCCTCCTCCTCCAAACACAGCGATTTGAGTTGATGCCAAAGAGCTCGATTTTGGTCTCATCTGACCACAACACTTTCACCCAGTTCTCCTCTGAATCACTCAGATGTTCATTGGCAAACTTCAGACGGGCCTGTATATGTGCTTTCTTGAGCAGGGGGACCTTGCGGGCGCTGCAGGATTTCAGTCCTTCACGGCGTAGTGTGTTACCAATTGTTTTCTTGGTGACTATGGTCCGAGCTGCCTTGAGATCATTGACAAGATCCTTCCGTGTAGTTCTGGGCTGATTCCTCACTGTTCTCATGATCATTGCAACTCCACGAGGTGAGATCTTGCATGGAGCCCCAGGCCGAGGGAGATTGACAGTTCTTTTGTGTTTCTTCCATTTGCGAATAATTGCACCAACTGTTGTCACCTTCTCACCAAGCTGCTTGGCGATGGTCTTGTAGTCCATTCCAGCCTTGTGTAGGTCTACAATCTTGTCCCTGACATCCTTGGAGAGCTCTTTGGTCTTGGCCATGGTGGAGTGTTTGGAATCTGATTGATTGATTGCTTCTGTGGACAGGTGTCTTTTATACAGGTAACAAACTGAGATTAGGAGCACTCCCTTTAAGAGTGTGCTCCTAATCTCAGCTCGTTACCTGTATAAAAGACACCTGGGAGCTAGAAATCTTTCTGATTGAGAGGGGGTCAAATACTTATTTTCCTCATTAAAATGCATATCAATTTATAACATTTTTGACATGCTTTTTTCTGGATTTTGTTGTTGTTATTCTGTCTCTCACTGTTCAAATAAACCTGCCATTAAAATTATAGACTGATCATTTCTTTGTCAGTGGGCAAACGTACAAAATCAGCAGGGGATCACTGTATGATATATGTTTTATTTGATTTTGACTCTCTCCCTCCACTCCCTACCAACCTGTCCCTGTGATGGCAATGGACATAGGTGCCCCCATAGACACTGAAACTGCCAAGGTAGGTAACTCACATGATCAATGAAATCAGGAACCATACAATTTGTCGTTCAATACAGTCATGTGTGGTATCGTTCAGCAAAAAAATCCCAGTTGCATTTTATATATAACACGCTCTCTCTTGATTGTGTATGATCTCTATCTCCCTTCCAATCAGAATCACCTTTATTTGCCAAGTACATTTACAGGTACCAGGAATTTGACCTGATGAAATGCTGACAACAATAAACATAATATGCAATCAGTGCCCTTATTAATGATGTACCTTGTGGCTCTTCCTCAGGAGGACGATGACTATGATGTGATTCAGGACCCAGAGTTCCTCCAGAGCGTTCTGGAGAACTTGCCAGGCGCCGACCCTAACAACGAGGCCATCCGAAACGCCATGGGTTCCCTGGCCTCCCAGACAGGCCCACCCAAGCCTGACAGCAAGAAGGACGAGGAGAAGAAGAAATGAGGCATGGGGACAAACAGATTGACGATACACATGGTGTGCGTCAGAAATGGCACCCTTTTCCCTAAATGGTGCACTACTTTTGACAGGGCTATGGTCTAAAGTAGTGCGCTATATAGGGAATAGGGTGCCATTTCAGATGAAACCATGGACAACCAGACAAAGACATGACACATATAGGGTAGATGACACTGACAGACTAACGCAAGATTACATACAGGACTGACGCTAATGCATGACATGACTTACTGATGAAGGACTGTCGACAACATCCACAAGAAACCCACAAGCAAACCAAACGGGGATGCCACCAGTCTTTACTGTCATGAAATTGGATATGATCTTTATATCTGCATAGAATCTCAAAATGGAATTTCCATCTTTTCCGGTTTCTCACTGATTTACCCCATCTTAACTGGCTGACTCGCTGACTGGCATTAAGTGGTATTTAATGACAGGACCCCAAGCTTGTAAACTAAACAGTATCCTCCTTTCATTTCTTCGTTTTTTCTATTGCAATAAAAAAGATGGATGAAGCTTGGTGGTATGCCTGGCTCTTTGATTGCTCGCCAGGTCCCCATGTCCCTCTCAACCCCATATAGCTAGAACAGGAAAGTTTAATAAGAGAGGTGTGTGTATGTGTGATCTGTGGCAAGAACTAACATATCTGGTTTTATTGTATACAAACTGTAGACACCAGTTTAGTGTCCCCATTTAGAAATGAACAAATTACATTTGTTCGTATGTGGCACCATTCCCTTGACAATTTAATTTGTAGCGTCGGCAGTAAAAAAATTAATTGCATCGATACAATGATCCGATAGGACCTCTTCATCATGTGACGGGAAGTAAAGGCTCTTCGTCTGGAGTGTGCAACGATAGTCGGGAATCACAGATCCAGGTAAACAATCAATGTGCAATATACCAGTCCCACCAATTGTCCGCAGTGACAATGATCGACCCATAAGATCCTTTCATTGACAATAGTGCATGGTTATTCGCCAGTAACCCGTTATGAATGGATGCAATGGCCTCCGCTAAAGGAACCTCGCACTGCTTGGGCTCAACGCAGCCAGCTAGCCTGGCTGAAATGATGAAGGGGAAGCCGAAAATAAACTCACAGCTGCAAGACGTTTGTGGTGTTAAATTATTCATCATTGTGAAACCATTGCAAGTTAATCCATATGTAAGGCATCTCAAAAGCGGCATTTAATGTCCACACTCAGTGAATTAATCTATTGAACAGAATTGCATTTCTTTCTTCGCTAGCTGTAGTAAGCTAGCTATGTTGTAGCTTTTACCTAGCTAGCATTAGCTAGTCGACATAATCGTAGCCAAGACGATCGGTCTGTGTCAGAAACTGTATTGTGTTCATGTTAGCTAACTAGGCAATATAGCCCCCCTCTCGCAATGTTTACTGTACAATACTTTGAGAAGCTGGCTAGTAATGTTCGTGTCGGCACAGTCGGGGCTACCACTGCTCGGTCAAAGAAATCCTGCTCTGTTGTCCATCGACATGGATCTGTGTTGCTAGCTTGCTTAGCTACTAACTAGCTAGCTAGTTACATTTACTGAACAGGAACATTTAAGGATAGCCAACTGGCTATCAATTTAGCAATTTCAGTACTGTTGCAGGTTTGTAAGCCAAGATGTCCTGCAACGTGCTGTTTTTATCTCCCTTTTTATTTAAAATGTGTATACATAATTTAACTACAATTGAGACAATGAGAAACACAGGGTGTTGTTATCTTACCATCATGTCACTCCTTATCTGTCCGCTTGGTGTACCCTGTCTTGCAGGATTAGGTCCCGGCATGGGGGACATGAAGACCCCAGATTTTGATGACCTGTTGGCAGCGTTTGACATTCCCGACATCGACGCTAAAGAGGCCATCCAGTCTGCTCCTGATGAGGCTGAGAGCTCACACGGGCCAGGCGGTGCTCCTCTGGGAAAGCCGGACGGTGGGGTTGGTGTAGGGCCGTCTCTGAGACCACCTAGCCCCCCAGACCCCCAGGCTGACACCCCTATTGTCAGCGTTATCGTAAAGAACCGTGTGCGACCCGACACCAACGATGGAGGGGATGGAGACACAGACCAGGACACTATGGACGGCATTGCTGGGGTCGCTGTGGGTCCACGGCTCGGTGCCTGTGCCCCAGGCATGGCGGAATCTGAACCACTCAACCTCAATGGGTTTGGGGCCTCTGGTGTGACCCTGCCCCTAACCCAGGTTCATGCCCAATCTAATGGGCAGACGTGGTCAGTGTGTACCCCCAAAACAGCATCAGAGGGCAGAGGATGCAGTGCTGGATCAAATAAATCTGCCAAACAGGTTGGCAATATATTCAACAGACTGAAGCCTCTTATGGCGCAGGGGTCGGGAGACCCTGTAGGGAGGGCTAGGAAGATGCAGCTCCTACAGCAGCAGCACCACCAGCAGCAAGAGACAGGCCAAGAAGGAGGAGATGAGGGCAAAGCTTCATTATCCTCCTCCTCCTCTGTCCCAGGAGTGTCAGTTGGACTGTCCTCTCCTTTCTTCCCACCTTCCAAGCCTCTCCCGTTCCCGCCATCCGCCCTCTCCTCACACCCGCTGCACTCATCTCAGCCGTTTAATGGGGCACCTAAAGCCGGCCCAGCATTATTCCGTCCCCGAGACTCAGAGGAGGATGATTCTGATCCGGACCTAGGGCCCCCGCTGATGATCCAGGAACCCCCTGACTCCCCCTCCCGCACCCCTCCCAAACTGACACGTCGTTTTAGGTCCCCTGCTGCCAGCTCTAACTCCACCCATCCCATGGCCTCATCGGCAGCTCACCCCAAACCAGGGGACACTCCCTCGGGCACTAGCGTGACCTCCTCAACCCCCCAGTCAGGCTCCACCAAGAGTCCACCACAGGAAGACAAACACCCAGAGCATGTTATAGAAGAGCGGGACTCTCCTGAAAGTCCTGAGCCAGAGATGCCCAAATCGGCAGCACCAGTAACTGCAAAGAGGTGCTCCAGCCCTGCAGTAGCCTCCACACCGCCCCCCTCAGACCTTCAGGAGCCTAAGGAGGAGATGGAGGGGAATGGAATAGAGAAGGCTATGGATGGCAAGGCAGATTTTGGAAAGGAAGAGGGTGCAAGAACAGGAGAGGAGAAAATGGAGGTGGATGATGGCAAGTCTAAACCTCCAACCACTGAAGGTGGCACCTCTACTCCAGGAGGGCCTGCAGCTCCTGCCCGGCCCCTCAAAGTGCGGATAAAGACCATCAAAACCTCCACTGGTGGAATCACCAGAACCGTTACCAGGGTCGCACCCAAAGCAGGTGCTGCCGGAGCCAAGGGTTTGGACCCCAGCAAAGCTCATCCAGGGGGGCACAAGGCCCCAGCCAACAGGGCTCAGAAACCGGACACTCCCTCTGGTCGTATGGTAGCCTCCCAGCCGCAGAAAGTAAAGAGCCTCAACACACTACCCGTGTCTACACTAGCAGCCAGTAGCGCTATGCTAGTCGCTGCAACCAAGGCTCAGAACAAGATGGCTGCCTCCTCGGACAAGGCCAAGGTATCTGCCACTGCTGTTAGCTTCACTAAATCTGCCACCCTGCCTGCCACTCCCTCTGTCGCCTCCTCTCCTAAATTCTCAGTAGCCACTGGTGGGATGTGCATACGTCCTGTCGGTGCTAAAACGGCTAACGGAGGCAGCACCAGCGTCCTAACCGGCACTCAACAGCCAAACAAGCCTGCCTCCATCGTGAACAGTACGGGAGCCGTCATCTCCCGCAGCCAGTCTAGCCTGGTGGAGGCCTTCAACAAGATCCTCAACAGCAAGAACCTGCTGCCCAGTTATAAACCCGACCTCTCGGCTCCTCCGCCCCCAGAGTGGGGGCTTCCTCTGCCTGCCACGGGCTACCGCTGTCTGGAATGTGGCGATGCCTTCGCCCTGGAGCGTAGCCTGGCCCGCCACTACGACAGGCGCTCGCTGCGCATCGAGGTGACCTGCAACCACTGTGCCAAGCGGCTGGCCTTCTTTAACAAGTGCAGCCTGCTGCTCCATGCCAGGGAGCACAAGGAACGCGGGCTGGTCATGCAGTGCTCTCACCTCGTCATGAGGCCCGTCACCGTGGAGCAGATGATTGGCCAGCAGGACACCACACCAATCGGTAAGGCGGGTCTTTCAGAAGAGTTTTTAGTGACAATGGCTGCGTCCCGTAGGGCTCTGGCCAAAGGTAGTGCAAAAAAGTTAAAGCCATTTAGGACGCATACAATGTGGCTTCATAAACAATGCTTTATTTCTGTCAGGATGTGGTCAATGTTATTGCGTGAAATACAAGAGAGGTGAGAGATACCATCATGCACCTGTAAATAAGTTCAATTCACCTCCATCTTCTTTGTGTTCTTGCTTCGCTTTCTTGCTTGGTTGACAAGGCATGCTCTCCCCTTCTTCAATCTCATCTCCTCCTCCAGTCTGCTCCCCCTCCACTATGTCCGGAGTCCCCGTCGTGTCGTCCAGCTCCAGCCCACTGAAGGACACACCGTCTCCCTCCGCAGCCCAGCCGAGACCGGTCCGCCGCGCGCTCCAGAGCCCCCAGGCATTGATGCCCCTCCCATGCAAGAAGGGCGAGGTGCTGCAGTACCACAACTTCAAGTGTTCCGAGTGCCAGGCCCAGTTCTCTGGCAAGGCTGAGCTGGTCGCCCACTTCCAGCAGATCAGAGCTACCCCCAACTCAGTGAGTCCTTTGATACAGAGCCTGAAGTATGGGTGTGCATTACTTACAGGCTAGTATCGAACTACTAGTGTCAAGCTTAGTCATGCATAATGACTGAATAAGGCAGTTTCCCAGACACCGATTTAAGCCTTGTCCTGGACTAAGAAACACTTAGAGGTTCTCCATTGAACATGCCTTTTAGTCCAGGATTAGGCTTAATCTGTGTCTGGGAAACCTCAATATGTTTAATGGCCTGCTTTACTTTATGTATTAGTCAATACTATTACATAATACTAGTGTTTACTATGAAAACAAGCCATTTGGAATGCCTCAATATGCTTTATTAACTCTCCCTCCCACTTCTAAGACCTGTGGGTGATGACTGTCTTATTACACAATACTAGTTTTAGTATTAGTAGAAGTTTTGCAGTATTAGAAGTAGTAGTGTATTCATAGTGTTATGCCGTAGTCAACTTTTAAAGCCTTTCTCCCTCTCCCCTCCCTACCCAAACATGTATGCTGTGCTCCACTCCCATGGTGCTGCTAATGTTTACTATGAAAACTAGTTATGATTAATGCCTCTGTGTGTACTATATGTCAATTGTTTAACCTGTTCCCTCATCTTCCTTCCCAGACCTGTACCCTGTGCTCCCCTCCAATGATGCTGCCTAACTGGTGCAGTGTGTCGGCTCACCAGAGGATTCATAAGCACCGGGCGCCCCACGTCTGTCCAGAGTGTGGGGGCATCGCCCGGCAGGCCAGCTTCCAGACCCACCTGGAGGAGGCCTGTCTACACTTCGCCCGCCGCATCGGATATAGGTGAAGAGATAGTGTCTGCACTGATAAGTCAGTAACAAATGTAATAGGTCTGCACACAAAAAGATGTCGCAAAAAGTATTTTCACTAGCTTATTCAGATGTTTCGGCTTAGCAGCCTTTTTCAGTGTGTAGGTACTCTGCACTAATAGGCAAACGTGCCACAAATACATGCAAGTCTACATACCACAAATTACTGCTTAAATGCAGCATTGTCAGGTGGATGTATGAGAGGGAGAGCGATGCCTACAGTCGTCAAATGCAAATATGCCTCTCACGCATATATAAAACATTGTTTGTGAAAGGACACTTTGGTGGTTGAAGATTCTTGCCGTAGTTGCATGACAATCAAGCCACCCAATTGTCAATGGACACTATATTAGCATAATTGACAACAGCGACTAAACCTATGTGTTTAACATTTTGTTTTTGTTCATATCTGTTCCCCAGGTGCTCCAGTTGCCAGGTGGTGTTCGGGGGTCTGAACTCCATCAAGTCCCACATCCAGACGGCCCACTGCGAGGTGTTCCACAAGTGCCCCAGCTGCCCCATGGCCTTCAAGTCTGCCCCCAGTGCACAAGGACACATCAGCACCCAGCACCCTACCCTCACCGGGGGACAGGCCAAGTAAGTGCCCCACAGTCACTGAACCATGTTATGTCTCTTTAGTTTTCAAGTCAAATCAAATTGTATTTGTCACATGCGCTGAATACAACAGGTGTAGACCTTACAGTGAAATGCTTACTTACAAGCCCTTAACCAACAATGCAGTTTTAAGAAAAATAAGTGTTAAGTAAACAATGGATAAGTAAAAAATAAAAGCAGTAAAATAACAATAAGAATAACAGCAGTGAGGCTATATACAGGGGGTACCGGTACAGAGTCAATGTGCGGGGGCACCGGTTAGTCAAGGTAATTGAGGTAATATGTACAGTTGAAGTCGGAAGTTTACATTAGCCAAATACATTTAAACTCTGTTTTTCACAATTCCTGACATTTAATCCAAGTAAGAATTCCCTCTTAGGTCAGTTAGGATCACCACTTTATTTTAAGAATGTGAAATGTCAGAATAATAGTAGAGAGAATTATTTATTTCAGCTTTTATTTATTTCATCACATTCCCAGTGGGTCAGAAGTTTACATACATTCAATTAGTATTTGGTAGCATTGCCTTTAAATTGTTTAACTTGGGTCAAACGTTTTGGGTAGCCTTCCACAAGCTTCCCACAATAAGTTGGGTGAATTTTGGCCCATTCCTCCTGACAGAGCTGGTTTAACTGAGTCAGGTTTGTAGGCCTCCTTGCTCACACATGCTTTTTCAGTTCTGCCCACAAATTTTCTATAGGATTGAGGTCAGGGCTTTATGGCCACTCCAAAACCTTGACTTTGTTGTCCTTAAGCCATTTTGCCACAACTTTGGAAGTATGCTTGGGGTCATTATCCATTTGTAAGACCCATTTGCTACCAAGCTTTAACTTCCTGACTGATGTCTTGAGATGTTGCTTCAATATATCCACATCATTTTCCTTCCTCATGATGCAATCTATTTTGTGAAGCGCACCAGTCCCTCCTGCAGAAAAGCACCCTCACAGCATGATGCTGCCACCCCTGTGCTTCACGGTTGGGATGGTGTTCTTCGGCTTGCAAGCCTACCCCCTTTTTCCTCCAAACATAACGATGGTCATTATGGCCAAACAGTTCTATTTTTGTTTCATCAGACCAGAGGACATTTCTCCAAAAGGTACGATCTTTGTCCCCATGTGCAGTTGCAAACCGTAGTCTGGCTTTTTTATGGCGGTTTTGGAGCAGTGGCTTCTTCCTTGCTGAGCGGCCATTCAGGTTATGTCGATATAGGACTCGTTTTACTGTGGATATAGATACTTTTGTACCGGTTTCCTCCAGCATCTTCACAAGGTCCTTTGCTGTTGTTCTGGGATTGATTTGCGCACGAAACTACGTTCATCTCTAGGAGACAGAACGCGTCTCCTTCCTGAGCGGTATGACGGCTGCGTGGTCCCATGGTGTTTATACTTGCGCACTATTGTTTGTACAGATGAACGGGGTACCTTCAGGCGTTTGGAAATTGCTCCCAAGGATGAACCAGACTTGTGGAGGTCTACACATTTTTTTCTGAGGTCTTGGCCGATGTCTTTGGATTTTCCCATGATGTCAAGCAAAGAGGCACTGAGTTTGAAGGTAGGCCTTGATATACATCCACAGGTACACCTCCAATTGACTCAAATGATGTCAATCAGAAGCTTCTAAAGCCATGACATCATTTTCTGCAATTTTCCAAACTGTTTAAAGGCACAGTCAACTTAGTGTATGTAAACTTCTGACCCACTGGAATTGTGATACAGTGAATTATCAGTGAAATAATCTGTCTAAACAATTGTAGAAGCTGACAATGCAAATAGTCCGGGTAGCCATTTGATTAGCTGTTCAGGAGTCTTATGGCTTGGGGGTAGAAGCTGTTAAGAAGCCTTTTGGACATAGACTTGGCTCTCCGGTACCGCTTGCCGTGCGGTAGCAGAGAGAACAGTCTATGACTAGGGTGGCTGGAGTCTTTGACAATTTTTAGGGCCTTCTTCTGACACCGCCTGGTATAGAGGTCCTGGATAGCAGGAAGCTTGGCCCCAGTACTGGGCTGTACTCACTACCCTCTGTAGTGCCTTTCGGTCGGAGGCCGAGCAGTTGCCATACCAGGCAGTGATGCAACCAGTCAGGATGCTCTCGATGGTGCAGCTGTAGAACTTTTTGAGGCTCTGAGGACCCATGCTAAAATCTTTTCAATCTCCTGTGGGGGAAGAGGCTTTGTCGCGCCCTCTTCACGTCTGTCAGTGACGTGGACACCAAGGAACTTGAAGCTCTCAACCTGCTCCACTACAGCCTGCTCCACTGTGTTTAGAGCAGTGTTTTCCAACCCTGAGGAACCAGAGGGGTGCACATTTTTGCCCTAGTGCTCTAGTACTAACACACTTAATACAACTGTGTTCATGTGTATTAAAACAAAAATTTGCATATTTTGGGTCCCCAGGACCAGGATTGGGAAACACTGGTTTAGTGTATTTTAAAGCACGTCTCTTGTCTCAGGTTTTGTCCAAATTTGAGTGCTGATAAAAACGCAACATTCACGCCACTATTTCCCTCTTTCTCTGTATTTCCAGAATGATCTACAAGTGTGTGATGTGCGATACAGTTTTTACCCAGAAACCGTTACTGTACATGCATTTCGACAACCACCTAGCCAAGCAGAAAGTGCATGTGTTCAAGTGTCCTGACTGCACCAAACTCTACGCGCAGAAAGGTTCCATGATGGAACACATAAAGGTTTGTTTAGTTACATTATAACTCACAGGGAAACATATGTTTGCAGTAAAGGATAGTGATATGTTAGTTGTTCAATCCCCTGATGGTAAATAGTCACTTCTATTTGCTCATTTGTCAGTGTTGTCTTCCATTCTCACTTCTCTCTTGTCTGATTTGTCATTCCTCTCTCACTTCCTCTTATACTCTTGTCCAGACTGCTCACAGAGGGCTGTCAGTCAAACAGGAGGGACAATCCGATGCCTCCGCCCCTGCCACAGCCCCCACCACCCCCTCCCTCCCCAAATCTAAGCCCTCTGCAAAAACAGACAACTCAGATGGGGAGGACTGGGGCCGAGACCAAGAAGAAGAAGAAGAAGAGGAGGAAGGAGAGGAAGAGGGGGATGAGGACTATGAGGAACCTGAGAATCAGTCTAGTTCTATTGAGGTAGGCAGTCATCGTGGGACCCCCTCAGAATGGAGCTGTCAGCAATGTCAGAAGAGCTTCACACAGAGCGACGACTACATCTCTCACATGAAAACAGAGCATGGAAAGGTAAGGCCATACAAATATAATTAATTGCATAACGGATGCCCCACTTCAGAGGAAAAAAATAGAAAAAAAATATTCATTTGATTCATGTGAATCAATTTTTTTAAACGATTATTTTTGACAAATTGAATGATTCGCTTCACTATTGTAGTAGTTGGGATTCGGTAAGAGCTCAGTGAATTGAATCATGGGAATCAAAATAATTTGTGAATCGCAAAAATTAAAAGGGATTTCTTTAGTAGCCCTCCTTTTGGATTATTTCGCTGTTAAACTTGTTTTGTAGATACTTTAAGTTGATTTGGGCATTGCAACTCAATAGATGCTAATCAGACTGCAGTAAACACTTCTAAGGTAAGATAAATCTGACTGAACTAGAATAGGTACATTTCCTGAAGACAGTGTGTGCTTGCTTCAGCTGTCTGAAAATAGTTGTATGATTACGGTAGTGGGAGATATGTTAAATGTAGAATTCAAGCTAAATAGTAGCTGAAGCAGTTCAATATAGTAAAAATATGTCTGATTACTTTAGTAGAATGCTATACACTGAGTGTACAAAACATTAGGAGCACATGTACTTTCCATTACATAGACTGACCAGGTGAAAGCTATGATCCCTTATTGATGTCACCTGTTAAATCCACTTAAATCAGTGTAGATGAAGGGGAGGAGAGAGAGGTTAAATAATCATTTTTAAGCCTTGAGACATGGATTGTGTACTGTATGTGTGCCATTCAGAGGGTGAATGAGCAAAACAAAAGTTAAGTGCCTTTGAATGGGGTATGGTATTAGGTGCCAGGCGCACCGATTTGTGCGTGTCAAGAACAGCAACGCTGCTGGGTAATTTCCGTGTGTATCAAGAATGGTGCACCACCCAAAGGACATCCAGCCAACTTGACACAACTGTGGGAAGCATTGGACTCAACATGAACCAGCATCCCTGTGGAATGCTTTCAACACCTTGAGTCCATGCCCTGACAAATTGAGGCTGTTCAGAGGGCAAAAGGGGGTGCAACTCAATATTAGGAAGGTGTTCCAAATGTTTTGTACACTCAGTGTAAATGATCAATTATGAAAAATGCCTCTGAAAAATTAACTGTGACTAATTCGGCTGGGATATGCTTTCAATGATGCTATCCAACACCTGACACCAATGTAGTTAATTAGGAGGGTACCCTGACTGGGACTCAAACCCTGGTCCTTGTGACTGTCGTTCCATAACCATTATACCAAAAGGCTAAAATCTCTTGCTGAGGTCACTAGGTGTTGTACCAAGGTTGCTTAGTATTTGTACAACTTGTTGATGTTTGTTTTTTTCGCTCGCTTGCGTCACTTTTCCGGAGAAAAAATCTGTTATGCAGTAAATCAAATTTGTATGGCCGAAGTGTAATGTCGGTGTCTGTGTACACACACACAGGGAGATTACAAAAGGACTCACCCTCTCTAATTTCCTTGTGTGTGTGAATCTGCCTCTGTAGGCTATGAAGAAGTTCCCGTGTCGTGTGTGTGAGACTTCCTTCTGCACCTCTTCCAGCCTGCGGCGCCATGTACGTGTCATCCACGAGGGCAACAAGAGACCTTTCCACTGCCAGTGAGTGAACCCCATACTCATCTACACATCCACAAAAGCACCATATTTGGTTCCCTGTAGCTCAGATGGTAGGGCATGGATAGTGGGTTCGATTCCCGGGACCACCCATACATTGAAAAAAGAAGATGCACGCATGACTAAGTCGCTTTGGGTAAATGGCATATATTATATTTGAAAACGTCTGTAAGAGTGGATGGGACAAGACAATTAGCAGGGACATTTTAGAATGTTATGTTCAGTCTAATATCAGCCTACCTAGGAAGTGTATAGCATCCTCAGAGCGTGTGTGTGTACTTGTGTGTTTGCAGATATTGCACAGAGGGCAAGCGGACCTTCAGTAGTCGGCTCATACTGGAGAAGCATATCCGGGTCCATCATCACGGGGTCAGAGCCACTGACGGACAGGTCAGTTAGAATCCATTCTTCTTTCCATCACATGGTGGGGGTACATTTCAGTTTGTCATAACTGGACAACTGTACTCGTTTCCTGTGTGCTCTCTGCAACTTTGGTCTGTAATGTTACCCATCGTGTGGTGACTTGGATCTGAATATGTTAAACCAAAAATCAAGATAATACGTTTTGATGGTCTCTCTTTTTCCCCATCACCGCTCTGTCCCCCTGCAGGGCCCTCAGACCAGGAAGCGTTCAGCACCGGGTAAGGGGCCAGGCAGCTCGTCTGAACCTGACGGGGAGGGGTGTCAACCAGGGGATGAGGAAGGGGGCGGCACGGACAGCGGAGAGGCCACAGAGGGGTGCGAGGAGGGCTGCAGTCCTGTGAAGAGAACTCGAGCATCGGCGCCTCCAGAGCCCGAGGAGGACGACAACGTGTTCCACTGCATGCCATGCGGCTTCGCCACGGAGGATGGCGCCGAGTTCCAGCGCCACATCCCGCAGCATCGCGCCGACGCCGCCTCCTTCCAGTGCCTGCAGTGTGGCGTGTGCTTTGCCTCGGCCGGCTCCCTGGGACGCCACCGTTTCATCACCCACCACGTAAGAGACCCCCAGGGGGAGTCCGACCGCAGGGCGCCCCGCATTCCCTCCTCCCCGGATGGCTCACCCTCCTCCCCCCAGGAGGGAGAGGACGGGAAGGGGAGTATGAGCTGCAGGGTGTGCAGGCGGCACTTCAACAGTGCCTCCGACCTTAACACCCACTTGAGGACCCACGGCATGGCCTTCATCACCGCCCACAAGACGGACAAGACCCAGTAGGGTGAAGTTGCCCCTAGATGCATTTCCCCCACTAATGGTTAAGGTTAGGATTGGGGGAGAGAAAGCTGATCCTAGATCTGTAACTCAGGGAAACTTCAGCCCAGAGCCGTACAAGCCCCAGTATGGAGAGGAGGGGTGAGGTCTCAGCGTGACGGACAGGCCTGGGAGATGAGGGGTTTTGACTTGGAATCATTCTTGGGGAGCTGAATTTGGATAAGAGCCGACCCAGATCTACTTCTGTGCTGTTTTGAGCCACCTGAGCTCTGTGTTTCTTTGTCACTAACTGTGCAGTCATACTCGAATGCTGAGCAGTGGACTGGACACGCATGGGGATGGGAGTTCTGATGGTCAAGACCACCTGATCATAGCATTTACATCAGCCATATGTGTCCATCAACTTTTCCATAACTGTGTACATTTATCTGCCTTTAATATTATTGTTTGTCTATCTTCATGTGAACTATACTATATTTTCTACATTTCCTTCTGTATTGTCTTTCTATCATTTGTACTGATATTCTTGTATTTTTTCACATTTGTCCATGTCTTTCTTACTAATTTCCTTGTCTAAGCCATGTGTCTTGAAAGGTATTCTGTCTTGCATTGTCAAACTCACATCCACTGTACAAAGAAAGCACTCTTGTTGGTCCTAGATCAGTTTCTATGGGTCCGTCTCTTTAGTGAGGGCTGGATGAAATCAGTAACTTTAAAAATAGGTATCTGAAACAAAAAAGGGAGTATTTGAAGAGTTTTAAACACTGATTCTAAATATTAATTACATTGTTCTATTTATATGAAACACATTATTGTTGTTTGTGTGAGTCATTTGCCACCAATCTTAAACCAAGATGAAATGGTAAAAGTAGTTTGAAATGGATGCCACAGACAGAGAAAGGTTCGATACACATTTCTGTAGGAGACAAGGTTACATAGATTATTGTAACCGGTCTTGTTTTGAGTGGTACATTGTGTCGTCAAAATTGTAGCTAGGACAAGAGAGATTTCACCTGTGGTGCACATGGGTGTATGTCGCGCTGTAAATACATATTATACACTAAAAGAAAGCTTTCGGGTCTTGTTATTTCTTTTGAAAATGTTAATTTAAGTATAGTATTTATACTTGTAACTGTATGTATATATATATGTATGTGTGTTTTTTTTAACCAATTTGAAACAAAAACAAATTGGATTTTTATGGGAGGTAGCTAGCTATATATTGTCACTCACAAATAAGCAGAGGGAAAGTGCGAGGGGTTGTATTGTGTTTTAATGTGTACAAACGTTTCTCTTTGGTATGATTGTTTTCTAACTGCAGAATCGGTGCTTGCTGTACCCCACTTTCTTGTGTATCTGTTTCAATAACCTCTTGTCACGTGAAGAAAGCCTATTATATTGTTTTGTTTTTATTTATATAGAGAAATGATTCCACAAGCATCGTTTTATTTTCCATTATGATTGTGGTCTGCTTGCTGAATTGCCATACACTTTTTGTGCAGTTTCAAAATAAATGTGTAAAGGAGAACTTTACTTCTGTCCAGTCTTTGAATAAGCTTTATAGAACTGTTTTGAGATAGGCAAGTTTACATATATTGGATTCTCCCCTTTCACATGATGGTCCCATCAAGTCTGTCCTTTAGGCAGTTTTTTTTCTTCTGGATGTACCCCCTCCAGCGCCACTGTAGTACGACTTAAGCAGTTTTTTGGGGTATCTTTACTATTTATATTTTTGACAACTTTTACCCCATACATTTTCCCTGACACCCAAAAGTACACGTTACATTTCGAATGCTTAGCAGGACAGGAAAATTGTCCAATTTGGCGCACTTCTCAAGAGAACATCCCTGGTCATCCCTACTGCCTCTGATCTGACGGACTCACTAAACACACATGCGTCGTTTGTAAATTATGTCCAAGTGTGCCCCTGGCTATCCTTAAAAAAACAAGAAAATGGTGCCATCTAGTTTGCGTAATAAGGAATGTGAAATGATTTATACTTTTACTTTTGATACTCAGCTATTACAATTTACTTTTGATGCTTAAGTATATTTAAAACCAAAATCTTTGATACTTTTACTCAAGGATTATTTTACTGGGTGACTTTCACTTTTACTTGAGTAATTTTCTATTAAGGAATCTTTACTTTTTCCACCACTGGATTCTAGTATTGTAGATTTTGATACTACATTTTGTCCTTATTCCCTTACCATAGTAATGCAGGCCTACGGTGGCAGCAGCCATAAAGGCCCCCAGTATCTGGAAGAAGACGTAGAAAGGTAGGCGTGTCCAAGGATGCCTGCCCAGAAAGCAGAGGCTGAGAGACACTGCATGGTTCAGGTGAGCACCTTTTGAGAGAACAGTACAACCACTATTTGATAATGTATCAATTATTTTGTCAAGATACAGATGGTTACTTTGCTCTGATAAAAAGGCTATAAGAATAGATTAAACTAGTATTTCCTTCCATCTGTACCACCAACTATAATCTCATCCACCCAGCCGGCTCTCTCTGTGTAGCAATTGAGCCTGGAGACAAGGTTATGCCAACTAGACCTTGTGGGCCATCTCCACAGCATTGTTGTTTTTGATGATTTCCAGCTTTTTCACAGTCTTTATATCCATTGTCTTGAACTGCAGGTCATTGGTTTCATTTATCTCAGAGTCTGGTAAGTGCCATTGGACGAAGACCAGGTAGAGCCCAGAGCCGAGCACTGCCCCCACCATTGGGGCCACGATGGGGACCCAAAACCAGTAGTTATAGCACCTGTAGGGTCAGAGAGAGTGAGGTTAGTTAGTGTAGATTAGGGAGGTTTTGCATTGTTTTGTTGAGCTCTAGACTGCACATAGTATGTATATTATATGTCAAATGTATTTGCACGTAAGAGGTGCTGAACCTCCATTTGAGTCCCTTGATCTAATGTTGCATTATCTAAATATCAATGTATAATAGTGAGTACTCTTCATTGCACGTCATTAAAATGTCTCACTACGTCTCCTCCATCTCCCTCCCCAAAGACACTCTTGTGTAATCTCTTGTGGACAGACGTATATGAATATATGTTACTTAATTGAGTAGCTGACATGAGATTTTGGTTCCGGGTTGCCGAGATGACTCACGTGAAGACCTCTGTACCCCATCCTGCAGTCAGGGTGAGGAGGCGTGGCCCCAGGTCCCGGGCAGGGTTGATCCCTCCCCCACAGTTTGAGGACATGGACTGGGAGATACCCATGAGAACCACGGCAGTGAGGGGGGGCACCAGGTCAGCGGATGCAGGCTTGTTCCGCCAGTCATCCAGGGGTAGAAAGCACAGCATGATCATGCCTGTGCCCACCATCTGAAGGAAACAACAGAAATGTATGAATTAGCTTTTGTGAACTACAAGTCCAATTACACTTTCAAATAGGTTTTATTTCCTGAGGGAACTAACTGTGTGTGGGGAAGGAATGGTAGATACAACAAGACACAACATAGTAAACTAAAAACATGTACAGTGTAAAGGATTAGAGATTAAGTTAGAGGTACAGATGTAGGATCTTAATTTGATCACTTGTTGCTGAGAATTTTCCTGAACCACAGGAAATGCAGATGAGCGTCAGGATTTATATAAATTAACTGAAAACACGCAATAACACACGGTTATATTAACAGTATTGCACTTTTCATGTTGCCTAATTTTGGTCAGCTAATAGCCTAACCACCGATAAAGCAACATGGACTAAACGTTCAAATCCTGTTGCTGCAGGATGTTTTTTCTTGGTACAATACTGGTCAAATTCAGATCCTACATCTGTACAATATCCTCTAAAGGAGGTACAATACCCACAATCCTCAAGAATGCATCACTATATGCACTGATTATTTTCCCTCTCTCCTACCTGGTCAAAGAAGCTGCCCCCTAGAGAAAGGTAGTCGGATGGGTAGGTAGCAAAGATGGAGGCTGTTTCATTTGGGCCGTATACAGTCAGGACGCCACCGCTGTAGTCCATAATAGCATCTGGATAGAGGGACAGAGAGAGGAAAACCAAGAAAGACGGTTAGAAATATCTAAGACAACTGTCATTTCAGCAGTGTTATCAGACCCACCATAGTACATGAGGAAGACCACAGCAGCAGCTATATAGGCCCCCAGAACCTGAGACAGGCAGTAGGGCAGAAGTTTAGACCAAGGCAGCCTCCCCAGCACACAGCAACTGAGGGAGACAGCTGGGTTCAGGTGGGCTCCTGAGAGAGGGAAAAGGAAAGAAAAGAGGGAAGGAAGAAGAGGTAAGACGAAAAATATTTTTCTTTTTGATATGTATGGTACAATATTGATAACATTCAGTATACGTAGTGAGTCTACAGTACAAGGGTCAGGTTACAAACAGTAAGGTTCCAAGAGAGTTAAATGAAAACATTCACACTGCTTTGACTTGATTATCACTACAATTTGGATTCTCTGTCTTGTACTTGGAAGGGTTATGCATATATGAGGCTACCGGTAGTTGTCTTGAATTACCACTTACCGGAGACGCCCCTGGCAAGGTACATGGCACTCATGACACCCACTGAGAAGGCCATATTGACAGAGAGGTACTCGCCCTTGGTCCCTCGACTCAACTTCACCTGGGCCATCGCCGCACAGCCAAACATCTGAGGGAGAGATTGAGGAAGGAGAGAGGGACGGAGTAGGGAGAGTGGAGGAAGGGTGGACGGATGGGAGAGGTATGGGGAAGAGAGATGTTCCATGGTCAACTTAGTACAGTCACCATGCATGCTTGCCAAATATCTTCAAAAGAAAGCACACTGATTAAGGAATGAAGATGGAAGAGAAAAAGAGACATTGCAACAAGGTTGGCGAGAACTAAAAACAGCACGTAGAGACTTGCAATGGTGGAGGTGATAGAAGAGTGAAGTACTTTCTAGAACATTCCGTTTTAACCCAGGGTTGCTGTGTTCAGTTCCATGTTTCTGGATCTGATTCCAACTCAAGTCTTGACTGTGTCAAAACATATATTTGAATGGTCAATGGATTCTTGAGGAACAGCTACTCTAGAGCATTTTGATTGTTCTTCAATGGTGGTGAGGTAGTTTTTGCTCCCAAGCACTTTAAAACACATAGAATAAACAAATTCCCAGGAGATTTAAGAATGCATAAAACAGTAACAACCCTTGATCATTGATGATAACAATAGGAAAATATACATTTACCATAAGTACTCACCATAAGGACGAACGTAGCCAAGGTCTCAGCCATTAACTCCCTAAACAGCATATTCCTCACCCTCAGCCTTCCCTTCAGTACCTCCATCCTTCGTACCCGTCTGTCCCAACTAAATCAAGTCCCCCAATTGTTCTCTATCATATCACCCTCTTAGGTCTCCGATTGTCTCCTGTCCTGGTAGTCCTGTGTTAAACCAAAAATACTTACAACTAACTCTAAACTGTAGACTGGTCATCTGTGGTTAAACTGGCTGAGTATGCCTGTTGTCATCCCCTGCTTAAGCCTCCGTCTGTCTGCAGAGGCTCTGTCCAGGTATCTCAGCTTGTCCGTCCAATATGTCCCCTCTATGAACACAATAAGTAGGTTACTGAGTAGGATAACCTAGCAACTAAAGTCTGCAACTATACTAGATAAGCTGCTTGCGCTACTGTAGCCAAGCACAAGGTCAAAAACAAACTGCAGATTACATTTTTTTTTTATTAAACCAGTTTAGTCTCTGACCATATAATGGAACAGATTAGGTCAGAGGTGAGCATTTAGCTAAATGATGATATCATCCATCATCAATAAGATTACCATCTTATTGATGGTCATGTTGCTTTTCTTAACAGACATACCCCTTTACTAGCTCTATTGCTTCTCAATAAATAAGTGTATGACATCAAATACATTTTAAAATCAGAAGCCTTGGACTGTTGTTTAACAGGCCATTAACCCCACACCTACAGAAGTATCTGGCAAAAACATACATCAGATTGTGTGTCTATTGCAAAGCAAAAATGTGGTAGCTTATGTCATCATGAAGATCACATTAAAGTTAACCCATATTTTAGAGTACATATAGCAATGCTTTCATTGAAGGCAGGTCAACAACCTTCAAAATTACTTCAGTTTGTCCTCATGCAACAACAAAAAGGTGCAAGTTACGCTTGTTTTCTGGAAAGACCATTTAATTGTTGCGAGAAGCCTAGTTCTTTTTAATCTCAGTTCATAGAAATGGCATCACACACATTATTTTGTGTGTGACCTACAAAAAATGATATCGCTTCTGAGTAGTGTGAGGCTTATTGAGGCAAAAGGGTTAAAGAGGTCCTCGTGTGAGTGTGACTGCATCCCAAATGGAACCCTATTCCCTAAATTGTGCATTTATTTTGACCAGGGCCCTCAACAGGTTGTTTTTCAACAGATTTAAACAAGCATCGCAATTTTATAAAAAACACTCAGTGTAAATATATTATGCCTCTTTATTGTTCAGTCAAAAATTCACATTGCAGAATTTGAAAAGGATTTCACAAAAATAAAATACGCATATTGAGAAGTGAGAATTTTCTTATGCCTGATTTAGGTTGCGCTCTTTCTGCAAACTATTCACAAAAGGGTTATTTGACTCTTCAATTCTGTCCATAATATCGTCTGCCTAGCTCACTTAGTGGTCATTGGTCAATTAAGAATCACACTGCCATGCTACATGTTTTACTGTACAGAAATACTCAGGTTTTTTGGCAATCAGTTGATTCTAGCCTGAGTGCCAGTCTGTTGTACCATCATGCCAACTCCTTGTCACTCATTGTGTGCCAAGTCATGTTTGGCTTGACAATGAGCAATGGAGTTGGCAAGAGCACAAACAGATCTGGGACCAGGCTTAGTTGATCCAGCCTGACCACACTTAAGAGAGAGGCAATATAACCAACAGTCTTCATTAAATCCTTACTGAATATATAACCAACCCTAAACATGACTTTACCACAATGCCATACAGTGAAATAATGTCTACAACTGATTTGACATTTATTCTTCTTCCGTGCTCCCGATCGATAGGTTCACCTCCTGCCTCCAAAGAATTTGGAAAACAAGGAAAGATCATCGTGCATGTCCGAAAAGGGGTGTGTGCCACCTGGGGGAAAAAATGGTTTAATATACTGTTAAGTCCGTTGGAGGTTGATAAGGCATTTTACGTATCTTCACAAGATACAGTTTTCCCCCATACTCAGTGATAAATACATGGCTGCCAACCTTGACCATGCAAGGTTCTCAGTGTCAAGGTTTTTTCACATACAATTGTGTCAAATCATCGGTCTATGTAAATGAATAGGATTGCTGTATTGAATATGATCTGCCATTTCATGGTTCCATTTCTGCATCTGTTAAATGGCATATATTATAATATGATCCAGTTAATGGGGCATCATTTTGGTGACTAGAAACATAAACCCTACTGGAGGACACTGACCTGGTGGTAAGAGGGGTCCGGCTTGATCCTGTACCCCCTCGCGCCCCCTTATATAAGTCACTGTGGTTTCCTCGTTCCCCTGGCAATCTTGGACGGTGCGCCTCTCCTCAACACTCTAAACAAAACACATACAAACAGAACATCCAAGACTGTCATACAAACTCTATAAGGGTTTGGTAACTCTGCATGGTTCTGAAAAGCGGAGTGAACATGTTGTGCGTCCCAAATGGCACCCTATTCCCTTTGTAGTGCACTACTTTTGACCAGGGCCCATAGGGACACAGATATTGAGTGTCTCCATGTTGACCATCTTGGAAAAAACAGGGAGCACTTTATTGTAGACCAAGATACAACATTCAAAATGAAGTACACTAACTTCTGTCTACCATCTCGAGGTGAACTGTATCTCTTACCCCATCAGGCTTCACCACTTTGGTGACAGTGACCGACTGGAAGAAAGAGCGCTTCTTTGGCTGAGTGGGAGACCAAGCCGGTGGCGCTAGAACCTGATCCAGCCCTCCAGAGGAGACTTGCGAGTCCAGATCTGAGGAGATGGTGTTTGGGAAATTGAAATTATTATGGAAATCCAACAAAGAACAAGACAGGTAACTGTAGAGAAGGCTGATATTTTCATCATCTACCTTTGTTACAGCGTCTTTATCAAACTGCAGTGTTGCAAAGTTCGCTATTTGCTAATATGATGAGTGTTATACCAGAACCCAACCCTAAAGCACTTTCAAGGAGCGGGACACTAATCCGGACGCTTATAAGAAATCCCGCTATGCCCTCAGACGAACCATCAAACAGGCAAAGCGTCAACACAGGACTAAGATTGAATCCCACTATACCGGCTCCGACGCTCGTTGGATGTGGCAGCGCTTGCAAACTATTAAGGACTACAAAGGGAAACCCAGCCGCGAGCTACCCAGTGACACAAGCCTACCAGACCAGCTAAATGCCTTTTATGCTCGCTTCGAGGCAAGCAACGCTGAAGCATGCATGAGAGCACCAGCTGATCCGGACGACTGTGTGATCACGCTCTCCGTAGCCGATGTGAGCAAGACCTTTAAACAGTTCAACATTCACAAGGCCGCGGGGCCAGATGGATTAGCAGGACATGTACTCAGAGCATGCGCTGACCAACTGGCAAGTGACTTCACTGACATTTTCAACCTCTCCCTGACCGAGTCTGTAATACCTACATGTTTCAAGCAGACCACCATAGTCCCTGTGCCCAAGAAAGCGAAGGTAACCTGCCTAAATGACTACTGCCCCATAGCACTCAAGTCGGTAGCCATGAAGTGCTTTGAAAGGCTGGTCATGCATGGCTCACAACACCATCATCCCAGAAACCCTAGACCCACTCCAATTCGCATACCACCCCAACAGATCCACAGATTATGCAATCTCAATCACACTCCACACTGCCCTTTCCCACCTGGACAAAAGGAACACCTATGTGAGAATGCTGTTGATTGACTACAGCTCAGCATTCAACACCATAGTGCCCACAAAGCTCATCACTAAGCTAAGGACCCTGGGACTAAACACCTCCCTCTGCAACTGGATCCTGGACTTCCTGCGCCCCCAGGTGGTAAGGGTAGGCAACAACACATCTGCCACGCTGATCCTCAACACAGGGGCCCCTCAGGGGTGCGTGCTTTGTCCCCTCCTGTAATCCCTGTTCACCCACGACTGCATGGCCAAGCACATTTTACATTTTTTACATTTTAGTCATTAAGCAGACGCTCTTATCCAGAGTGACTTACAGTTAGTGAGTGCATACATTTTCATACTGGCCCCCCGTGGGAATCGTAATTACCAACTGAGCTACACGGGACCTTAGCACGACTCCAATACCATCATTAAGTCTGCTGACGACACAACGGTGGTAGGCCTGATTACCGACAACGATGAGACAGCCTATAGGGAGGAGGTCAGAGACCTGGCAATGTGGTGCCAGGACAACAACCTCTCCCTCAACATCAGCAAGACAAAGGAGATGATCGTGGACTACAGGAAAAGGAGGGTCGAACACGCCCCCATTCACATCGACGGGACTGTAGTGGAGCGGGTCGAGAGTTTCAAGTTCCTTGGTGTCCACATCACCAACAAACTATCATGGTCCAAACACCCACGAAAGTTGTGAAGAGGGCACGACAACGCCTTTTTCCCCTCAGGAGACTGAAAAGATTTGTCATGGGTCCCCAGATCCTCAAAAAGTTATACAGCTGCACCATCGAGAGCATCCTGATCGGTTGCATCACCACCTGGTATGGCAACTGCTCGGCATCCGACCATAAGACTCTACAGAGGGTAGTGCGTACGGCCCAGTATATCACTGGGGCCAAGCTTCCTTACATCCAGGACCTATATACTAGGCAGTGTCATAGACTCCAGTCACCCAAGTCATAGAATGTTCTCTCTGCTACCGCACGGCAAGCGGTACCGGAGCGCCAAGTCTAGGTCCAAAAGGCTCCTTAACATCTTCTACCCCCAAGCCATAAGAATGCTGAACAATTAATCAAATGGCCACCCGGACTATCTGCATTGACACCCACCCCCTTTGTTTTTACACTGCTGCTACTCGCTGTTTATTATCTATGCAGTCACTTTACCCCTACATACATGTACAAATTACCTCAACTAACCTCTACCCCCGCACATTGACTCTGTACCGGTACCCCCTGTATATAGCCTCATTATTGTTATTTTACTGTGTTATTATTTTTTTTACTTTATTTTATTTAGTAAATATTTTCTTAACTCTATTTTCTCAAAACTGCGTTGTTGGTTAAGGGCTTGTAAGTAAGCATTTCACTGTAACGTCTACACCTGTTGTATTCGGCGCATGTGACAGGACCTTGCGTCTAAATTCAAATAACTTGGCCGTTTGACAATAACATGCCCATACCTCTGTCTGCTTTCGGCTCCTGCTCTTGACCCCTTTGTAGCCTTCCTCTCCAAATATCATTGAACTGGAGAAAATAAAAGATAATAAAAAGGACATGATTAATGAAGAGAGTAAACTGTACACAAAAAGTAACCACCCGCAGGATCATGTGTAGCTCACATTAATTATTATTCAGAATGTACTATACTGTGAGAATGATGACTGGGATAGATCTCTCCTATACCTTAGAAAAGGGTGTCCAGCGATCAAAGGGTGTGTTGGGGGAAAATGGGCCACCAGATGGAGGGCTCTTATCGACCCCGGGGCCTCCTGATGGTCCTGAGGGCAGCCCAGTCGGCCCGCGTGGGCAGTCATTCGGGCCTTTCAACATGAAGTCCCTCAAGGAATTTCCACTGGATCCTCCCCCACCTCTCTCCGGCCTGTCCTGGGGAGTGGGCGCCTCAATACTGGGAACACCTGGCATGAGGGAGAGGTCACAGAGATTGATAGTGTTGAGTATTAAATAATAATTACCGTAGTGTTATTAGACCAGTCTATTACAGAGATGATGCTCAGTTGGTTATGGCAATTGGCAAGCATTAGTGAACACAGATAGTTCTTAGTTAAATAACTAAACCAGTAGCAACGACATGGCTCATCCATAACATATATTTTTTAACCTGGGAATTTCATTCACACTACACAGAATCAGCATTCCCCTGTCAATATCAACTTGGTAGAGGTATGTCTGAGGGTTGTCTTGGTTTTGTGTCATATTAACTCCTTGTCACTCATTGTCAATGCAAAAAAAAGGATCTGAGACCAGGCCAAGGATCACTGACTGCTCCTACCAAACTGTCCTGCTCCAAACTGACCATCGAATCGGCCTAGCTGTGAGAATATCTCCTCCATCTCTCTGAAGACCTGGCCAAACACCTCAGGCTCCTGGATCCTCACTCCGTTTGGGCCCATGCTGAACCCAAACCTCCACTGATCATCAAACGGGTCCTGCTGGCCACCACCACCCTGGGAATCATCAAAGTAGATTCCATCCTCCTCTTCATCGTCGTCGTCATGGGTCATGCCTTCGAAGAAGGGGTCCCTGAGCAAGATTAGGAACAGTGAGCCAGCAGAAACTTTAAAGACGTCACTGTGCATGTAAGCAGCAGTGCTTGTACAAGAAAGTACCATTTAACCTACACTTTAGCCCCACCTTCTGGTCTCTTGAGCAAATAACACGTTACAAGTTATGTCAAATCCAAGACTTCTATCGTGATAGAAGACAAGCAAATAAAATACTTAACATTAAATAGCTAGCTAAACATATAGCTAGTCAGCTCTACTAGTTACGGCGGTGGTTTAATTTGCTTCAAGACACTGATTATGAAGCAGGTTATGCAAGACCATTTATGCTATCTAGTTAGCTAGCCAAGTGGCTAACGTTTGCTAGTAACCGACAGCTGTTCTTGTTTTTGCAGACCAGCCTGAAAGCTAGCTGGCTTTAGGCATCTCACCTTCGGCCCTCCCCACGATAATGGCCTCCAGGTACCCCAAAAAATCCACGAAATAGATCAAAAACGCTCATTTGAATCAAACATTTGATGTAAACTTAGCTACTTCATGCTGAACGACAGTCAAAAGACGATGTCAACATTGCCGTAAAGCGCTAGACGTCCCTGAAGAATGACGCAATCGACGGGTTTGGAACACACAGACCAATTTACCGGAGAAATAGTAATGGCGAATTTTTGTAGGCACTAACTCCACTATGGTTCGTTTGGACAAAGCCTATCGGGAAAATTAATGTCGTTTTGGGATAAACGCCTTAAATGAGGTATGTCGTAATCACAGGTTTAGGAGATTTGATACGTTTTGTTCTGCGATAATCTCTATTAGCTAACGTCACTTAGCTATGCAATAAATAAATAAAGCACAACGACTTCATAATGGTCACGTTAACCGACTTCTATTATCTCAGAACAAAACGTAAACTAAAATCTCCTAAACCGGTGTAAACATCGGACCTTATTTTCGGCGTTTATTACAAAACCCTATTATTTCCCCGCCCCCATAGGGCGGCAGGTAGCTTAGTGGTTAAGAGCGTTGTGCCAGTAACCGAAAGGTCGCTGGTTCTAATCCCCGAGCCGACTAGGTGAAATCTGTCGATGTGCCCTTGAGCAAGGCACTTAACCCTAATTGCTCCTGTAAGTCGCTCTGGATAAGAGCGTCTGCTAAATGACTAAAATGTAAATCTCAACGAACTCATTAACGTGTTTTAGGACTACAAGCTGGCGAGCTCTATGCAGATCTTTTGTTGTACTACATCTTCACTTCAAGAGGACCAGCAGCAGCACTGGTGTGAGTGATTAGTAGTCCCCTCAAAATAATTGTGTAGCAAGTTAATTTCTTTCAGGTCAATACAATGGATTTATTTAACAAATGAGATGTGCTTTGTATTTTAAGTGCAACATGCTAGTCTATTCTCAAGGAAACATCAATGCACAAATGACTCAATGAAATTACTTGAAATGTTACCTTTTAGCTAAACAAAATGCTATTTTTTCAGCCAAAAAAAAAGACAAGGATGCACCATGCAGAGTTCTACGGGGAAACAACCACTGAGTTTAGTTTTATTTGATACTGCAGATCCTACAAACCAACTGTGTAAGAACACAGCCCTGCCTACCCCACACACCTCCCTTGGATGACTACAGAGCAGTGATGTCCAATCCTGTTAACATAAGGCTGTCCTTGAGGTTTCCCTTCAATCCAGGTCTTTTGAATGAAGTACTGTATTTAACCAAATTATATCAAAATTGTTTTATATAGAAAGGAGATAAAGGGAAACTTGCAGAATAACAGCCCCAAGACCAACGTTGGCCACCACCGTGTTTAGCTGACTAAGACTTACAAGCCACATGATACAAAAATAAGTTTCTTTAAATAAAAAATAAAAAAAGACATTCACATCCAAAATGATGAAAATGTATTTTTCCTGTTTATTTACTTAATATTTATATATTTTTTACACAAAAGAAACAGAACAAAAAAGCTAACAAGTGAGGATTTACAAAGGGGGAGGGTGGAAGCCATTGAACAAATAAGGACTAGAGTACTTTTTTTAATTTTTATATGTACAAGTTTATCCATTTAAATACCTTTTTTTATGCACAGTACAAAAATCACTGACAAAACCATAGTACAATTTTGTCCATCAGTAATCATTGCTGCAGCTTTCCTAATATATTGGGGAGACAGGTGGCGGGAACGTGTAGAGGGATTAGAAAAATAACTGATTCAACACATAGGTAGGTAAGGGTGTGCCCTGGCCTCTCGTACAACGTCATTTTGTACTCCAGATGTCTTGCAGAATAAGCAACAATCTACAAATGTTACACTTTTAAATCAGGGGTAAAGCTATTTTACAACATAGGATAATGGGAAATCATTTTACATGGTGTAAGGGTTGTGTACCTCACTGTGTTTGGGAGTAACAAGGACCGGTACACACCCAAGGCCCACCAGTGTACACACAAAAACACTCCGCACATATTCCACACCTGTGCATTTGCATACATAATGGTAAAAAATTAACTTCACAATTCATTCTTAAAACTAAAATGTTGTACAAACTCAATGGGAAACAAAGGAAAAAGTTAATCTGTGTTTGGGTTTATGGTAGGAAGGGTACATTTCGCCCAAGTATAAAGGGGAGAGGGTGAGAAATAGAAAACCAGCCTGTCCCCTTCAAATTTTTCAACTTTCCTCCCATCAGTAAAAAAACAACAAAAACAATTATATTAGAAAACAGCTCTATGTTACATACAACAGAGAGAAAGGGAGGGGGGTTGGACATCATACAAATTCCAGACACTCAATACTCTCTTAATGGTCTGTTACTATAACCATTTAACACCATCCCCCTCTTATAAGACTGCCCCGCTACCCTTGCTTGCCCTCTCAGCTCAGCGACACCCGTGGCAGGGGTGAGTACTGCCGGTGTGCTGAGCAGAGAGAGTGGGGAGGGGATCTCTGTAGGAGAGCAGGGGTTACATGGAGACCATTTGTGGGGAAGGATGCCCCCATTTCTGTCAGACTTTGGAACACATGGGGCCGGATGGGCAGGTGTTAGTTGGCCCCCCAGTTGTAGCTGTTGTATGCAGACTTGTTGATCTGGGTTTTCTGTTGAAGGGAAGCATTCTGGCTGCGCTGTCCAGTGCCACTCTGTTAGGAGGAGAGAAGATAGGAAAATATCATAGGCAAGGTATCCTGTGCTAGCTATTTCTCTCCAAGATACAGTGTGACACGCGCGGTCACACCACACACACGCACCGTGACACACACCGTACCTGTCCGTCCTGCTGCAGGTGGTGGTGCAGGATCTGAGAGTGGGGCTGCTGGTGCGGTGCCAGGATGTGCATGAAGGGTGCCGGAGCATAACCAGCCGCGGCTGGGGGGTTGATGGGACCACCACTGCCCAGGGCCGAGGGCAGGCTGAAGGAAGTTGCCGGTGTGGCTCCGTGGAAACCCTGCTGCTTCTCAAAAGACTGCTGCTGGAGGGATAAACATAACATCGGTCACCTGTCTTTACTAGTGTGCAGTTTTTACACTTGTTTGCGTACATACAAGCTTTTATACAGACACTGGTTGTCATAACCGTTCCGTATTTCTCAGAACATAAATCATTTATTCCAGTGTTTGTACCACTGTATCATCATTCTCACCTGCTGTGTCTTTGTGTAAACAGACCCTGAAATGTCTGGGACCCCTGTGTTGCTTGACGTGACTGAGACTCCTGCAGAGGAAACAAAGGGGTTCGGACACATTTACTTCACCATGTCTACAGGTCACAACCCCTGCAGGAGAGGCAGAGAAACCCCTGGGAGTCAGATCCACAGAATGGTCCAAGAGTAAGGCAGCAGTTTCTAGATGGAAAATAATGCTGTCAAACATACATCACATTCTAATTAGGTGCTGGGTGAGAAACTCCACACAGAGAAATAAAAAGGCTTGTACATGATTTGCTCCTAAACCATTCCTATTGCTATAATGCCTTGTACATGATTTGCTCCTATACCATTATTGCTCCTACACCACCTTTAATCAATCATGACATACATCACTCCTCACCACTCCACCATTATAGCTGATGTGTGGTGAACATTCTGGCACGAAATGGTGGCGGTGCCAAGTGTGTGCTACACTTTGGTGGTGGAAGAGGAGTTGCCCCCCCTTACTATGCAATGCATTTTGAGCACCATTATAAATCCAAATCAATTATATACAACTTGAAATCGAAACATTCTCAGTACAAGGCTGTATAGGAGCAATATAGCACTTTCTAGAAGATAGTCACTAGATGCTAATCTAAAGTATTAGATGCATCAATGTAGGGGAAGGACAGCAAAAAGAGCAGTGAAGGATTGACAGGATGAGATGGAGGAGAGGAAAACAAAAATGATCAAAAGAAAGATGTAGCAGCACATCAGTTCCAGTCAGCCACGGCAAAAAAGGTCTGACTGCATCTGGTGGTCGCTACATATTGTTCTAGCACACGACTGTCCCCCTGCACCCTCAGCGGGTCAGTAGGAACCGGAAGCATCTCGTTCAGGGGAAAAGCAGAGAGGAGGCGAAGCCTGAAAATCAGAAGCTTTCCAGTTCTCTTTCGACCCTGCTCAGGCATTTCCTTTACGCCTGCTACGTTTGGTAATTATTAGGATCCCCATTAGCCGCTGCAAAAGCATAATCTACTCTTCCTGGGATCCACATGAAACATGACATGATGCATAGTACAGAACATTATTAGTCAAGAATTGAAATGCATACATTTTAAACGTCACAGCCTACCTATCAGTACATACACACAATATCTAGGTCTAATACATAGTACAGTGCAAATTACAATACAAGATATTTAAAATGGCTGTCTCTTCACAGTTCCCTTTGTGCAGTAAGGTGTTATTTTATTAGGTTAGTCCCCCTGTATCGCCATGGAGATGCAAGACAGGGTCAACAGATGTGCAGCACAGAACAGAAACACAAAACCCTGAGACCCTAACCGTGACTCACACGACAACTCCAGTTTACTGACACCTAACATTAGTATCAACCCAGGGTTCGTACAGACAGTGGCAAGTCAAATTCAAGGACTTAAGTACTTTTTCAAGCACTAATATTTAATTTTCAAGGACCATCAATTTGTAATAGTTCCTATTTTGCAATTGTTTCTATTCGCCACCAGATGGCAGTATATCGCCACAACCTCATGAAAACAACAACTTGCTATTAATCACTACCTTACAAGTTCTACTCAATAATACGTTTCATTACTTATTTACTACATACATGAGTGGTAAGTCAGTACTGATGATGTGGACTGATCTCCTTATATGAACTGTAACTCAGTAAAATCTTTTAAATTGTTGCGCTTATATTTTTGTTCAGCGTACATTATATTACATTTGGTCCCACAGGCTGTCCTAACATGAAAGTGAATTCTGACAGTGTAAAATGCCCTTAATTGACTCTAAAATGTTGTATTCTATATTCATTTGAAAATAAACAAGTTATTGTGTTTGATAAGATTAAAGATTCTCTGAGCTGACCCTATTATACCGGACCCCAAGTTTGGGAACCACTGTACTACTAACCTCTCTCCCTGCTTGCTTCAATGCTTCCTCTCTCTATCTCCTTTGCAGCCTGACTCACCACTGTCGGTCTCACTACTCTCTATAAAGAAAATGTATTTTGTTATGAGCCCATCTTTTGATTATTGCTAGCCTAATTTCAGTCAAATGCTCCTGCTGAGGTCAGGCTCCGTTCAACTTTAGCTTCTAACTTCATCCTTCTAGCCAGCTAGTTATAGCTAGCTACCTGGCTAATAGCCAGAGCCCTTGAGCTACCTAGCTAGCTAGACACCTGACTGAAATATCTGCAACTGAACACTCATTCTGAGAGGCATTTTCTTCTGTTTGGGGTATGTCTGTTGACACGGCAGGAGTCTAGGGATGTAAAAAAAAATCTCACTGCCAGCACCGTCTCTGCTACTGTAGGTCTGGGTTAAGGTAGTTTGTTTCACCTCTCGGCCTATGTCGTGTTAACAGTGGTGAATGAATGCAGTGCTAACAAGGCAAATAGCGAGCATACATGACTCATTCATGATTCCACTAGTTCGCAGAGGTAGGCGCGATTAGAACTCCGATCAAGAAGCCTTCTGTGCGTTGATTAACGCTGGGAATGCAAGTGGGTAAACAATAATTAACTAAATAAAAAGGTGAGTAAACGCTATTTCACAAATACCCTCCACTACATCCCTGGTTGGGTCTGGCAAAACCCATTGATAAACAATATCCTGCCAGGCAGGATTTAATCTACATTTGCCCGGCATTTTAGCTATCGATGTGACGTTTGGCAGCGCCTAAGCAGTCACTTCTGTACCTGCCTGGCTGAGTGGCAGTGTGGGTGGAATGCGCGAGCTCGCCTGGCAACCAGAGCGCAAAACACGTGAGGAAATACAATTCTGTAGTCTGCCTGGAAATTAATTCGCAAGACCAATACATTTTCTAATATTTTTCAAATGAACACATTTGATCATTTTCTGTTCTCATTTTAATTCAAGTACTTTACAAGTACCAAGTTCAGAAAATTTGATTTTAGGTATTCCAGTACTAAATGTCAACCACACTCAGGAAATTCACTGTTCATCTACATAAAAAATCAATTCCTTTTCATCTGCTATACATGAGAGAATACATTGAGTTTGAGGGAGAGCATCACTTTGCAAACATGCTACCGTCATACCCCATAGTCTTAGTATCCCCATTTCAGAGCATGGCAGTTCAAAAGGCAGGACCTCCATTTTGTCACTCGTTCCCCACCCTTATAATAATAATAATAATAATAATAATAATAATAATAATAATATGCCATTTAGCAGACCCTTGAGGTGTGTGTATATCCTGTATCAACCACACAGGCCAGCGGGCAGCGAGGTACTTCTGACACACACTTAAGCAAGCACACCATGGGTGGAAAGCTAGCAGCACAGCGTGTGAGGGGAGCATGGACCAGGGCTACTCATCAACTGTTAAGTGGTTAGCAGCTAGCTAGTTAGCCCTCCTTTAGCTTCCCCGCACTACTTTAGAAATGTAAGAATTGAACATAAACAATTAGTTAGCCTCTATGGTAGCATTTCCCAAACTCGGTCCTGGGGACCCCATTTTTTGCCCTATCACTACACAGCGGATTCAAATAATCAACTCATCATCAAGCTTTTAATATTTTAATCTGAAGTGCTAGAGCAAAAACCAAAATGTGCACCCCTTGGGGTCCCCAGGACAGTGTTTGGGCAACGCTGTCCTATGGCTAAGGTATAAGATTGACAGTGTTAATTCTGAGAACATTTGACCCTTCCTACAGCACCTTGGTGACTAATGATGAGTAGTCCTGGGGGACAGAGCAGAGGAGTAACAGGAGAATGGATGCAGGCAGAGAGTGGCGGTTGACTGCATAATGGGTGTCAGGGGCTCCTCTGTGGTGCAGACGGTAAGCAGCGATGAGGGAGAGGAGGATGGAGGTGATGACGGCGCGAGGGAGGAAGGGAGGGTTGGCGTGTGGCGGCACTCACCGACTCCAGGCCCGCTGACAGAGCTGGCTTGCTTGTTTTGAGCAGAAGCGGCGGTGGCCACGGCAGTGCCATATCCACCCTTACAGAAATCCCCACTCCCCGAAGCCTGGCCCATATCCTCATAGCCTGCAACAGTCAGACACACAGCCGCAGCCCACAGCGTTAGACACACCAAGCAGGGTTAGGGTGTGGGTGTCAGGCAGGGGGAGGGAGGGGTGGGCGGTGGAGGCAGGAAGCAGTAGGTGGTGTAGATAAGAGGTGCTGTGTGACCAGGTGGATAGAGAGAGAGAGAAAGAAAGAAAGAAAACTGAAGGACAGAGGTGGAGACACAGAGCGAGGGAGAGAAACAGGTTTTAAGATGACCTCATGTGGGATGGGGTGGAGGGTGTAACCGGAAGCCCAACTCCACTTGTTGAATGAGCAGAAGCCAGCAATGATAGGCAATAGCAACAGAACACCCACCACCTTACTCCCCTGTAATACATGTAGTAGGAGGGCCATGGGACATCGATACAGACCACTTTTCCAGTCCAAAACAACTAAAATAGAACAAATTACTGGACTAACAAAAGGTACAAAGGGTGAAATAGATATCCTTCCCCATTCAAAAGAATGGTGAAAGTTGCAGAATAATACAACTACCATTTCCACTCCCATTTCAGACAAGTCTTCACAAACACACAAACCGTGTAAACATTTTTTATAAAAGTAAAATCACAAACCTCAAACGAATAATCTATATTGGGCCCAGATCACTCTATTCATGGGTTGCACGTTGCGCTACAATATTGTTTTAAACGTTTGTTTTAAGACTGATGCCTCCTAAGTCTTCTACTCAGACTTAAGAGGCGTGCACACCGCCCATCACTTCCAAGTATATTACTCGCTAATGTCCAGTCCCTAGATAACAAAATGGACGAGATCAGGGCAAGGGTTGCTTTCCAGAGAGACATCAGGGATTGTAACATACTCTGTTTCACGGAAACATGGCTCTCTCGGGATATACTGTCCCCGTCCCATACAGCCATCTGGGTTCTCAGTACATTGCGCCGACAGGAATAAACATCTCTCCGGGAAGAAGGAGGGGTTTGTTTCATGATTAATGACTCATGGTGTAATTGTAACAACATACAGGAACTCAAGTCATTTTGTTCACCTGACCTAGAATTCCTCACAATCAAATGCCGACTGTATTATCTCGCAAGAGAATTCTCTTTGGTTATCGTTACAGCCATGTATATCCCCCCTCAAGCTGATACCACGACGGCCCTCAAGGAACTTCACTGGACTTTATGCAAACAGGAAACCATATACAGTGGGGGAAAAAAGTATTTAGTCAGCCACCAATTGTGCAAGTTCTCCCACTTAAAAAGATGAGAGATGCCTGTAATTTTCATCATAGGTACACGTCAACTATGACAGACAAATTGAGAAAAAAAAATCCAGAAAATCACATTGTATGATTTTTAATGAATTTATATGCAAATTATGGTGGAAAATAAGTATTTGGTCACCTACAAACAAGCAAGATTTCTGGCTCTCACAGACCTGTAACTTCTTCTTTAAGAGGCTCCTCTGTCCTCCCCTCGTTTCCTGTATTAATGGCACCTGTTTGAACTTGTTATCAGTATAAAATACACCTGTCCACAACCTCAAACAGTCACACTCCAAACTCCACTATGGCCAAGACCAAAGAGCTGTCAAAGGACACCAGAAACAAAATTGTAGACCTGCACCAGGCTGGGAAGACTGAATCTGCAATAGGTAAGCAGCTTGGTTTGAAGAAATCAACTGTGGGAGCAATTATTAGGAAATGGAAGACATACAACACCACTGATAATCTCCCTCGATCTGGGGCTCCACGCAAGATCTCACCCCGTGGGGTCAAAATGATCACAAGAACGGTGAGCAAAAATCCCAGAACCACACGGGGGGACCTAGTGAATGACCTGCAGAGAGCTGGGACCAAAGTAACAAAGCCTACCATCAGTAACACACTACGCCGCCAGGGACTCAAATCCTGCTGTGTCCCCCTGCTTAAGCCAGTACATGTCCAGGCCCGTCTGAAGTTTGCTAGAGTGCATTTGGATGATCCAGAAGAGGATTGGGAGAATGTCATATGGTCAGATGAAACCAAAATATAACTTTTTGGTAAAAACTCAACTCGTCGTGTTTGGAGTACAAAGAATGCTGAGTTGCATCCAAAGAACACCATACCTACTGTGAAGCATGGGGGTGGAAACATCATGCTTTGGGGCTGTTTTTCTGCAAAGGGACCAGGACGACTGATCCGTGTAAAGGAAAGAATGAATGGGGCCATGTATCGTGAGATTTTGAGTGAAAACCTCCTTCCATCAGCAAGGGCATTGAAGATGAAACGTGGCTGGGTCTTTCAGCATGACAATGATCCCAAACACACCGCCCGGGCAACGAAGGAGTGGCTTCGTAAGAAGCATTTCAAGGTCCTGGAGTGGCCTAGCCGGTCTCCAGATCTCAACCCCATAGAAAATCTTTGGAGGGAGATGAAAATCCGTGTTGCCCAGCGACAGCCCCAAAACATCACTGCTCTAGAGGAGATCTGCATGGAGGAATGGGCCAAAATACCAGCAACAGTGTGTGAAAACCTTGTGAAGACTTACAGAAAACGTTTGACCTGTGTCATTGCCAACAAAGGGTATATAACAAAGTATTGAGAAACTTTTTTGTTATTGACCAAATACTTATTTTCCACCATAATTTGCAAATAAATTCATTAAAAATCCTACAATGTGATTTTCTGGAATTTCTTTTCTAATTTTGTCTGTCATAGTTGACGTGTACCTATGATGAAAATTACAGGCCTCTCTCATCTTTTTAAGTGGGAGAACTTGCACAATTGGTGGCTGACTAAATACTTTTTTCCCCACTGTATCTTGAGGCTGCATTTATTGTAGCTGGGGATTTTAACGAAGCAAATTTGAGAAAAAGGCTACCTAAATTCTATTAGCATTTTGACTGTAGCGCTCGCGCTGGAAATACACTGGATCACTGCTACACTAATTTCTGCTATGCATACAAGGCCCTCCCCTGACCTCCTTTCGGCAAACCTGACCACGACTCCATTTTGCTCCTCCCTTCCTATTAGGCAGAAACTCAAACAGGAAGCACCCATGCTAAGGACTATTCAACGCTGGTCTGACCAATCGGAATCCACGCTTCAAGATTGTTTTGATCACGCGGACTGGGATATGTTCCGGGTAGCCTCTAAGAATAATATAGACGTATACGCTGATTCAGTGAGTGGGTTTATAAGGAAGTGTAGAGGAGATGTCGTACCCACTGACTATTAAAACCTAACATAAACAGAAACCGTGGATAGATGGCAACATTCGTGAAAAACTGAAATCACGAACCACAGCATTTAACCATGGCAAGGTGACGGGGAATATGGCAGAATACAAACAAAGTGGTCGTTCCCTCCGCAAGGCAATCAAACAGGCAAAACGTCAATATCGAGACCAAAGTGGAGTCGCAATTCAACGGCTAAGACACGAGACGTATGTGGCAGGGTTTACAGACAATCACGGACTACAATAGGAAAACCAGCCACGTCGCGGACACCGACGTCTTGCTGCCAGACAAGCTAAACAAGTTCTTTGCCCGCTTTGAGGATAACACAGTGCCACCGACGCGGCAAGCTACCATGAACAGTGGGCTCTCCTTCTCTGTGGCCGACGTAAGACATTTAAACGTGTTAACCCTCGCAAGGCTACTGACCCAGACTGCATTCATAGCAGCGTCCTCAGAGCACGCGCAGACCAGCTGGCTGGTGTGTTTAAGGACATATTCAATCTCTACCTATCCCAGTCTGCTGTCCCCACATGCTTCAAGATGGCCACCATTGTTCCTGTACCCTAGAATGCAAAAGTAACTGAACTAAATGACTATCGCCCCATAGCACTCACTTCTGTCATCATGAAGTGCTTTGAGAGACTAGTCAAGGATCATATCACCTCCACCTTACCTGTCATCCTAGACCCACTTCAATTTGCTTACCGCCCCAATAGGTCCACAGACGATGCAATCGCCATCACACTGCACACTGCTCTATCCCATCTGGACAAGAGGAATACCTATGTAAGAATGCTGTTCATTGACTATAGCTCAGCATTCAACACCATAGTACCCTCCATGCTCATCATTAAGCTTGAGGCCCTGGGTTTCAACCCCGCCCTGTGCAATTGGGTCCTGGACTTCCTGACGGGCCGCCCCCAGGTGGTGAAGGTAGGAAACAACATCTCCACTTCACTGATCCTCTACACTGGGGCCCCACAAGGATGTGTGCTCAGCCCCCTCCTGTACTCCCTGTTCACCCATGACTGCATAGCCATGCACGCCTCCAACTCAAATCATCAAGTTTGCAGACGACAACAGTAATGGGCTTGATTACCAACAACGATGAGACAGTCTACAGGGAGGAGGTGAGGGCTGTCGGAGTGTGGCGTCAGGAAAATAACATCTCACTCAACGTCAACAAAACATAGGAGATGATCGTGGACTTCTGGAAACAGCAGAGGGAGTACCCTCCTATCCACATCGATGGGACAGCAGTGGAGAAGGTGGAAAGTTAAGTTCCTTGGGGTACATATCACTGACAAACTGAAATGGTCCACCCACACAGACAGTGTGGTGAAGAAGGCGCAACAGCGTCTCCTCAACCTCAGGAGGCTGAAGAAATTTGGCCTGTCATCTAAAACCCTCAAACTTTTACAGATACACAATTGAGCGCATCCTGTTGGGCTGTATCACCGCCTGGTACAGCAACTGCACCGCCCAGAACCGCAGGGCTCTCCAGAGGGTGGTGCGGTCTGCACAACGCATCACCGAGGGCAAACTACCTGCCCTCCAGGACACCTACAGCACCCGACGTCACAGGAAGGCCAAAAAGATAATCAAGGACAACTACCAACCAAGCCACTGCCTGTTCACCCCGCTATCATCCAGAAGGCGAGGTCAGTACAGGTGCATCAAAGCTGGGACCGAGAGACTGAAAAACAGCTTCTATCTCAAGGCCATCAGACTGTTAAACAGCCATCACAAGCACAGAGGCGCTGCTGCTTACATACAGACTTGAACATCACTGGCCACTTTAATAAATGGAACACTAGTCACTTTAATAATGTTTACATATCTTGCATTACCCATCTCATATCGTGGTCAAGTTTTGAGAATGACACAAATACTAATTTTCACAAACTCTGATGCCTCAGTTATGATGATTGCAATTTGCATATACTCCAGAATGTCATGAAGAGTGATCAGTTGAATTGCAATTAATTGCAAAGTCCCTCTTTGCCATGAACATGAACTTCATCCCAAAAAAACATTTCCAATGCATTTCAGCCCTGCCACAAAAGGACCAGCTGCCATCATGTCAGTGATTCTCTCGTTAACACAGGTGAGAGTGTTGATGAGGACAGGGCTAGAGAGCACTGTCATGCTGATTGAGTTAGAATAACAGACTGGAAGTTTTAAAAGGAGGGTGGTGCTTGTAGCTTAGCGGTGGGTAGCTTAGTGGTTAAGAGCGTTGTGCCAGTAACCGAAAGGTCGCTGGTTCTAATCCCCGAGCCAACTAGGTGAAAAATCTGTCGATGTGCCCTTGAGCAGGGCACTTAACCCTAATTGCTCCTGTAAGTCGCTCTGGATAAGAGCGTCTGCTAAATGACTAATTATTTAATTATTTATAAATCATTGTTCTTCCTCTGTTAACCATGGTTACCTGCAAGGAAATACGTGCAGTCATCATTGCTTTGCACAAAAAAGGGCTTCACAGGCAAGGATATTGCTGCTAGTAAGATTGCACCTAAATCAACCATTTATCGGATCATCAAGAACTTCAAGGAGAGAAGTTCAATTGTTGTGAAGAAGGCGTCAGGGCGCCCAAGAAAGTCCAGCAAGCACCAGGACCATCTCCTAAAGTTAATTCAGCTGCGGGATCGGGGCACCACCAGCGCAGAGCTTGCTCAGGAATGGCAGCAGGCAGGTGTGAGTGCATCTGCACGCACAGTGAGGCGAAGACTTTTGGAGGATGACCTGGTGTCAAGAAGGGCAGCAAAGAAGCCACTTTGACATCAGGGACAGACTGATATTCTCCAAAAGGTACAGGGATTGGACTGCTGAGGACTGGGGTAAAGTCATTTTCTCTGATGAATCCCCTTTCCGATTGTTTGGGGCATCCGGAAAACACCTTGTCCGGAGAAGACAAGGTGAGCGCTGCCAAGAGTAAAGCATCCTGAGACCATTCATGTGTGGGGTTGCTTCTCAGCCAAGGGAGTGGGCTCACTCACAATTTTGCCTAAGAACACAGCCATGAACGAAGAATGGTACCAACACATCCTCTGAGAGCAACTTCTCCCAACCATCCAAGAACAGTTTGGTGACGACAAATGCCTTTTCCAGCATGATGGAGCACCTTGCCATAAGGCAAAAGTGATAACTAAGTGGCTCGGGGAACAAGACACCATTTTGGGTCCATGGCCAGGAAACTCCCCAGACCTTAATCCCATTGAGAACTTGTGGCCGATCCTCAAGAGGCGGGTGGACAAACAAAAACCCACAAATTCGGACAAAACTCAAAGCATTGATTATGCAAGAATGGGCTGCCATCAGTCAGGATGTGGCCAATAAGTTAATTGACAGCATGCCAGGGTGGATTGCAGAGGTCTTGAAAAAGAAGGGTCAACAATGCAAATATTGACTCTTTGCATAAACTTCATGTAATTGTCAATAAAAGCCTTTGACACTTACAGTGAGGGAAAAAAGTATTTGATGTTTGATGTTCGCCCACTGACAAAGTCATGATCAGTCTATAATTTTAATGGTAGGTTTATTTGAACAGTGAGAGACAGAATAACAACACAATCCAGAAAAACGCATGTCAAAAATGTTATAAATTGATTTGCATTTTAATGAGGGAAATTAGTATTTGACTCCTCTGCAAAACATGACATGTTAGTACTTGGTGGCAAAACCCTTGTTGGCAATCACAGATGTCAGACGTTTCTTGCAGTGTGCAAACCTGGTGGCCAACATCTCAGCAGGGATTTTGTCCCACTCCTCTTTGCAGATCCTCTCCAAGTCATTAAGGTTTCGAGGCTGACGTTTGGCAACTCGAACCTTCAGCTCCCTCCACAGATGTTCTATGGGATTAAGGTCTGGACTGGCTAGGCCACTCCAGGACCTTAATGTGCTTCTTCTTGAGCCACTCCTTTGTTGCCTTGGCCGTGTGTTTTGGGTCATTGTCATGCTGGAATACCCATCCATGACCCATTTTCAATGCCCTGGCTGAGGGAAGGAGGTTCTCACCCAAGATTTGACGGTACATGGCCCTGTCCATCGTCCCTTTGATGCGGTGAAGTTGTTCTGTCCCCTTAGCAGAAAAACACCCCCAAAGCATGTTTCCACCTCCATGTTTGACGGTGGGGATGGTGTTCTTGGGGTCATAGGCAGCATTCCTCCGCCTCCAAACACGGCGAGTTGAGTTGATGCCAAAGAGCTCGATTTTGGTCTCATCTGACCACAACACTTTCACCCAGTTCTCCTCTGAATCATTCAGATGTTCATTGGAAAACTTCAGACGGGCCTGTATATGTGCTTTCTTGAGCAGGGGGACCTTGCGGGCGCTGCAGGATTTCAATCCTTCACAGCGTAGTGTGTTACCAATTGTTTTCTTGGTGACTATGGTCCCAGCTGCCTTGAGATCATTGACAAGATCCTCCCGTGTAGTTCTGGGCTGATTCCTCACCGTTCTCATGATTATTGCAACTCCACGAGGTGAGATCTTGCATGGAGCCCCAGGCCGAGGGAGATTGACAGTTATTTTGTGTTTCTTCCATTTGCGAATAATCGCACCAACTGTTGTCACCTTCTCACCAAGCTGCTTGGCGATGGTCTTGTAGCCCATTCAAGCCTTGTGTAGGTCTACAATCTTGTCCCGACATCCTTGGAGAGCTCTTTGGTCTTGGCCATGGTGGAGAGTTTGGAATCTGATTGCTTCTGTGGACAGGTGTCTTTTATATAGGTAACAAGCTGAGATTAGGAGCACTCCCTTTAAGAGTGTGCTCCTAATCTCAGCTCATTACCTGTATAAAAGACACCTGGGAGACAGAAATCTTTCTGATTGAGAGGGGGTCAAATACTTATTTCCGTCATTAAAATGCAAATCAATTTATAACATTTTTGACATGCGTTTTTCTGGATTTTTTTGTTGTTATTCTGTCTCTCACTGTTCAAATAAACCTACCATTACAATTATAGACTGATCATTTCTTTGTCAGTGGGCAAACGTACAAAATCAGCAGAGGATCAAATACTTTTTCCCCCTCACTGTATGGAATGCTTGTAATTATACTTCAGTATACCATAGTAACATCTGACAAAAGTATCTAAAAACACTGAAGCAGCGAACTTTGTGAAGACCAATACTTGTGTCATTCTCAAAACATTTGACCACGACTGTATATACTGTATTCTATACTATCTATTGCGTCTTAGCCTATGCTGCTCTGACAATGACATTGCTCATCCTTATATTTATATATTCTTATTCCATTCCTTTACTTAGATTTAAGTGTATTAGATATTTGTTGTGGAACTGTTAGATATTACTTGCTAGATATTACTGCACTGTCGGAACTAGAAGCACAAGCATTTTGCTACACTCGCAATAACATCTGCTAACCATGTGTAAGTGACCAATACATTTGATTTGATCGGAGCATTCTACTCAATGCATCCTCATTGGGCGCTGATGAAGATTGTCTAAAGTGCATTACTGTGGCTTGAAAACACGATGACATTTCTAAAGGCAAATAAATAGTGCACAAATCGTATCATTTTGAAGTCGCCAGATTGACATTAGATGCAGTATAACGTTATCTTAGCTCATTGGTCACCATAGCAGCACCCACCCGTAGTCTGCGCTCCAGCAGGTATATCTCACTGGTCATTCCCAAAGCCAACACCTCCTTTGGCCGCCATTCCTTCCAGTTCTCTGCTGCCAATGACTGGAACGAATTGCAAAAATCTCTGAAGCTGGAGACACTTATCTCCCTCACTAACTTTAAGCATCAGTTGTCAGAGCACCTTACCGATCACTGCACCTGTACACAGCCCATCTGAAATTAGCCCACCCAACTACGTCATCCCTATATTGTTATTTATTTTGCTCTTTTGCACCCCAGTATCTCTATTTGCACATAATCTCTTGCACATCTAGCATTCCAGTGTTAATACTAATTGTAATTATTTTGCACTATAGCCTATTTATTGCCTTACCTCCATAACTTGCTACATTTGCACACACTGTATATATATTTTCTGTTGTATTTTTTTACTTTATGTTTTTTTACCCCATATGTAACTCTGTGTTGTTGTTTTTAATCGCACTGCTATGCTTTATCTTGGCCAGGTCGCAGTTGTAAATGAGAACTTGTTCTCAACTGGCTTACCTGGTTAAATAAAGGTTAAATAAAAATATAAAAAAAGCTAGCTATTTAAGATTGAGGGGAGACCTCCAGATTTCAGCTAGCTAACATTAGCATTGCTAGCTAATAACATTGCCATCTGTCTAAAGTAAATTTGACATGGCAAAGTTGTTTCCTACTAAATATGTGCCAACTTTAGCAATGTCATTTTATTTCCAAGCCCCTATAGTGTAATTTAGATGACAGTCATTAGCCCCGGTTCCAAGTCATTAGCCCCAGTTCTACATTTGACCATCAATATGGCTGCAGCATCTGTGGAACGTTGGCAACAACGCGACCGAGTGGCGGAGGTGCAACCCATGAATAGCTGGCCCATAATCAGACAGCGCACAGGGTTGGTTGGTTAGAATGGTTTGTTGGTAACAACGGCAGCAGGCAGTTTGTCTCCAAGCAACAGAAACCGCTCCATAACAGCTGGTCAACAACATCAGTGGCTGTGGCTATGCATGCCTGATTAGAATGGTTGGAGTTTGTGCCGTTTCATTCACTAACCATGTTGAAGAGCGGTTGATGTAGACCGGTAATGTGGGCAATGTCAGCCTTAGCTGGCTTAGGCACAGGCAAATGTTAATGTCTCCAACTTGGTGTAACTGAAATGAGTTGCATTCAAACCCAACAAACCTTTGAACGTGAGAGGCTTATTAAATATAAAAGTGAATGCAGGCAGTGTCGACTAAACTGACTTTCAGTTGCATGCAGTGTTTATAGCCATTCTACCAGTATGTACAGAGTTGAACTGAATGACCCCTGAACAGATGCTGGTTCACAGGTTGTGTCCTCAGGGTGTGTGTTTAGTCTTACCAGTGTTGTAACCATGGGAACCGTAGCCGCTGGCCTGCTGGAAGGCTGTTGCCGAGGCGTTGACTCCAACATTCACACCGTGCTGCTTCGACGAGGTAGGAGCCACCTGGAAACACAGACAGGTTAGAGGTCAAACTAACATACTTAGTTGTCTAAAGTATATAAAATATCAGCTGCTAACACGTCATTTCAATTCCTTTTACAGCATACTGGATTCTCTCAATTGAAGCTGCATTAGAGGACATTTTGCCAAAAAACTGTTTGTAATACATGTGTCCAGTTATAAATTACAGTTTGCATGTCATATTACAAAATGCATTTGTACATGCATCACGAGAACATACCCTTGTTAACTTCATAAAAACATCCAAAATTGACAATACCCAGACAAATCATGAGAAACCTCACCGGGAACATGGCGGGGCCGTACTGGAAGGTGTTGGGCAGGCCCGGCACGCCGGTGTAGTAGGGCAGGCTGGTGTAGCTGTAGCCAGGGGGCAGTGCGGGGTTCAGGAAGGGCTGCTGCGTGGTGTGGTGCGTCTGGCTCTGGTTCTGCTGCGACTGCTGGGCCAATGTGGTGGCCGGCGCCGGGGATGACGCGTCACCTCGACCAAACTTTGATAAGTCACCTGCGGGGAACGGGGGAGAGAGATTAAAGGCAAAGGGAAATGTGTGAAAGGGGGATGAGTGGGAGAGAGACGAGAGAGGAAAAAGTTACAGAATAACTTCCGTTGTGTTCAAGCAACAGGCGGGTGATTCTCAGATCAGTTAGTACACCAGTACAATAACGTTGTAGCAGCGTATCAGTTCCAGTCAGTCACAGCGATGAAGGTCTGACTATCTGGTGGTAGCTGCACATTGTTCTAGCACACCACTGTCCCCCTGTTTCGCCATGGAGACGCAGGACAGGATCAACTGTTGTGTTCGTTCCTAACACCAAACCCCTCCCTTCACTGTGTTAGCACTCAGTACACAGTCCATAGATTAGGAAAGTAGAGTTAGTTGTACACCATAGATGGGGGTTAGAATGGCGCTTACCAGAGTAAGGGTTGTTGCTCAAGCTGCCATCTCTGCCAGTCAGTGCTGTGTTGGGGGTGGCAAACGGGATGCTGTAGTAATCCTGAGAAGACAGAAGAGGCTTAGTTTTAACTAGTACGAAAGGACTATCAGACTATATCCCGTTTCATTCAATCGCTACATAGCAAAGTTCCTGGAAAGAAATGAGGGTTCCAAGAACAGTTTGGCAAGACAGCCAGTTGTTCCCTTCTTTAAAAAACAGTTTGCAACTGTTGCTAGAGTTAATAGTAAATACCAGAAGTCATATTTGGCCAGTCCACACATGGATGGGTTAGATCCAGATAACTTACTCACCAGTGGTATTCTTGTCTGGAGCATCTGTAGGTCATCATAGCCGTACACCTGAGGCTGAGGGGCACAAGGCGGTGAGACAAGACAAAGAATTAAAAAAACTTTCGCAATTTTTCTCTAATTGCAGTATACAATTATGAAGCACTAAATCGCATCTTTTATAAACTGTAAAAATCGGAATATTGAACGATATGCCCAGATATAGGCAGTCAGTCACATACAGATAAGACTTCATGATTTCCATGACCTAAAGGCAGGTTTAGTTGACAGAGACAGTGAGGAGTACTTAGGTCTTCCTATAAACTAGAGTTCCAGTGAGGATTTCCTATGCTGTTTATTACAGCTGTTGATAAATCATTGATAATAATCTGCCAATTTGTGTCATGTCATTAAATTAAGATATAAGGGGAACATAGCTCCAGTGAGCGAAAAAAGTATTGGATCCCCTGCTGATTTTGTACGTTTGCCCACTGACAAAGACATGATCAGTCTATAATTTTAATGGTAGGTTTATTTGAACAGTGAAAGACAGAATAACAACAAAAAAATCCAGAAAAACGCATGTCAAAAATGTTATAAATTGATTAGCATTTTAATGAGGGAAGTATTTGACCCCTCTGCAAAACATTACTTAGTACTTGGTGGCAAAACCATGGTTGGCAATCAGAGGTCAGACGTTTCTTGTAGTTGGCCACCAGGTTTGCATACATCTCAGGAGGGATTTTGTCCCACTCCTCTTTGCAGATCTTCTCCAAGTCATTAAGGTTTCGAGGCTGACGTTTGGCAACTCGAACATTCAGCTCCCTCCACAGATGTTCTATGGGATTAAGGTCTGGAGACTGTCTAGGCCACTCCAGGACCTTAATGTGCTTCTTCTTGAGCCACTCCTTTGTTGCCTTGGCCGTGTGTTTTGGGTCATTGTCATGCTGGAATACCCATCCATGACCCATTTTCAATGCCCTGGCTGAGGGAATGAGGTTCTCACCCAAGATTTGATGGTACATGGCCCCGTCCATCGTCCCTTTGATGTGGTGAAGTTGTCCTGTCCCCTTAGCAGAAAAACACCCCCAAAGCATAATGTTTCCACCTCCATGTTTGACGGTGGGGATGGTGTTCTTGGGGTCATAGGCAGCATTCCTCCTCCTCCAAACACGGCGAGTTGAGTTGATGCCAAACTTCAGACGGCCCTGTATATGTGCTTTCTTGAGCAGGGGGACCTTGCGGGCGCTGCAGGATTTCAGTCCTTCACGGCGTAGTGTGTTACCAATTGTTTTCTTGGTGACTATGGTCCCAGCTGCCTTGAGATCATTGGCAAGATCTTCCCGTGTAGTTCTGGGCTGATTCCTCACCGTTCTCATGATCATTGCAACTCTGCGAGGTGAGATCTTGCATGGAGCCCCAGGCCGAGGGAGATTGACAGTTAATTTGTGTTTCTTCCATTTGCGAATAATCGCACCAACTGTTGTCACCTTCTCACCAAGCTGCTTGGCGATGGTCTTGTAGCCCATTCCAGCCTTGTGTAGGTCTACAATCTTGTCCCTGACATCCTTGGAGAGCTCTTTGGTCTTGGCCATGGTGGAGAGTTTGGAATCTGATTGATTGATTGCTTCTGTGGACAGGTGTCTTTTATACAGATAACAAGCTGAGATTACGAGCACTCCCTTTAAGAGTGTGCTCCTAATCTCAGCTCGTTAACTGTATAAAAGACACCTGGGAGCCAGACATCTTTCTGATTGAGAGGGGGTCAAATACTTATTTCACTCATTAAAATGCAAATCAATTCATAACATTTTTTACATGCATTTTTCTGGATTTCTTTTTTGTAATTCTGTCTCTCACTGTTCAAATAAACCTACAATTAAAATTATAGACTGATCATTTCTTTGTCAGTGGGCAAATGTACAAAATCAGCAGGGGATCAAATACTTTTTTCCCTCACTGTATATTCAATAAAATTCACAAGTTTATTTAAAACCTGTTTAACTCTTTCATGGTTGGGTTCTTGACGGATTTGTCCAAAATCGTATGACATAAAACATTACTTTTCTATCATTGCATTCATGGCAGTGTAAGTTGTCATTATATTGTATATTAAGCATTAATCAGTTAAATTAGAAATTGAACCATGTAAGAATCCTGGATCTAGCCATCTGACAGTTTTTTGTATAGATTTCAGAAATGCAGTGTAACTACGTAACATTTCGTGTCTCCTTATGTTACGGGGTGAAAACAGTTAAGGGCACACAAATCCCCCAAAATGTATGCGATTGCAAAATCGAATGCTTCTAACCGAAAGAGTCACCTTGATACTTAAAACCTAAATCGATACTGTCCTTAATGTGGTTCTTCAATAATTATGCATAATACTTGTTGGATGAACATTTGGTGTCGAGCTGTTTAATTATGCCATGATATTTTCAGACATCAGAAAATTCCTTCCTGGATCAGATGAATGACAGTCAATTGACGAACAGATGTTGTGATGGCACATGCGATGCAACAGCTGAGAAAAAGGTGTTCGCAAGTAATGTCCAGAGTATTGGAGTATCTCATTCGTTACACCGGTGAAGACAGTTGTGCCTGGATCCACGTTGGATCTAATATCCCTAGTGAATTGATGTTGATCATCTGTTGTCTGCTTGGTTTACAGCAGGGTCTCGTGAAATTTAACAGAGAAAGAAAGCATCAATGTAATGAGTTCATGTTTTAATATGTTTTTGTTTCTCGGATTGGACACAGTCTACTGTGTGCAATTCTATAGGATAGACTATGGCGCAACACCCAACGCTATACTTTTTAATTATTATGGATATAATGACACCAAATTACATAGCCTAGTGGGCTTCTTCACAATATGATCTGGTAATGAAATAACATGACAAATTCATTTGTTTCCATGTTAAACCTGCAATTTTAAACAATACAAAGGGCTTGAAGTAGCCTACTTGAATTTGGAGCTCAGAAGTACTGGAATAGACCTACATTGAAAATCAGACATTTCCTCAATTTGGTGCTTTAAAATTCCTATTGTAGCCAATTTATAAGTTCTCCTGCTCCCTTACAATTATCAGTGATTTCATTTTTGATCAGTTTGAGAGAGTTGTGGCCACTTCCGCTTGTTTCGCGCTGCTTCAATTGAAGTGTAAAACCATGTGCGGCTATTATGAGGACGACAACATCTAATGCAGGCTTCAACCTGTGAAGACATCAAAACTATGAAATAACACATGGAATCATGTAGTAACCCAAAAAAGTGTTAAACAAATCAAAATATATTTTATATTTGAGATTCTTCAAAGTAGCCACCCTTTGCCTTGACAATTTTGCACACTTGGCATTCTCTCAACCAGCTTCATGAGGTAGTCACCTGGAATGCATTTAAATTAACAGGTGTGCCTTGTTAAGTTCATTTGTGGAATTTCTTTCCTTCTTAACCTCTTAAGGATCGGACCCCTTTTTTCAATTTTTACCTAAAATGACATACCAAAATCTAACTGCCTGTAGCTCAAGACCTGAAGCAAGGATGTGCATATTCTTGATACCACTTGAAAGGAAACATTTTGAAGTTTGTGGAAATGTGAAATTAATGTTGGAGAATATAACACATTAGATCTGGTAAAAAATAACAAAAAAACATGCGTTTTCTTTTTTGTTTTGTTCCATCATCTTTGAAATGCAAAAGAAGATAGCCCTATTTGGGAAAAGACCAAGTCCATATTGTGGCAAGAACAGCTCCAATAAGCAAAGACAAACGACAGTTCATCATTACTTTAAGACGTGGAGGTCAGTCAATACGGAACATTTCAAGAACTTTGAAAGTTTCTTCAAGTGCAGTCGCAAAAACCATCAAGCGCTATGATGAAACTGGCTCTCATGAGGACCGCCACAGGAATGGAAGACCCAGAGTTACCTCTGCTGCAGAGGATAAGTTCATTAGAGTTACCAGTCTCAGAAATTGCAGCCCAAACAGACACATCAACATCAACTGTTCAGAGGAGACTGTGTGAAATCAGGCCTTCATGGACGAATTGCTGCAAAGAAACCACCACTAACGGACACCAATAAGAAAAAGAGACTTACTTGGGCCAAGAAACACAAGCAATGGACATTAGACCGGTGGAAATTTGTCCTTTGGTCTGGAGTCCAAATTTGAGATTTTTGGTTCCAACCACCGTGTCTTTGTGAGACGCGGTGTGGGTGAACGGATGATCTCCGCATGTGTATTTCCCACCGTAAAGCATGGAGGTGGTGGTGTTATGGTGTGGGGGTGCTTTGCTGGTGACACTGATTTATTTAGAATTCAAGGCACACTTAACCAGCATGGCTACCACAGCGATACGCCATCCCATCTGGTTTGGGCTTAGTGGGACTATCATTTGTTTTTCAACAGGACAATGACCCAACACACCTCCAGGCTGTGTAAGGGCTATTTGACCAAGAAGGAGAGTGATGGAGTGCTGCATCAGATGACCTGGCCTCCACAATCCCCCGACCTCAACCAAATTGAGATGGTTTGGGATGAGTCGGACCACAGAGTGAAGGAAAAGCAGCCAACAAGTGCTCAGCATATGTGGGAACTCCTTCAAGACTGTTGGAAAAGCATTCCTCATGAAGCTGGTTGAGAGAATGCCAAGAGTGTGCAAAGCTGTCATCAATGCAAAGGGTGGCTATTTGAAGAATCTCAAATATAAAACATATTTTGATCTGTTTAACACTTACTACATAATTCTATATGTGTTATTTCATAGTTTTGATATCTTCACTATTATTCTACAATGTAGAAAATAGTCAAAATAAAGAGAAACCCTTGAAGGAGTAGGTGTTCTAAAACTTTTGACCGGTAGTGTAAGTCAAATCAAACTGTATTTGTCACATGCGCCAAATACCGTGAAATGCTTACTTACAAGCCCTTAACCAACAATGCAGTTAAGAAAATATTTACTAAATAAAATAAAAGTACAAAATAAAAAAAAGTAACAATAACATAACAATAATGAGGCTATATACAGGGGGTACCGGTACCAAGTCAATGTGCGGGGGTAGAGGTTAGTCAATGTAATTTGTACATGTAGGTAGTGCGATAGTTAGCTTAGTGGTTAAGAGCGTAGTGCTAGTAACCGAAAGGTCGCTGGTTCTAATCCTCGAGCCGAATAGGTGAAAAATCTGTCGACGTGTCCTTGAGCAAGGCACTTAACCCTAATTGCTCCTGTAAGTCGCTCTGGATAAGAGCGTCTACTAAATGACTAAAATGTAAATGTAGTGGTAAAATGACTATGCATAGATAATAAACAGTGAGTAGCAACAGTGTAAAATCCGGGTGGCCATTTGATTAATTGTTCAGCAGTCTTATGGCTTGGGGGTAGAAGCTGTTAAGGAACCTTTTAAGCCGTTAAGGAGCGTTTTGGACCTAGACTTGGTGTTCCAATATCGCTTGCCGTGCGGTAATAGAGAGAACAATCTATGACTTGGGTGACGAGAGTGACAATATTTTGGGCCTTCCTCTGACACCGCCTAGTATATAGGTGCTGGATGGCAGGAAGCTTGGCCCCAGTGATGTACTGGGCCATACGAACTACCCTCTGTAGCGCCTTACGGTCAGACGCCGAGCAGTTGCCATACCAGGCGGTGATGCTACTGGTCAGGATGCTCTCGATGGTGCAGCTGTAGAACTTTGAGGATCTGGGGACTCATGCCAAATCTTTTCAGTCTCCTGAGGGGAAAAAGGCGTTGTCGTGCCCGCTTCATGATTTTCTTGGTGTGTTTGGACCATGATAGTTTTTGGTGATGTGGACACCAAGGAACTTGAAACTCTCGACCCGCACCACTACAGCCCCGTCGATGTGAATGGGGGCGTGTTCGGCCCCCCTTTTCCTGTAGTCCATGATAATCTCCTTTGTCTTGCTCACATTGAAGGATAGGTTTTTGTCCTGGCACCACACTGCCAGGTCTGACCTCCGCCCTATAGGCTGTCTCATCGTTGTCGGTGATCAGGCCTACCACCGTTGTGTCGTCAGCAAACTTAATGATGGCGTTTGAGTCATGCTTGGCCTCGCAGTCGTGGGTGAACAAGGAGTACAGGAGGGGACTAAGCACACACCCCTACGGGAACCCCGTGTTGAGGATCAGCGTGGCAGATGTGTTGTTGCCTACCCTTACCACCTTGGGGCGGCCCATCAGGAAGTCCAGGATCCAGTTGTAGAGGGAGGTTTTTAGTCCCAGGGTCCTTAGCTTAGTGCTGAGCTTTGTGGGCACTAAGGTGTTGAACACTGAGCTGTATTCAGAGCATTTACTCAGTACTTTGTTGAAGCACAATCCTGTCTCGGATCTCTACGGACAATTCCTTCGACCTCATGGCTTGGTTTTTGTTCTGACATGGACTGTCAACTGTGGGACCTTATATAGACGTGTGTGCCTTTCCAAATCATGTCCAATCAATTGAATTTACCACAGGTGGACTCCAATCAAATTGTAGAAACATCTCAAGGATGAACAATGGAAAAAGGATGCACCTGAGCTCAATTTCTTGTTTCAAAGCAAAGGGTCTGAATACTTATAAATAAAGTATTTATATTGTTTATTTAGCTAAAGTTTCTAAAAACCAGTTTTCGCTTTGTCATTATGGGGTATTGTGTGTAGATTGATGAGGATTTTATTTCTTTAATCCATTTTAGAATAAGGCTGTAATGTAAAAAAAGTGGAAAAAGTCAAGGGGTCTGAATACTTTCCGAAAGCGCTGTAAATTATACATTTTTACATTTAAATGTTAGTCATTTAGCAGACGTTCTTATCCAGAGCGACTTACAGTTAGAGAGAGCATACATAATATTTTGTATTTTTCATACTGGTCCCCCGTGGGAATCGAACCCACAACCCTGGCATTGCAAACGCCATGCTCTACCAACTGAGCTACATCCATGTGCGCCGCCCCATGGGTCTCCCGGTCGCGGCCGGCTACGACAGAGCCTGGATTCGAACCAGGATCCCTTAGACCACTGCGCCACTCTGGAGATATTACATTGAGATCCTTGAAAAGTACAATTAAGTGCTTGAAATAGTCCCTGAAATTCTTTGAATTTGGCTTGCCAATGTCTGTATGAACCCTGCTTAAAGGATGTATAGTCCTAGGCCTACGTAGTTGTATAGGTGGAGTCATGGGGTAATTTGCAAATATTCCTCTAAGCACACATATGAAACTACATAAATCATTTTTATTTTGGTTTCAAAACATTTAAAAAATGTTGATCCCAATGTCACACATTGGCCCCATTATTTATAGAAAGACCCACTTACAGGGTAGGCGTGCAGTAGCCCGGGGGCCATGATGTACGGGTTGGGCAGCAGAGGAGGCACTCCAGGAGGAAGGTTAGGAGGTGCTTTCCCTGTAAAGAGACCAGCAGAAACAAAATACAAAACGTATGAAATAATAGGATGGAAATTATAGTATTAGAAAAAGAAAAAAAACACACTTCAAGTTTACAACACGCTTACATCCCACATCTAAACCGGAGACCCCTGTCTGCATCCTAAATGGCACCCTTTTCCCTATACAGTGCCCCTGGACTTTTTCCACATTTTGTTGAGTTACAGCCTGAATTTAAAATGGATTCAATTGAGATTCTTCAGGAGGCTGAAGAAATGTGGCTTGGCCTCGAAGACCCTTACAAACTTTTACAGATGCACAATTGAGAGCATCCTGTCGGGCTGTATCACCGCCTGGTACGGCAACTGCACCGCCCGCAACCGCAGGGCTCTCCAGAGGGTGGTGCGGTCTGCCCAACGCATCACTGGGGGCAAACTGCCTGCCCTCCAGGACACCTACAGCACCGATGTCACAGGAAGGCCAAAAAGATCAACAACCACCCGAGCCACCGTCTGTTCACCCCGCTATCATCCAGAAGGCGGGGTCAGTACAGGTGCATCAAAGCTGGGACCTAGAGACTGAAAAAAAGCTTCTATCAAAGGCCATCAGACTGTTAAATAGCCATCACTAGCCTGCTACCACCCGGTTACTCAACCCTGCACCTTAGAGGCTGCTGCCCTACGTACATAGACATGCAATCACTGTTCACTTTAATAATGGAACAGTCACTTTCATAATGTTTACATTCTGCTTTACTCATCTCACGTATATACTGTATTCTATTCTACTGTATTTTAGTCAATGCCCCTCCGACATTGCTCGTCCTAATATTTATATATTTCTTAATTCCATTCTTTTACTTTTAGATTTGTGTATTGTTGTTAGATACTACTGCACTGTTGGAGCTAGGAACACAAGCATTTCGCTACACCCGCAATAACATCTGCTAAATATGTGTATGTGACCATTACAATTTCATATTATTTACATTATTTTTTGAATGTCTACATCTCTGTACCCCACAAATACAATTATCTGTAAGGTCCCTCAGTCGAGTAGTGAATTTCAAACAGATTCAACCACAAAGACCAGGGAGGTTTTTCAGTGCCTCGCAAAGGAGAGGAACTAAACTGCTCAGGGATTTCACCATGAGGCCAATGGCGACTTTAAAACAGTTACAGAGTTTAATGGCTGTGATGAGAAACTGATCCAACACTGTAGTTACATCACAATACTAACCTAATTGACAGAGTGAAACGGAAGCCTGTACAGAAGAAAAATATTGCAAAACATGCATCCTGTTTGCAACAATGCACTAAAGTAATACTGCAAAGAATGTGGCAAAGCAATTAACTTTTTGTCCTGAATACAAAGTGTTATGTTTGGAGCAAATCCAATTCAACACATTACTGAGCACCACCATCCATATTTCCAAGCATAGTGGTGGCTGCATCATGTTATGGGTATGCTGCTTGTAATCGTTAAGGACTGGAGAGTTTTTCAGGTTAAAAAAATAAATGGAATGAGCTAAGCACTGGCAAAATCCTAGAGGAAAACCTGGTTCATTCTGCTTTCCACCAGACACTGGGAGATTAATTCGCCTTTCAGCAGGACAATAACCTAAACACAAGGCCAAATCTACACGAGTTTCTTACCAAGACAGTGAATGTTCCTGAGTAGCAGAGTTACAGTTTTGACTAAAATATACGGCAAGACCTGAAAATGGTAGTCTAGCAATGATCAACAACCAATTTGACAGAGCTTGAAGAATTTTGAATAGAATAATGGGCAAATGTTGCACAATCCATGTGTGGAAAGCTCTTAGACTTACCCAGAAAGACTCACAGCTGTACTCGCTGCCAAAGGTTATTCTACAAAGTATTGACTCAGGGGTGTGACCAGGGAGGTTTTTATGGTGTATTGTGTGTAGATGGATGAGATTATTTTTTTAAATCCATTTTGAATTCAGGCTGTAACAACAAAATGAGGAATAAGTCAAGGGGTATGAATACTTTCTGAAGGCTCCCGTCAAAAGTAGTGCACTACATATAGGGAATAGGGTGCCATTTGGGACGCACTCCCCTTAACCAACAACCCATGTCTAACCTGAGGAGACTACAGAGCTGCGTGAGGAGGCGGAGGAAGCGATTGCCTGGGCTTGGGCTGCAGAGGCTACGGCTGGAGGTCCCATGGAGGCTGTTGTGTGGAGGCCCATGCCCGCTAGGCTGCTGACGGGGCCCATGCCCGCTAGGCTGCTGACGGGGCCCATGCCCGCTAGGCTGCTGACGGGGCCCATGCCCGCTAGGCTGCTGACGGGGCCCATGCCCGCTAGGCTGCTGACGGGGCCCATGCCCGAGGGGACCGACTGAGACACTGTGTTCACTGAAGAGGGCTGAGGGGCCCCCATGGAGACCTGATGAGCTGCTGCATCCACCGACGAGGAAGAGGGGACCGAGGAAGAGGACACCGCCGAGACAGAGGGGAAGGAGGTGTGCAAGCTGGAGTTGTCTACGCTCTGGAGCTGTAAGGATGGATGAAGGAGGGATGGATGGAGAGAAGAGGAGATTGTTATGATAAATAGGATTAAATCCCCACTAGGTTAGATTAAGTAGTAATTGATTAATCCTCTATCACAGGAAATGCTTTCTCTTCTCGCTCACACACACACTCACCATTTGACTGGCGCTGGATATGCAGACTTGTGCTAGAGCAAGACTGTTCTGTTGTGTAGAAAGGGAACTGGAGAGAGAACAAACAATCATCCATCAATTTAGTTGAATAAAGAACCATTATCTACTGGCACTACTACAGTCGTGGTCAAAAGTTTTGAGAATGACAAATATTAATTTTCACAAAGTCTGCTGCCTCAGTTTTTATGATGGCAATTTGCATATACTCCAGAATGTTATGAAGAGTGATCAGATGAATTGCAATTAATTGCAAAGTCCCTCTTTGCCATGAAAATCAACTTAATCCCCCCCAAAAAACTTTTGTGGCCGGGCATTTCAGCCCGGCCACAAAAGGACCAGCTGACATGTCAGTGATTCTCTCGTTAACACAGGTGAGAGTGTTGACGAGGACAAGGCTGGAGATCACTCTGTCATGCTGATTGAGTTAGAATAACAGACTGGAAGCTTTAAAAAGGAGGGAGGTGCTTGAAATCATTGTTCTTCCTCTGTTAACCATGGTTACTTGCAAGGAAATACGTGCCGTCATCATTGCTTTGCACAAAAAGGGCTTCACAGGCAAGGATATTGCTGCTAGTAAGATTGCACCTAAATCAACCATTTATCGGATCATCAAGAACTTCAAGGAGAGAGGTTAAATTGTTGTGAAGAAGGCTTCAGGGCGCCCAAGAAAGTCCAGCAAGCGCCAGGACCGTCTCCTAAAGTTGATTCAGCTGCGGGATCGGGGCACCACCAGTGCAGAGCTTGCTCAGGAATGGCAGCAGGCAGGTGTGAGTGCATCTGCACGCACAGTGAGGCGAAGACTTTTGGAGGATGGCCTGGTGTCAAGGGCAGCAAGGAAGCCACTTCTCTCCAGGAAAAACATCAGGGACAGACTGATATTCTGCAAAAGGTACAGGGATTGGACTGCTGAGGACTGGGGTAAAGTCATTTTCTCTGATGAATCCCCTTTCCGATTGTTTGGGGCATCCGGAAAAAAGCTTGTCTGGAGAAGACAAGGTGAGCGCTACCATCAGTCCTGTGTCATGCCAACAGTAAAGCATTCATGTGTGGGATTGCTTCTCTGCCAAGGGAGTGGGCTCACTCACAATTTTGCCTAAGAACACAGCCATGAATGAGGAATGGTACCAACACATCCTCCGAGAGAAACTTCTCCCAACCATCCAAGAACAGTTTGGTGACGAACGATGCCTTTTCCAGCATGATGGAGCACCTTGCCATAAGGCAAAAGTGATAACTAAGTGGCTCGGGGAACAAAACATCAACATTTTGGGTCCATGGCCAGGAAACTCCCCAGACCTTAATCCCATTGAGAACTTGTGGTCAATCCTCAAGAGGCGGGTGGACAAACAAAACCCCACAAATTCTGACAAACTCCAAGCATTGATTATGCAAGAATGGGCTGCCATCAGTCAGGATGTGGCCCAGAAGTTAATTGACAGCATGCCAGGGCGGATTGCAGTGGTCTTGAAAAAGAAGGGTCAACACTGCCAATATTGACTCTTCGCATAAACTTAATGTAATTGTCAATAAAAGCCATTGACACTTATGGAACGCTTGTAATTATACTTTAGTATACCATAGTAACATCTGACAAAAGTATCTAAAAACACTGAAGCAGCAAACTTTGTGAAGACCAATACTTGTGTCATTCTCAAAACCTTTGACCACGACTGTTCAATCCAAACTCTTCAAATGTCACTCAAAATCAGGATCCTACAGCATTCTTCAACCTGTTCGGCTCCAGTATCCCTGCACGAATTGACCTAGAAATTGTGCACAGGTCTCCAAGTGGCCCCCCTGCACCAGGTCACCCATCGTGCAATGTCTAGGTAAGATTTATGCGATTCCAAGACAAACTACACATACGACTCTCGAGGGAAGGGCCATCTGAGCATTAAAAATGCACGGATCCCGAATACTCTGTGGAGATTCAGAAGCAGAGAAGCGCCTTCATGGACATAAAGAACGTGTTGTCCTTCGTATCCAAGGCTGAAGCCGCTGCCTTCCTAGCAGAGAATAACCTTACCAAAAAAGACACCGGTGCAAGGTAATACTACCGGGCCATGCCCTATTTATTGAAACTATCATGCCTATTTTCGTTGTATTATGAAGGCGTAAGTAGAGAATTACTCAACTTGTACATCTTCTGGTCTATTTCTTCCATTGGTCTTTATTTTTATGATAATTTTTATATAAGGGAATACACAATCTTATAGCAATGCGATATGTGTGGCTAACAGACAAGCTACGGCTATATGTTATTTTGGTATACGAAGCGCGCTGGACCCAGTCCTGGGTCCTGGTTTGTGTCTGGGAGCCCGACTCCAAAAGCTTTCAATGGATGAATTATGTACATATTTTTTCCGCTGTCTTCTAATTGTAATATATCATCGATGATCCCCGTTAAAAAAAAAGTTATTGTAACTTTTAATTTTTACCTAAGATGGACTCATAAATGAAGTTAGTGTCGGGAGACTAGGGGAGCATAATGTGCACCTCAGACCCAGAGCCAATGAGGTATCCAGGGTTGGGCCTGAGCCTATGGTGGGTTCAGGCATTGGGGGGAGGGGGGGGGGGGTGGTTACAATTGTTCAGTATTTCAGGTGGGTCAGACAAGGTCAGGGGAAAAGCAACATGTATATGGGTACATTTTTCCTTAGGGCTGACCCCAAATAGTCGACTGGTCGATTGTTTGGTCGTTAGGCTGTTGGTCGACCAAGATTGTTTTAGTCGAGCATTAACATATACAGTGCCTTCGGAAAGTATTCAGACCCCTTGACTTTTTCCACTTTGTTACGTTACAGTCTTATTCTAAAATGGATTATATTTGATAAAGTCCTCAGGAATCTACACAAAATACCCCATAATGACGAAGCAAACAGTTTTTAGAAATTTTTGCAACTTAAAAACAGAAATACCTTATTTACGTAAGTATTCAGACCCTTTGCCATGAGACTCAAAATTGAGCTCAGGTGCATCCTGTTTCCATTGATCATCCTTGAGATGCTTCTACAACTTGATTGGAGTACACCTGTGGTAAATTAAATTGATTGGACATGATTTTGGCATGTCTATATAAGGTCCCACAGTTGACAGTGCATGTCAGAGCAAAAACCAAGCCATGAGGTCGAAGGAATTGTCCCTAGAGCTCGGAAACAGGATCGTGTCAAGGCACAGATCTGGGGAAGGGTACGAAAAAATGTCTGCAGCATTGAAGGTCCTCAAGAACACAGTGGCCTCCATCATCCTTAAATGGAAGAAGTTTTGAACCACCAAGGCTCTTCCTAGAGCTGGCCGCCCGGCCAAACTGAGCAATCGAGGGAGAAGGGCCTTGGTCAGGGAGGTAACCAAGAACCTGATGGTCACTGACAGAGCTCCAGAGTTCCTATGTGGAGATGGGAGAAACTTCCAGAAGGATAACCATCTCTACAGCACTCAACCAATCAGGCCTTTATGGTAGAGTGGCCAGACGGAAGCCACTCCTCTCTAAAAATGCACATGACAGCCCGCTTGGAGTTTGACAAAAGACATCCTAAAGACTCTGACCGTGAGAAACAAGATTCTCTGGTCTGATGAAACTAAGATTGGCCTGAATGCCAAGCATCATGTCTGGAGGAAACCTGGCACCATCCCTACGGTGAAGCATGGTGGTGGCAGCATGCTGTGGGGATATTTTTCAGCGGCAGGGACTGGGAGACTAGTCAGGATCGAGGCAAAGACGAACGGAGCAAAGTAGAGAGATATCCTTGATGAAACTCTGCTCCAGAGCGCTCAGGACCTCAGACTGGGGCGAAGGTTCACCTTCCAACAGGACAACGACCGTAAGCACACAGCCAAGACAATGCAGGAGTAGCCTAGCCAGAGCCCGGACCTGAACCCGATTGAACAACTCTGGAGAGACCTGAAAATAGTATTTTGTGTAGATTGATGAATTGAATCAATTTTCGAATAATTCTGTAACGTAACAATATGTGGAAAAAGTCAAGGGGTCTGAATACTTTCCGAAGGCACTGATATACACACTGCAAAAAAAGAAATGTCCTCTCACTGTCAACTGCATTTATTTTCAGCAAACTTAACATATTTGTATGAACATAAGATTAAACAACTGAGACAAACTGAACAAGTTCCACAGACGTGACTAACAGAAATTGAATAATGTGTCCCTGAACAAAGGGGGAGTCAAAATCAAAAGTAACAGTCAGTATCTGGTGTGGCCACCAGCTGCATTAAAAATAATAATAATATGCCATTTAGCAGACGCTTTTATCCAAAGCGACTTAGTCATGTGCGCATACATTTTTACGTATGGGTGGTCCCGGGGATCGAACCCACAACCCTGGCGTTACAAGCGCCATGCTCTACCAATTCAGCTACAGAGGACCACAATGTACTGCAATGCATCTCCTCCTCATGGACTGCACCAGATTTGCCAGTTCTTGCTTTGAGATGTTACCTCACTCTTCCACAAAGACACCCCATTAGTTCCCAGACATTTCTGGGGGGAATGGCCCTAGCCCTCACCCTCCAATCCAACAGGTCCCAGACGTGCTCAATGGGATTGAGATCAGGGCTCTTCGCTTGCCATGGCAGAACACTGACATTCCTGTCTTGCAGGAAATCACACACAGAAAGAGCAGTATGGCTGGTGGCATTGTCATGCTGGAGGGTCAAGTCAGGATGAGCCTGCAGGAAGGGTACCACATGAGGGAGGAGGATGTCTTCCCTTTAATGCACAGCATTGAGATTGCCTGCAATGACAAGAAGCTCAGTCCAATGATGCTGTGACACACCGCCCGAGACCATGACGGACCCTCCACCTCCAAATCAATCCTGCTCCAGAGTACAGGCCTCGGTGTAACGCTGATTCCTTTGACGATAAACGCGAATCCGACCATCACCCCTGGTGAGACAAAACCGCGACTCGTCAGTGAAGAGCACTTTTTGCCAGTCCTGTCTGGTCCAGCGACGGTGGGTTTGTGCCCATAGGCGACGTTGTTGCCGGTGATGTCTGGTGAGGCCTACAAGCCCTCAGTCCAGCCTCTCTCAGCCTATTGCGGAGAGTCTGAGCACTGATGGAGGGATTGTGCGTTCCTGGTGTAACTCGGGCAGTTGTTGTTGCCATCCTGTACCTGTCCCGCAGGTGTGATGTTCGGTTGTACCGATCCTGTGTAGGTGTTGTTACACGTGGTCTGCCACTGCGAGGACGATCAGCTGTCCGTCCTGTCTCCCTGTAGCGCTGTCTTAGGCGTCTCACAGTACGGACATTCCAATTTATTGCCCTGGCCACATCTGCAGTCCTCATGCCTCAGAATAATAGTGAAGACATCAAAACTATGAAATAACACATGTAATCATGTAGTAACCAAAAAAGTGTTAAACAAATCAAAATATATTTTATATTTGAGATTCTTCAAAGTAGCCACCCTTTGCCTTGATGACAGCTCGTTGCAGACAGGCCATGTGTTGCCAATGTGATTTATAAGATATTTATTTTAAAATCAGGATATTTTCTACTTGCAGGCTGCAATGTTTTATTTATTGGCTTTATGTAGACTAATTTTATATAGATGGCAATAGAAGTTACTTCATTAGGTTTGTATAATTTTCATTTAGATCTTTATAGAATTTTGATTAAACCAGATGACAAGGATTGATATATGCCTATAAATTAAACGAAATTGTTTCACGAAAATGTGCATATGAAAACCATAACTGGCACGCAGATCGGTAGAAGTGGTAAGATAAATTGGCATTCATGAGAAAGGTTGCCGACTCCTCGTGTAGCCTATTACCGGCAACTTCAGGAGAGTAATGGCAGAATCTGCGAAAGCCAGAATTCAAGGCACACTTAACCAGCATAGCTACCACAGCATACGCCATCCCATCAGGTTTGCGCTTAGTGAGACTATCATTTGTTTTTCACCTCCAGGCTGTGTAAGGGCTATTTGATCAAGAAGGAGAGTGATGGAGTGTAAATGTAATGGAGTGCTGCATCACATGACCTGGCCTCCACAATCACCTGACCTCAACCCAATTGAGATGGTTTGGGATTAATTGGACCGCAGTGTGAAGGAAAAGCAGCCAATAAGTGCTCAGCATATGTGGGAACTCCTTCAAGACGGTTGGAAAAGCATTCCTCATGAAGCTGGTTGAGAGAATGCCAAGAGTGTGCAAAGCTGTCATCAAGGCAAAGGGTGGCTACTTTGAAGAATCTCAAATTTATAATATTTTGATTTGTTTAACACTTTTTTGGTTACTACATGATTCCATATGTGTTATTTCATAGTTTTGATGTCTTCACTATTATTCTACAATGTACAAAATAGTACAAATAATGACAAACCCTTGAATGAGTAGGTGTCCAAACTTTTGACTGGTCCTGTACATATTACCTCAATTACCTCAACTAACCTGTACCCCCACACATTGACTAGGTACCGGTACCCCCTTTATATAGCCTCGTTATTGTTCTAATATTGTTGCTCTTATTTTTTCTTTAGTTGATGTAGTAAATATTTTCTTAACTCCATTTTCTTAATACTGCAGTTTTGGTTAAGGGCTTGTAAGTAAGCATTTCACAGTAAGGTCTACACTGGTTGTATTCGGCGCATGTGACAAATAACCTTTGATTTGATGGCACCTTTTGGTCTAGTACCTACTGGTTTAACCTCTATGGGATTGGTGTCCCGTATATGGGACGGTTGAGCTAACGTGCGCTAATGTGATTAGCCTGACTGTTGTAAGTAACAGCAAACTTTCCAGGACATACGACATGTCTTATATGGGCAGAAAGCTTAAATTCTTGTTAATCTAACTGCACTATCCAATTTTCAGTAGCTATTACAAGGAAAAAAGACCATGCTATTGTTTGAGGAGAGTGCACAACAAGAAACGTATCACGGCAACTGGTTTGATACATTCACCTCTGAAGGTATATAATGTACTTACATTAAGTAATCTTGCTCTGATTTGTCATCCTAAGGGTCCCAGAGATAAAAGGTAGCATCGTTTTGTTTGATAAAATCATTTTTTATATTCAAAAAGTAGGAACTGGGTTCTACAGTTTGAACCCCTGCTGTCTCTGGCTCCACACCCACCCCGCCATCTAGATGCGTGAAACTTAGTGTATAAGCTAATGATCCATCATGTATGACATTCCTGGGAGTGTGTAAACTTACATTTTGTATTACCATATCATTTTTGTATCTTCTCTATAGTTATGTACTTGGAAATGTATCAATTGACCAATTCGGCACATTTGGGCAGACTTGTATTGCAATGCTTCACTGGATCAATCTGGAACTTTGCACACACACTGCTGCCATCTAGTGGCCAAAATCTAAACTGCGCCTAAACTGCAATATTATATTGTGGCCTTTCTCTTGCGTTTCAAAGATGGAAATAAAATAAAAAATAAGACAACACATGTTTTTTTGTTTGTATTACATTTTACCAGATCTAATGTGTTATATTCTCCTACATTAATTTCACATTACCACAAACTTCAAAGTGTTTCCTTTCAAATGGTATCAAGAATATGCATATCCTTCATTTTAGGCGAAAATTGAAAAAAATTGGTTAATGGTTTCCAGGCTGGTGCAGGCTGCAATTGCTTTCTCTACTATCCTTGCAAGAGACAAGTTATTGAGTGGAAAAACGTGCAGGACTTAATTCACTTTTTAAAATTAGAAAAAATACATTACACTTTAATTCCAGCTAGGGGCCCCTTCATACACCTTCTACAAAGGCCCTCCTTTCGACTTGTAAATTGCTTGACTGACTAATGTTGCTTTTGTTGTTATTTGCACCCATTGTGTGGATGGCTTGGTCCCGCTGAGAATCTGCTACCATATCTGTCCGTACACCTCAGCTGGTGCTGGCCCTCGGGACCCATCAAACCTCTCATTGGGGTTGGGTGTATGAGGGTGGTGCACCCCTTTGGGTCCCCGGGACTAGGAGCTGTGAAGCACTTCCTTCTAACAATGTATAAATGTCCTTGAATGTACATGACCCATCTAAAATATCTGACTGTATGAAGTAATCTGATATTGTAAGCCATGAAATGTATACAAAATATGAAAGCTGAAAAAAATATCACTCAAGCCCTTCGTTCAAACCATTCAGGGTACCATCTTACTTGCTGTGCTGAGGCATGGTATTCGGGGGCAGGTCTTCATTGTGCCCCAGAGTGCTGAGCAATGACTGATTGGATGTGGTCGACAAGGAGGCGGGCCCTGAGCCACTGTCCGTCAATGTAGCCATGGAGACTGACGCGGGTGCGGCCGAATCTGAGGCTGACTTCACAGACACTACAGCTGGGCAGACTGAACAGAGACGAGATGGAGAGAGGGAGCGAGAGAATTCTGGAATTAGTGCCAACCCAGATGGACGACAGCTCTACAATACACATACTGTCTGATTGGGGAGATGGTCCATAGATTGCCATTCCAAGCTGTATCCCCCTTTAAGGGTTACTTTGAATGAATAGCCATAAAATACTAATAGAGGACCACAAAATAACAGGCATGGCTCCAGAGTACTTAACCTACATCCAGGAAATGAGCTGAGTCCCACTTCAACATTCAGACTTCCTTCACTACAAACCCACACAACTACCAAAATGACTCACCTTCAACAGATTGCGTCTGTATTGAACTGAATCCATTCTGAAAAAACAAGTTCAGGTGGGCTTGTTAGGGTACACTAACGTAGGGGAGACGTTTCCATAGCAACAGTCCATTCAGTAACAGAGGGAGCCGTTCAAAGAAAAGTGAACAGAGCAATTTATTTCGCATTTATCTAGGAATCAATGAAATATGACTGGAGGAATGAATCTCTAGGAGGCATAGCGATATGAATGGCGCAATGAATGAATGGAGGCTCACCTTATTCTGCATGTCTTTCTGCGGGAAGGAGACTGTGGGGTAGCGCCGGGCCTGGGGAGCCCTCTGGTCGTATATGTCCATCTGACTGGGGTTGGACAGGGAGGGAGTCGCCTCACTGGAGGAGGAGAAGCAGGGAGATTACATAAAGCCATGGCCTACTTTGAGAAAGGAGAAGGGGTCCAGTCTCAAAGCTCAAGTGGGGCCAAGTGATCGATGCTACACATGGGTCTGTGTGTGGTGTTACAGTTGTACAAGACCCCATCTTACACTCATTTAGCTGTGTCTGGTATGAATGCTCACCTGCTGGGGCTTATGTAGAGGCTGTTCTGAACCTGGCTGCCTGGTGTGGTGGTGGCGGGGATGCTGTCATACTCCTGGAGCACAGGTTCAGAGCCAAACTGCAGCGCTCCAAACTGCAGGTTGAGCCCAGAAATGTCTGCCGAGCCAGGCATCTCCACCGGCATCGCTGGGATCTGGAATAAAATATAATAAAGATATGGTTGATGTCTGAGAAAGCAAGGAAATTAAGTTATGAAAAAGTAGAGAGATGTAGGGATACATAGGGGTTAGGCAAACAGAGTGCTGAAAGTAAATGAATGTGTGCTCACTGTTTGCTGCGAGTGAGCAAGTGTTACCTGAAGAAAATAATTAGAAGTTGGGCACAGCATGACCGGCTATTTTTTACTTTTTAAAATTTTCTTAAAACTGCATTGTTGGTTAAGGGCTTGTAAGTAAGCATTTCACTTTAAGGTGTTGTATTCGGCGCATGTGGCAAATCAAATTTGACTTGAACTTTGTATCAATGTTGAGCTGTTACCTTGGTGGTGATGGAGGTCCTCTTCTTCTGCTGCTTGAGCTTGTGCTGCTGCAATGGCAGGGGGCTGGAGCCCTGGGCGTCCGGCGAGCCAGGGGACACCTGCTGCCCAAGGGGGGGCACCACCATCTTGGGGAGGGCGGTCACGGCGGGCGCCATGTGGGACGAGGGGGTGCTCTGTGGGGGCAGGGAGGAGGAGACGGAAGGGGGGAGGAAGGCGTCCAACACGGAGGTGGGTTGGTAGGGCTGGCGCTTTGTGAAGGGGCTATTGGCCGCAGGCTCCGGCTGGGCGTTCATGTCTGTGGGGGGGGGGGTGATTAGAGAAAGGAAGGTAGGGGCTTCACCTGATGGATATAAACGTCTAAAAACAAATATCTGAACCTTGCATAGGGCAAATAAGACGTGTCCTCTTCGTAACCAGAAATACCAGTCATGTAGGCATTTCTAACTCTCTGCAAACCCAAGTTAGCCTAGCCTCTATGTACACCCCCTGCTTTACTTGACAACCATCCAAACTGTCCCTATGGTCCCAGTATCTCCCTGAGTGTCCTCTTACCATACTGGCCCAGCGCTGCAGAGCTGGTGTCCCAAGAGGAGGGGGTGGGCTGTCCTGTCTTGGAGTGCTGGGTGGCCAGCTGGGCCAAGGCCTGGGCAGTCTTAAACTGCTCCAAGAACTGGGAGCCGCTGGTCGTCCCTGTACTGCCTCCTTTAGGGTCCCCCACTTCCCCGAAGCCCTTGCTTAGCATGCTCACCTGCAATGGGAACAAAAGAGGAGGAACTGAAATTCTGCACGTTTTAGGAATGAGTGTGGAGCAGAATATAACAGCTGTGCTGGTTTATTGCTAGAACACTTAAAGTGGAACCGACAGCATATTAGCAACATTAAATCTTATTAAAATCTGTTCATTCAGTGAATTCGGAAAGTATTCAGACCACACATTTTGTTACGTTACAGCCTTATTCTAAAATAGGTGAAATCGTTTTTTTCCTCTCAATCTACACACAAAACCACATGACAAAGCCCTCCAAAAATGTTTTGTTTGTAAAAGTATAAAAGAAAAGAAACAGAAATATCACATTTACATAAGTATTCAGACCCTTTACTCAGTACTTTGTTGAAGCACCTTTGGCAGCGATTACAGCCTCGAGTCTTCTTGGGTATGACATTACAAGCTTGGCACACCTATATTTGGGGAGTGTCTCCCATTCTTCTCTGCAGATCCTGTCAAGCTCTATGAGGTTGGATGGGGAGCGTCGCTGCACAGCTATTTTCAGGTCTCTCCAGAGATGTTCAATTGGGTTCAAGTCCGGGCTCTGGCTGGGCCACTCTAGGACATTCAGAGACTTATCCCGAAGCCACTCCTGTGTTGTCTTGGCTGTGTGCTTAGGGTCGTTGTCCTATTGGAAAGTGAACCTTCGCCCCAGTCGGAGGTCCTGAGCGCTCTGGAGTAGGTTTTCATCAAAGATCTCTGTACTTTGCTCCGTTCATCTTTCCCTTGATCCTGACTAGTCTCCCAGTCCCTGCCGCTGAAAAACATCCCTGCAGCATGATGCTGCCACCACAATGCTTCACCGTAGGGAAGGCCAAAGAGTTAAATCTTGGTTTCATCAGACAGGGAATCTTGTTTCTCAAGGACAGAGTACTTTAAGTGCCTTTTGGCAAATCCCAAGCGTGCTATGATATGCCTTTTACTGAGGAGTGGCTTCCGTCTGGCCACTACCATAAAGGCCTGATTGGTGGAGTGCTACAGAGATGGTGGTCCTTCTGGAAGGTTCTCCATTCTCCACAGAGGAACTCTGGAGCTCTGTCAGAATGCCCATCGGGTTCTTGGTCACCTCCCTGACCAAGGCCCTTCTCCCCCAATTGCTCAGTTTGGCCGTGCGACCAGCTCTAGGAAGAGTCTGGGTGGTTTGAAACTGCTTCCATTTAAGAATGGAGGCCACTGTGTTCTTGGGGACCTTCAATCCTGCAGAAATGTGGGACCTTATATAGACTGGTGTGTGCCTTTCCAAATCATGTCCAATCAATTGAATTTACCACAGTTGGACTCCAATCAAGTTGTAGAAACACCAAGGATGATCAATGGAAACAGGATGCCCCTGACCTCAATTTCGAGTCTCATAGCAAAGGGTTTGAATACTTATGCAAGTAAGGTATCAGTTTTTTTATTTGTAATACATTTGCTAACATTTCTAAAAACCTGTTTTCGCTTTGTCATTATGGGGTATTGTGTGTAGATTGATGAGGAAAAACACAATTTACGCCATTTTAGAATAAGGCTAACATAACAAAATGTGGACAAAGTCAAGGGGTCTGAATACTTTCCGAAAGAACTGTATATACCACCAGGAAGAATGACAAAGAAAAAAAACATTTTGACAAGCGAGTCATTTTCATGTTTTCATAAATTCTTCTAATGTTTAGGAATTACGTATAGTAAAGCATTTGTGAACATTCTATAGCAATATAGAGTGGGAAAGCAGCCGTGCGTTTGGACAATTAATAGACACTGCAGCAAATAAAACCTAATAAAAACATCTGTCTTGTCCAGGACCGAAGTCTATGCAGACCGGTGCGCCATAGCCAAATCAGAGCTACAGTAGACCTTTATGCAACAAGCCAATTGCCACACGGTCCTGTCATCATTTACTTTGAACGGGACTGTGTGTTTACAGGCACTTGCAACAGTACAACCTTAGATTAGAACGCTTTCGGCAAAAGCCACAAAATACACCCGAATGGATTTCTGCAAATATGTAAATACCACGCGAGTCCTCTTACATTTGGGAACTTTACAGTCCTATTGATCAAACAACCATAGAAAGGTAGGCCATCTTTCCCTATATACGCACATCAACAACAAGATCAACAACTAATGCTAGCCAGAGGAGGATGGTGCCGGAGGGGATGGCTGCCGTTAACCAACAGTGCTATTTTGTTTGTTTTTTCACATTGTTTGTAACTTATTTTGAACATAATGTTGCTGCTACCGTCTCTTATGACAGAAAAGAGCTTCTGGACATCAGAAAAGCGATTACTCACCTTGATAATAATAATACTTTTTATTTAATGAGTCGACGAGAGGGATTTGCTCCAGACACCCGACAGGGCCCTCATCCCCGTCATTTGCAGTAGAAAAGTCAGATATCGCGGAAGGAGATCGGGGTGCCTGCTAAGGAGCCGGCGATGAGTGGCTAATCTGCATTTGCCATCGGTACTATTGGCCAACGTACAATCGCTTGATAATAAAGTGGACGAACTACAAGCACGTATATCCTACCAATGTAACATTAAAAACTAATATCTTATGTTTCACCGAGTCGTGGCTGAAAGACGACAAATAACGTCAATTTCTCCCAAATTCCAAATAAAAATATTGTCATTTAGAGCATTTATTTGCAGAAAATGACAACTGGTCAAAATAACAAAAAAGATGTCTGACAACACTACCTCAAATAATGCAAAGAAAATAAGTTCATGTTCATTTTTAAACACCACAACACTAATGTTTTAACTAAGGAAGATTTCAGAAATTAATATTTGGTGGAATAACCCTGATTTTCAAATCACAGCTTTCATGCGTCTTGGCATGCTCTCCACCAGTCTTTCACATTGATGTTGGGTGACCTGTTTGATGGCTTATGACCATCCATCTTCCTCTTGATCACATTCCAGATGTTTTCAATGGGGTTCAGGTCAGGAGATTGGGCTGGCCATGACAGGGTCTTGATCTGGTGGTCCTCCATCCACACCTTGATTGACCTGGCTGTGTGGCATGGCGCATTGTCCTGCTGGAAAAACAAATCCTCAGAGTTGGGGAACAATGTCAGAGCAAAAGGAAGCAAGTTCTCTTCCAGGACAACCTTGTACGTGGCTTGACTCATGCGTCCTTCACAAAGACAAATCTGCCCGATTCCAGCCTTGCTGAAGCACCCCCAGATCATCACCGATCCTCCACCAAATTTCACAGTGGGTGCGAGACACTGTGGCTTGTAGGCCTCTCCAGGTCTCAGTCTAACCATTAGACAACCTGGTGTTGGGAAAAGCTGAAAATTGGACTCATCAGAGAAGATGACCTTACTCCAGTCCTCTACGGTCCAATCCTTATGGTCTTTTACAAACCTCAGCCTGGCTCTTCTTTGCTTCTCATTGATGAAGGGCTTTTTTCTAGCCTTGCACAACTTCAGCCCTGCCCCTAGGAGCCTGTTTAGAACCGTCCTCGCCGTGCACTTCACCCCAGCTGCCGTTTGCCATTCTTTTTGTAGGTCACTTGATGTCATCCTACGATTGTTGAGTGACATTCGAATGAGTTGGCGGTCATCCCGGTCAGTAGAGAGTCGTTTTTGCCCTCTGCCGGTCTGTAGCTTTGTTGTCCCCAATGTCTGCTGCTTGACCTTGTTCTTATGAACCGACATCTTTGACATTTTAAGGATGGAAGCAACCTGACGCTCACTGTATCCCTAAGCCAGAATTGAACCCTTTTCCTCACTCAAAACTTTCCTTTTCAACTCTTTTGGCATGGTCAATAGTTATTTTTTTATTAATATTACTTTTGAGGTACTATTAGCACTGTTTTTGCCATCCAGCTGGTCCTATTGCAAGAGGATAGTGATGACCACAGCAGTGGTTTTTACTTTTCCTCGTTAAATAACATTTGGTTCATGTGATCACCTAATCAGTACCTAATTCAGTAGAATGAGGTGTGCCTGTGTTGGAATTCAACAGACACTGGAATGGAATGGCTGTCATACATGTAGAGATGCTGATTTAAGAAAAAATTGCAGTGGTCTCTTAATTTTTTCTGAAGAAGACAAGGAGAGCGCTACCATTAGTCCTGTGTCATGCCAACAGTAAAGCATCCTGAGACCATTCATGTGTGGGGTTGCTTCTCAGCCAAGGGAGTGGGCTCACTCACAATTTTGCCTAAGAACACAGCCATGAATAAAGAATGGTACCAACACATCCTCCAAGAGCAACTTCTCCCAACCATCCAAGAACAGTTTGGTTACGACCAATGCATTTTCCAGCATGATGGAGCACCTTGTCATAAGGCAAAAGTGATAACTAAGTGGCTCGGGGAACAAAACGTCGACATTTTGGGTCCATGGCCAGGAAACTCCCCAGACCTTAATCACATTGAGAACTTGTGCTCGATCCTCAAGAGGTGGGTGGACAAACAAAAACCCACAAATTCTGACAAACGCCAAGCATTGATTATGCAAGAATGGGCTGCCATCAGTCAGTATGTGGCCCAGACAGCATGCCAGGGCAGATTGCAGAGGTCTTGAAAAAGAAGGGTCAACACTGCAAATATTGACTCTTTGCATAAACTTAATGTAATTGTCAATAAAAGCCTTTGACACTTATGGAATGCTTGTAATAATACTTCAGTATACCATAGTAACATCTGACAAAAATATCTCATAACACTGAAGCAGCGAACTTTGTGAAGACCAATACTTGTGTCATTCTCAAAACCTTTGACCACGACTGTACACACATGTATGCATGTATGTATGTATAGTGAGGGAAAAAAGTATTTGATCCCCTGCTGATTTTTGTACATTTGCCCACTGACAAAGAAATGATCAGTCTATAATTTGAATGGTAAGTTTATTTGAACAGTGTAAAATCCAGAAAAACACATGGCAAAAATGTTATAAATTGATTTGCATTTTAATGAGGGAAATAAGTATTTGACCCCCTCTCAATCAGAAAGATTTCTGGCTCCCAGGTGTCTTTTATACAGGTAACAAGCTGAGATTAGGAACACACTCTTAAAGGTAGTGCTCCTAATCTCAGCTTGTTACCTGTATAAAAAGACACCTGTCCACAGAAGCAATCAATCAGATTCCAAACTCTCCACCATGGCCAAGACCAAAGAGCTCTCCAAGGATGTCAGGGACAAGATTGTAGACCTACACAAGGCTGGAATGGGCTACAAGACCATCGCCAAGCAGCTTGGTGAGAAGGTGACAACAGTTGGTGCGATTATTCGCAAATGGAAGAAACACAAAAGCACTGTCAATCTCCCTCGGCCTGGGGCTCCATGCAAGATCTCATCTCGTGGAGTTGCAATGATCATGAGAACGGTGAGGAATCAGCCCAGAACTACACGGGAGGATCTTGTCAATGATCTCAAGGCAGCTGGGACCATAGTCACCAAGAAAACAATTGGTAACACACTACGCCGTGAAGGACTGAAATCCTGCAGCGCCCGCCAGGTCCCCCTGCCCCAGGCCGAGGGAGATTGACAGTTATTTTGTGTTTCTTCCATTTGCGAATAATCGCACCAACTGTTGTCACCTTCTCACCAAGCTGCTTGGCGATGGTCTTGTAGCCCATTCCAGCCTTGTGTAGGTCTACAATCTTGTCCCTGACATCCTTGGAGAGCTCTTTGGTCTTGGCCATGGTGGAGAGTTTGGAATCTGATTGATTGATTGCTTCTGTGGACAGGTGTCTTTTCTACAGGTAACAAGCTGAGATTAGGAGCACTACCTTTAAGAGTGTGCTCCTAATCTCAGCTCGTTACCTGTATAAAAAACACCTGGGAGCCAGAAATCTTTCTGATTGAGAGGGGGTCAAATACTTATTTCCCTCATTAAAATGCAAATCAATTCATAACATTTTTGAAATGCGTTTTTCTGGATTTTTTTGTTGTTATTCTGTCTCTCACTGTTCAAATAAACCTACCATTCAAATTATAGAATGATCATTTCTTTGTCAGTGGGCAAACGTACAAAATCAGCAGGGGATCAAATACTTTTTCCCTCACTAATATATATATATATATATATATATATATATATATATATATATATATATATATATATATATATATATATATATATATATACACACACACACAGTGGGGAGAACAAGTATTTGATACACTGCCGATTTTGCAGGTTTTCCTACTTACAAAGCATGTAGAGGTCTGTAATTTTTATCATAGGTACACTTCAACTGTGAGAGACGGAATCTAATTTTTTTCTCTCCAGAAAATCACATTGTATGATTTTTAAGTAATTAATTTGCATTTTATTGCATGACATAAGTATTTGATACATCAGAAAAGCAGAACTTAATATTTTGGTACAGAAACCTTTGTTTGCAATTACAGAGATCATACGTTTCCTGTAGGTCTTGACCAGGTTTGCACACACTGCAGCAGGGATTTTGGCTCACTCCTCCATACAGACCTTCTCCAGATCCTTCAGGTTTCGGGGCTGTCGCTGGGCAATACGGACTTTCAGCTCCCTCCAAAGATGTTCTATTAGGTTCAGGTCTGGAGACTGGCTAGGCCACTCCAGGACCTTGAGATGGTTTTTACGGAGCCACTCCTTAGTTGCCCTGGCTGTGTGTTTCAGGTCGTTGTCATGCTGGAAGACCCAGCCACGACCCATCTTCAATGCTCTTACTGAGGGAAGGAGGTTGTTGGCCAAGATCTCGCGATGCATGGCCCCATCCATCCTCCCCTCAATACGGTGCAGTCGTCCTGTCCCCTTTGCAGAAAAGCATCCCCAAAGTATGATGTTTCCACCTCCATGCTTCACAGTTGGGATGGTGTTCTTGGGGTTGTACTCATCCTTCTTCCTCCAAACACAGCGAATGGAGTTTAGACCAAAAAGCTCTATTTTTGTCTCATCAGACCACATGACCTTCTCCCATTCCTCCTCTGGATCATCCAGATGGTCATTGGCAAACTTCAGACGGGCCTGGACATGCGCTGGCTTTAGCAGGGGGACCTTGCGTGCGCTGCAGGATTTTAATCCATGACGGCGTAGTGTGTTACTAATGGTTTTCTTTGAGACTGTGGTCCCAGCTCTCTTCAGGTCATTGACCAGGTCCTGCCGTGTAGTTCTGGGCTGATCCCTCACCTTCCTCATGATCATTGATGCCCCACGAGGTGAGATCTTGCATGGAGCCCCAGACCGAGGGTGATTGACCGTCATCTTGAACTTCTTCCATTTTCTAATAATTGCGCCAACAGTTGTTGCCTTCTCACCAGGCTGCTTGCCTATTGTCCTGTAGCCCATCCCAGCCTTGTGCAGGTCTACAATTTTATCCCTGATGTCCTTACACAGCTCTCTGGTCTTGGCCATTGTGGAGAGGTTGGAGTCTGTTTGATTGAGTGTGTGGACAGGTTTCTTTTATACAGGTAACGAGTTCAAACAGGTGCAGTTAATACAGGTAATGAGTGGAGAACAGGAGGGCTTCTTAAAGAAAAACGAACAGGTCTGTGAGAGCCGGAATTCTTACTGGTTGGTAGGTGATCAAATACTTATGTCATGCAATAAAATAGAAATTAATTACTTAAGTCATACAATGTGATTTTCTGGATTTTTGTTTTAGATTGCGTCTCTCACAGTTGAAGTGTACCTATGATAAAAATGACAGACCTCTATATGCTTTGTAAGTAGGAAAACCTGCAAAATCGGCAGTGTATCAAATACTTGTTCTCCCCACTGTGTGTGTGTGTGTGTGTGTGTGTGTGTGTGTGTATATATATATATATACACACACATATACAGCTCAAAAAAATAAAGGGAACACTAAAATAACACATCCTAGATCTGAATGAATGAAATAATCTTAAATACTTTTTTCTTTACATAGTTGAATGTGCTGACAACAAAATCACACAAATGATCAATGGAAATCAAATGTATCAACCCATGGAGGTCTGGATTTGGAGTCACCCTCAAAATTAAAGTGGAAAACCACACTACAGGCTGACCCAACTTTGATGTAATGTCCTTAAAACAAGTCAAAATGAGGCTCAGTAGTGTGTGTGGCCTCCACGTGCCTGTATGACCTCCCTACAACGCCCTCATACTACCCTCATGAAGTCTGTTTCTGACCGTTTGAGCAGACACATGCACATTTGTGGCCTGCTGGAGGTCATTTTGCAGGGCTCTGGCAGTGCTCCTCCTGTTCCTCCTTGCACAAAGGCGGAGGTAGCGGTCCTGCTGCTGGGTTGTTGCCCTCCTACGCCCTCCTCCACGTCTCCTGATGTACTGGCCTGTCTCCTGGTAGCGCCTCCATGCTCTGGACACTACGCTGACAGACACAGCAAACCTTCTTGCCACAGCTCGCATTGATGTGCCATCCTGGATGAGCTGCACTACCTGAGCCACTTGTGTGGGTTGTAGACTCAGTCTCATGCTACCACTAGAGTGAAAGCACCGCCAGCATTCAAAAGTGACCAAAACATCAGCCAGGAAGCATAGGAACTCAGAAGTGGTCTGTGGTCACCACCTGCAAAACCAGTCCTTTATTGGGGGTGTCTTGCTAATTGCCTATACTTTCCACCTGTTGTCTATTCCATGTGCACAACAGCATGTGAAATTTATTGTCAATCAGTGTTGCTTCCTAAGTGGATTAAGTTTGATTTCACAGTAGTGTGATTGACTTGGAGTTACATTGTGTTGTTTAAGTGTTCCCTTTATTTTTTTGAGCAGTATATATATATATATATATATATATATATATATATATATATATATATATATATATATATATATATATATATACACACACATACACACACACACACACACACGGTATACCGCCCAGCCCTAATTGACATTCCCAGGCTTAGTTACATTCGTCCGTTTTTGTCCAGAATATTGAGTCTTTGAAACTGAAACAGTGCATCCCGAATGAAGGCAGCAAACAATGTACCAGGCCAGCTGTGATTTACAACCTGATGGCAATATTCTTTGGACTACCAAAAAATGTATTGGTGAATTATATTAAATCATGCATTGAACTGCAGCCATCTATTCTGCCAACAATGCCTTACTGTGTACATCATGGAATGTTGAGTCAAATAGAAGCTATTTTTAAAACATAAAGTTTGTTTTGAAGAATAAACTTGGAATTTTATATTTTTTACTGATATGATTGTTTCATATCTACAAAGTAGTTAAAACGCTGTCAGTTCCACTTTAAGTAGTCAATAAAACTGTAGAATAGAGCGGAGGCCGTTGTGCGTGTCCTGTGGGCTCACCATGCTGTGCTGGGTGTAGGGGGTGCTGCTGGAGGGGGGTTGTGACAGCGGCACACCCTGCTTGGAGTTGCTGAAGACCAGTGACTGGGGGAGGGAGGGGGGCTGGCTGGCCTTCATGGGGCCCTGGGCCTCTGCCTCTGAGGAGGATGGGGGAGTCTTCCCCAGCAGCACTGCCAGGTCAATCCTGCAGAGGTCAGAGATGGTAAGTAATTAGCATTGTCCAAGCCAGAACGGCCCATAGGGCAGTAGCCCACCACTACCTCTGTAGCGTGTCAGCTTGATGTACAAGTACACCCCCTTGACAGGATTTTAGCCTATCACAGGGTCTAAGCAACAGATGTTGTTCTGACTCATGTTAGCAAACCGATTGTATGTATGTTAGTTCGTTTTGGGGTGGATGAAACCTGATTCAGAGCTGAAAATCAGAGCCATAACACCAGAAGTGCTTGAATTACACATTTGAATTTTCTACACATGGAATCTCACAGTAAAGGGGGAAAACTTTGGCCATTTGACTAGACTGCAGTTTGGTGATGTTGAAGATAAGTGTTTTACATGAACTTGAGTGAAGATACACAACCTGATAAAAAATGCATGGCTTTGAGTGGGTGAGGAGTTGTGGTTGCATGTACAGTGGGGAGAACAAGTATTTGATACACTGCCGATTTTGCAGGTTTTCCTACTTACAAAGCATGTAGAGGTCTGTCATTTTTATCATAGGTACACTTCAACTGTGAGAGACGGAATCTAAAACAAAAATCCAGAAAATCACATTGTATGATTTTTAAGTAATTAATTTGCATTTTATTGCATGACATAAGTATTTGATCACCTACCAACCAGTAAGAATTCCAGCTCTCACAGACTTGTTAGTTTTTCTTTAAGAAGCCCTCCTGTTCTCCACTCATTACCTGTATTAACTGCACCTGTTTGAACTCGTTACCTGTATAAAAGACACCTGTCCACACACTCAATTAAACAGACTCCAACCTCTCCACAATGGCCAAGACCAGAGAGCTGTGTAAGGACATCAGGGTTAAAATTGTAGACCTGCACAAGGCTGGGATGGGCTACAGGACAATAGGCAAGCAGCTTGGTGAGAAGGCAACAACTGTTGGCGCAATTATTAGAAAATGGAAGAAGTTCAAGATGACGGTCAATCACCCTCGGTCTGGGGCTCCATGCAAGATCTCACCTCGTGGGGCATCAATGATCATGAGGAAGGTGAGGGATCAGCCCAGAACTACACGGCAGGACCTGGTCAATGACCTGAAGAGAGCTGGGACCACAGTCTCAAAGAAAACCATTAGTAACACACTACGCCGTCATGGATTAAAATCCTGCAGCGCACGCAAGGTCCCCCTGCCCAAGCCAGCGCATGTCCAGGCCCGTCTGAAGTTTGATCCAGAGGAGGAATGGGAGAAGGTCATGTGGTCTGATGAGACAAAAATAGAGCTTTTTGGTCTAAACTCCACTCGCCGTGTTTGGAGGAAGAAGAAGGATGAGTACAACCCCAAGAACACCATCCCAACCGTGAAGCATGGAGGTGGAAAAATCATTATTTGGGGATGCTTTTCTGCAAAGGGGACAGGACGACTGCACCGTATTGATGGGAGGATGGAAGGGGCCATGTATCGCGAGATCTTGGCCAACAACCTCCTTCCCTCAGTAAGAGCATTGAAGATGGGTCGTGGCTGGGTCTTCCAGCATGACAACGACCCGAAACACACAGCCAGGGCAACTAAGGAGTGGCTCCGTAAAAACCATCTCAAGGTCCTGGAGTGGCCTAGCCAGTCTCCAGACCTGAACCCAATAGAAAATCTTTGGAGGGAGCTGAAAGACCGTATTGCCCAGCGACAGCCCCGAAACCTGAAGGATCTGGAGAAGGTCTATATGGAGGAGTGGGCCAAAATCCCTGCTGCAGTGTGTGCAAACCTGGTCAAGACCTACAGGAAACGTATGATCTCTGTAATTGCAAACAAAGGTTTCTGTACCAAATATTAAGTTCTGCTTTTCTGATGTATCAAATACTTATGTCATGCAATAAAATGCAAATTAATTACTTAAAAATCATACAATGTGATTTTCTGGATTTTTGTTTTAGATTCCGTCTCTCACAGCTGAAGTGTACCTATGATAAAAATGACAGACCTCTACATGCTTTGTAAGTAGGAAAAACTGCAAAATCGGCAGTGTATCAAATACTTGTTCTCCCCACTGTACAGTGGGGAAAAAAAGTATTTAGTCAGCCACCAATTGTGCAAGTTCTCCCACTTAAAAAGATGAGGGGCCTGTAATTTTCATCATAGGTACATGTCAACTATGACAGACAAATTGAGAAAAGAAAATCCAGAAAATCACATTGTAGGATTTTTAATGAATTTATTTGCAAATTATGGTGGAAAATAAGTATTTGGTCACCTACAAACAAGCAAGATTTCTGGCTCTCACAGACCTGTAACTTCTTCTTTAAGAGGCTCCTCTGTCCTCCACTCGTTACCTGTATTAATGGCACCTGTTTGAACTTGTTATCAGTATAAAAGACACCTGTCCACAACCTCAAACAGTCACACTCCAAACTCCACTATGGCCAAGACCAAAGAGCTGTCAAAGGACACCAGAAACAAAATTGTAGACCTGCACCAGGCTGGGAAGACTGAATCTGCAATAGGTAAGCAGCTTGGTTTGAAGAAATCAACTGTGGGAGCAATTATTAGGAAATGGAAGACATACAAGACCACTGATAATCTCCCTCGATCTGGGGCTCCACGCAAGATCTCACCCCGTGGGGTCAAAATGATCACAAGAACGGTGAGCAAAAATCCCAGAACCACACGGGGGGACCTAGTGAATGACCTGCAGAGAGCTGGGACCAAAGTAACAAAGCCTATCATCAGTAACACACTACTCCACCAGGGACTCAAATCCTGCAGTGCAAGACGTGTCCCCCTGCTTAAGCCAGTACATGTCCAGGCCCGTCTGAAGTTTGCTAGAGTGCATTTGGATGATCCAGAAGAGGATTGGGAGAATGTCATATGGTCAGATGAAACCAAAATATAACTTTTTGGTAAAAACTCAACTCGTCGTGTTTGGAGGACAAAGAATGCTGAGTTGCATCCAAAGAACACCATACCTACTGTGAAGCATGGGGGTGGAAACATCATGCTTTGGGACTGATCCGTGTAAAGGAAAGAATGAATGGGGCCATGTATCGTGAGATTTTGAGTGAAAACCTCCTTCCATCAGCAAGGGCATTGAAGATGAAACGTGGCTGGGTCTTTCAGCATGAAAATGATCCCAAACACACCGCCCGGGCAACGAAGGAGTGGCTTCGTAAGAAGCATTTCAAGGTCCTGGAGTGGCCTAGCCAGTCTCCAGATCTCAACCCCATAGAAAATCTTTGGAGGGAGTTGAAAGTCTGTGTTGCCCAGCGACAGCCCCAAAACATCACTGCTCTAGAGGAGATCTACATGGAGGAATGGGCCAAAATACCAGCAACAGTGTGTGAAAACCTTGTGAAGACTTACAGAAAACGTTTGACCTGTGTCATTGCCAACAAAGGGTATATAACAAAGTATTGAGAAACTTTTGTTATTGACCAAATACTTATTTTCCACCATAATTTGCAAATAAATTCATAAAAAATCCTACAATGTGATTTTCTGGATTTTTTTTTCTCATTTTGTCTGTCATAGTTGACGTGCACCTATGATGAAAATTACAGGCCTCTCTCATCTTTTTAAGTGGGAGAACTTGCACAATTGGTGGCTGACTAAATACTTTTTTTCCCCACTGTATGTGTGTGATAGCATGACTGTAGAGTGACTGTCTGTGGGTGTCTGCATGCCGCGTCAGGCCTGCCCACCGCTGTCCTGCAGTGATGGTGACATTCTCCTGGGGGAGTGGCATGGAGGCCACACTAGAGGCTGTGAAGATCTTGGTCTCTGACAGCTAGAGAGAAAGAAAGGACAAATTGATTAAGATCAGTACATCAGCATTAAAGGGATCAAGCCATAACTAAATGCATTAGCCTAAAACTACAAACAGAAGGATATAGAAGAAGGCTGGAGTATTTCAATAGAAGTGTTCCCTATATAATGCCAGAGAGCCTCTTAGATATGTAGCTATTTGGGCAGAAGCAACACCAAGTTCAGTTTTCAGGCTTATTTGAACATCTGGGTACATATGCAGAACATACATAAAATGTGATTTTGATGTCATATATAATAAAGACTGGTCAAAAGAGGATCTGCCAAAATATGGACAGTATATCGTATATAGTCATACAACAAATAGGTATACCACCAAATCAATATATAGGCATAGTAAAAAGGTACTTACGTCCTCATTCCAGTCCTCAGTACCCCACTCTTCTGTCGCGCTCCTCCAGGCAACTATAGGAATGTAAAGAAACAAACAAACTGTATTAGGTTTCAAACCAACCAGGCATCAAACAGAAAAGGAGATGTGATGTTTAGGGCCTCAGGAGATGGAGGTTCAATCTTACTATGGGCAGAGTCAAACTTTGGTTGGTAATTTGTTCCCTCTCCTCCTGCCGAGTACTCAATCCCTACAAGAAAGGAGAAGTGAGAGGTGAGACCTGTGGCTAGTCTACAGACGGGTATACTACGTACCGAGTTTGAGGAGTTAGCGAGAACTTGGGTCATCTCTCAGTTCAACTCGGGATAACCGGTACCACAAAAGTAGCTCACCTTTTAGGCAGGCAAATTTCTATAGCAACAAATCCTTGAGAACTAACCTGAACTACATTTATGCTGAATGAAGTGTCTGAGCCATGAGTTGAGGAGCAATGAAATTAGATTCCCTCCCTCTTGCAAAGATTGAGTCATCTTCCCTTTCATTTGAGGAAAACGACTAATGAAATATTTCATTACTGATTTTTGTGTTCATTTTTTTTTTTTTTTTGTATAAAGGTGTAACTGTACACGTATTGGTACCAGTCGGTCCCGTTCGGTACAGGGACCTCGGGTCGCACTGAACACAAATGAATATATACAAATGTTTTTACAAAATAAAAAAAACACTAAGCCTATAGGCTATGCATCGAGTAAATCTGAGCTGAAACATTTTTTTCAGGCTATTCCGTTAAAACTAGAGCCTATGTGAACATTGTAATGAAAATTATATTCTTAATTGGTGCATTTCAAAACTCTCCTTTTGTGAGGAGCAGCCCGGGAACTAGTTCTGTACAATGGCGAGTTGCGGGGTCGATAAATCAGAATTGGAGGATCCTCCAACATCGTTTGAATCTCCAGTTTGGGAACATTTTGGCTTCCCAGTAGATTACAACGGCAACAGACAGAAAGTTGTGGATAAAACGTTAACAGTATGTCGCCACGCTCAACGAGAATAGCCTATGCTGCTGCCAAAACCTCAAATATGTTGACACATTTACGCCGATGTCACCCCAGTATACCGGAGCAAGACAAACAGTCTCCCCTCTGCATTCAAGCAGACCTTTGAAGCCGATTCTGACCGTACCAAATAAATACAATAGCGATAGGTAGGCCATGTTTACATGCACTGCTCAAAAAAATAAAGGGAACACTAAAACACACCCTAGATCTGAATGAATGAAATAATCTTATTAAATACTTTGCTTTACATAGTTGAATGTGCTGACAACAAAATCACAAATTAATCAATGGAAATCAAATTTATCAACCCATGGAGGTCTGGATTTGGAGTCACCCTCAAAATTAAAGTGGAAAACCACACTACAGGCTGATCCAACTTTGATGTAATGTCCTTAAAACAAGTCAAAATGAGGCTCAGTAGTGTGTGTGGCCTCCACGTGCCTGTATGACCTCCCTACAACGCCTGGGCATGCTCCTGATGAGGTGACGGATGGTCTCCTGAGGGATCTCCTCCCAGACCTGGACTAAAGCATCCGCCAACTCCTGGACAGTCTGTGGTGCAACGTGGCGTTGGTGGATGGAGCGAGACATGATGTCCCAGATGTGCTCAATTGGATTCAGGTCTGGGGAACGGGCGGGCCAGTCCATAGCATCAATGCCTTCCTCTTGCAGGAACTGCTGACACACTCCAGCCACATGAGGTCTAGCATTGTCTTGTATTAGGAGGAACCCAGGGCCAACCGCACCAGCATATGGTCTCAAGGGGTCTGAGGATCTCATCTCGGTACCTAATGGCAGTCAGGCTACCTCTGGCGAGCACATGGAGGGCTGTGCGGCCCCCCAAAGAAATGCCACCCCACACCATGACTGACCCACCGCCAAACCGGTCATGCTGGAGGATGTTGCAGGCAGCAGAACGTTCTCCACGGCGTCTCCAGACTCTGTCACGTGTGCTCAGTGTGAACCTGCTTTCATCTGTGAAGAGCACAGGGCGCCAGTGGCGAATTTGCCAATCTTGGTGTTCTCTGGCAAATGCCAAATGTCCTGCACGGTGTTGGGCTGTAAGCACAACCCCCACCTGTGGACGTCGGGCCCTCATACCACCCTCATGGAGTCTGTTTCTGACCGTTTGAGCAGACACATGCACATTTGTGGGCTGCTGGAGGTCATTTTGCAGGGCTCTGGCAGTGCTCCTCCTGCTCCTCCTTGCACAAAGGCGGAGGTAGCAGTCCTGCTGCTGGGTTGTTGCCCTCCTACGGCCTCCTCCACGTCTCCTGATGTACTGGCCTGTCTCCTGGTAGCGCCTCCATGCTCTGGACACTACGCTGACAGACACAGCAAACCTTCTTGCCACAGCTCGCATTGATGTGCCATCCTGGATGAGCTGCACTACCTGAGCCACTTGTGTGGGTTGTAGACTCCGTCTCATGCTACCACTAGAGTGAAAAAAAATCCACATTTTACAGCCCTAAAACTGCTAATTACTAAATGGTAAACTATCATCCTGAGCACCCACATGGTGACCTTTGACGTCACCTACTAAGGAAATGGTCTCTATAACAGCATTTGTCAGTTAAATGCAACAAAACATTTATAAAAAGCAATGTCGTTGCCAATATCTAAATCTAAACAAACTTTGAATTTGTTTAGATTTAGATATTGGCAGGTAAGAATGTACTGCATATTTCACCAGCCACGTTGGCATGTGGTCAACTTGCAGGGCTCTACAGTGAGAGCATTACATTAGCAAATAAAAAGTAAAAAGTCAAGTATAAGCACATGTGCAAGTTAGAAAAATGCTGCAGTAGTATTTCTGCTTTTGTTTCAGAGCTGCTAATTGCACAAAGAAATAGAAATCCTATATCCCACCTCGCGCAGAAACACTGCCTGGCAGGAAAGCTGTGCGCAATGAGTGAAGTGCTGATAGATACATATTTGGAGGCGCTGCGCACAGGCATAAAAAAGACGGTCTAATTTACTCAAAAGTCTACAAAGTGAGACTTTGTCCTCCTGTTTCTTGGCCATTTACATTGTTTTGTTCTTAAACTGTTTTTTTTCTTTCAACATTAGTCTTAGTCTGCTGCTTCAACTGATAAAGATCACACATCTCTCTTACACACACACACACACACACACACACACACACACGACAGGACTTGAGTAGCCCCGTTACCACGGTAACCTCCCGCCTTTAAAAAGGGGCATTGAACATTTTGTCTCTGATATTTAGATTAAAAGACTCGGATCACAAAAAAATTTATGAAATTGAGCAATATACCACATTACTTCTTACTAATACATTTATTGTTTTAGAAACATTACAAAGCATGGTAATCTGTTTGTCTTTTTTTATTTAATTATGGCGCTAAAATATTTTGGCTGGTAAAAATATATGAGTGGCTGATATTATTTTTTTGTATCTACCTGCCACAGTGGATGGTGGACCAAAAAGTAAAATGTTAGGCCCTGCTTTAGTTTATGGTTGACACCATATGGTTTCTCAATGAGTTCAAATCACATGAATGCATCCAACTGGTATTTACTCCCACATGATTACAAACGCAGCATCAGCGTGGAAACGTGAGGCCCAACATAATGATCCGGTCACAACAGACAATGCAAGGAACATTGTGAATGGCATTTAATTCTCCCGCTGTACCGAAACATGACCCCAAAACCGCAATACGTACCGAACCGTTACACCCCTATTAAAATACTTATCACATTACACATTTATTGATGAAAGAATGCATTTGAAACTTCACACAGTAAAACTTTTGTATGACTTAATACAATTACTTAAAAATCGATAGGAGTGGGGAAAAGGTGCTCGTGCATTGATAAGCACACCAAAGACGGCATTAACAATAAGTAATAAAATAACTGAAGCTGGCCAGCTTTTTAAAAAAAAACACTGAATAGATCTAGCATGCATCGTAGTATACCTCAGATCATTCCCAAGACAAGCAGATTAAGCCCCATCAGACCCCATGGACAGTTACTAGTTATTAACACAACTAGACCACCCATCTGTCTGATTCTTTCAGGTCTACAGAAAGTGTCTAGTGAGTGTTTTTGATTAAGCAGTACCTTGGTTTCTTAATGGCTCCTTCCTCTGGCTCTAGATAAACTAGATGGACATTCCACCATCTTGCTAACACTCTCTTTCTAACACACCATCTTGCAGATCTACAGGAAGTGTTTAGGCCTAGGTTGGGGTGGTTTTGGACTGGGGCTGAGCAGTAGTTGGGTTCCTTACTGGCTCCTTCCTCTGGCTCCAGGTTGCCTGTGTTGTTCCAGGTGCTTCCCCTGCCGTAGCTCTCCTCTGTCTGGGTCGGCTCAGCGTAGTCCGCCGGGTTGAACGTTCTGCAAGAGAGAAGAAGCTGTGGTTTTGAGCACAACCACTTCTTATGGGTCTACCAACGGGAACATTTGACTGGGGGGGATATACAGTAAAGGAGGAAGTAAGCAAGCAGCGAGATAGGAGAGGAAGTGTTTGAGGAGATCTGATGTGTCGCAGTTAGACAATGTTCATCTGAGCAATGTCAGGCGAACAGATTCAAAAAGACTGGAGGAAAACCAAGGAATGGGAAATAATCCAGGCAGTGCTTCATTTTTCCTCAACTCTTTCTCTGGCACTGTGGGCGGTGGCAAAAAAACTTAACGTCTTCCACAAATCTTTCAACGCATCATATCACGTCATGGCTTCAGAGAATTATAGAGCAAAAGAAAAAAGCATATCCTTAAAATAACTGTTCTCTTGCTTCTTTCAGGCTCAGCTAGAGACGGTGCGGCGCTACAAGTTGTACAGTGCACTACAACCTAGTGCAGTTTAGACTGACTTCAGAAGTTTCGAGGATCTGACTGGAATTCAGACTATTCACGTTTGACTAGCTCCCGATGAGAACCAACAATAACAGGGGTGCTGTAAATTGGCAGGGAGGGACTGTTGAGTGAGCCACTGGTCACCCAACATAGCTTATTCTAATATTTGCACTACTGTACATTGCATTTTAGTTAGTGTTTATACACTGCATATTTATTTACAGTGCATTCGGAAAGTATTCAGACCCCTTGACTTTTTCCACATTGTTACGTTACAGCCTTATTCTAAAATGGATGAAATAGTTTTTTCCCCCTCAACTGTGTACACAACCAATACACTTGATATGATTTCTAATGGGGCTTGTGTGAACAGGTTTACCCTCGACGTTCAAAAGACAGCTGTCATTTAATTCCGTGTTACCAGGGTGCATGTCATTTCGGTTTAGTCTGCCCTGATACCCTGCTTCCTGTGTGTCTATCTCCATCCTCCTCTCTCTCGTGGCATTTGGCAGAATGTTCCCCCCCAACAGATAGCAAGATTGACACACCAGTGGTGGTGCACTCACCTCTCTTCTCCTGAAAAATCATATCTGGGCCCCTTATCAATCTGGCTTTAGAGGAAAAACAACAGCAACGATTACAAGCAGCACAACGGGGACAGTGGGGGATGCAGTGTGTGGTTTTAGACTATTCATTATTTTACAGAGGAATGTAAGGAAATCACATGCATGGACAAGTTACTACACTCACACTTCTGCAACACACATTATCTGAGCACTACATTGTTGGGGCATAGTCACTTTCTATAGGTGTAGCTGGTACACTAACAAAGGGGAAACAGGGCTGCCAAACAAACACTCAAACTGAAAACTGTGTTCCATAAGTAACAATAATTGCATTATGATCAGGACAGGATGCACAGTTAGAACCAACAGAACACACTCATGCAAACTGCAAACACAGGCTCCCAAAGGCCACACAAGAGCAGCAGCGGAAGCGACACACCCTAAGAGAGAGACATGTTGGGGACAACGCAACAAACTGCCTGGCTGTCCATCTATGCAAGCCTATGGCGCTGGCTCACTCACGCTCCAGGTTAGAGGCTATCCGGACAAAGCCAAACTTGCGCACACATACACAAGCCGTTCTGCCACCGCAAAGGCATTGCCCCCTCTCCTCTAACGTCTCCCTATTAAACCGTAGAACATTAAGATAATATTTACAAGTTGAAACAAGTTAAGGACTTAAGTATTTTTTTCTTCTTTATTTAGTATTCTATGATCAGCTCATCTTTCTTTCATGTCCAACAAACCAGGTGCGTCGGAGATAAATGACTTAATTATTTCAAAGGGATGAAATTAACATGCAGGTTTGTCTGAGGTAGGGCTGGGCGATATATATTATTAATTTGAATGTATGTTTTAGCGCAATGTTTCAAATGCCGGTATCGCAAGAATCGCGAAAAAAAAAAAAAAGATCTCCTTCGCTCCTTCTGTGCACCTTCCCACTCGCACACAGACTCCAAGCTCCTCCCCCTGCCACCCACAACAACAAAGAAACTAAAGATCACTTCTTCCTCTCTGACAAGCAGTTTCAACACGCTATTTGCATTTGAGGTTTGGTAAAAAAATATATATTTTTAAAAAAATCGGTCATATGGACACCAAAAAACCATTAGACATTTTACTCTAGAGGAAACGAAACCTTTGTAACGACACCCTTTTTAGGTCTCAACTCCCACATTTTAGAACAGACCGTACTAAGATGAGTGTATCAATGAACATTTTGAAAATTAATGCTCAGTTTGTCACGCGCAGCATTGCAGTACCATGTACGCTAGCAACATTTTAGCTACAGACTTTTTAATTAATTTTTTATTTATTTAACCGTTATTTAACTAGGCAAGTCAGTTAAGAACATATTCTTATTTACAATGACGGCCTACACCGGCCAAACCCGGACGATGCTGGGCCAATTGTGCGCCGCCCTATGAGACTCCCAATCACGGCCGGTTGTGATACAGCCTGGAATCGAACCAGGGGGTCTGTAGTGACGCCTCAAGCACTGAGATGCAGTGCCTTAGACCGCTGCGCCAGCTCGGGTGCTAGCTGTCTAAGAGTTGGTCCCCCCTTTGCTCCTATAAACAGTCTCCACTCTTCTGGGAAGGCTGTCCACCAGATGTTGGAACATTGCTGCGGGGACTTGTGTCCATTCAGCCACAAGACCATTAGTGAGGTTGGGCACTGATGTTGGGCGATTAGTCCCGGCTCGCAGTCGGCGTTCCAATTAATCCCAAAGGTGTTCAATGGATTTGAGGTCAGGGCTCTGTGCAGGCCAGTCAAGTTCTTCCACACCGAATGACAAACCATTTCAGTATGGACCTCGCTTTGTGCATAGGGGCATTGTCATGCTGAAACAGGAAAGGGCCTTCCCCAAACTGTTGCCACAAAGTTGGAAGCACAGAATCGTCTAGAATGTCATTGTATGCTGTAGCTTTAAGATTTCCCTTCACTGGAACTAAGGGGCCTAGCCCTAACCGTGAAAAAAAAACAGCCCAAGACCATTATTCCTCCTCCACCAAACTTGACAGTTGGCACTATGCATTGGGGCAGGTAGCGTTCTCCTGGCATTCACCAAACCCAGAGTCGTCCATCGGACTGCCAGATGGTGAAGCGTGATTCAGCACTCCAGAGAATGCGTTTCCACTGCTCCAGAGTCCAATGGCAGCGAGCTTTACACCACTCCAGCCGACGCTTGGCATTGCGCATGGTGATCTTAGGCTTGTGTGCAGCTGCTCGGCCATGGAAACCCATTTCATGAAGCTCCCGACTAACAGTTATTGTGCTGACGTTGCTTCCAGAGGCAGTTTGGACCAAGGTAGTGAGTGTTGCAACCGAGGACAGAAGATTTCACGCACTACGCGCTTCAGCACTCAGTGGTCCCGTTCCGTGAGCTTGTGTGGCCTACCACTTCGTGGCTGAACCGTTGTTGCTCCTAGACGTTTCCACTTCACAATAACAGCACTTAGTTGGCCGGGGCAGCTCTAGCAGGGCAGAAATGTTACGAATGTACCTGTTGGAAAGGTGGCATCCTACGACGGTGCCACGTCGAAAGTCACTGAGCTCTTCAGTAAGGCCATTGTTTGTCTATGGAGATTGCATGGCGGTGTGCTTGATTTTATACACCTGTCAGCAACGGGTGTTGCTGATATGGCCGAATCCACACATTTGAAGGGGTGTACACACACATATACTCTATCTACACTGCTCAAAAAAATAAAGGGAACACTTAAACAACACATCCTAGATCTGAATGAATGAAATAATCTTATTAAATACTTTTTTTCTTTACATAGTTGAATGTGCTGACAACAAAATCACAAAAATTATCAATGGAAATCAAATTTATCAACCCATGGAGGTCTGGATTTGGAGTCACCCTCAAAATTAAAGTGGAAAACCACACTACAGGCTGATCCAACTTTGATGTAATGTCCTTAAAACAAGTCAAAATGAGGCTCAGTAGTGTGTGTGGCCTCCACGTGCCTGTATGACCTCCCTACAAAGCCTGGGCATGCTCCTGATGAGGTGGCGGATGGTCTCCTGAGGGATCTCCTCCCAGACCTGGACTAAAGCATCCGCCAACTCCTGGACAGTCTGTGGTGCAACGTGGCGTTGGTGGATGGAGCGAGACATGATGTCCCAGATGTGCTCAATTGGATTCAGGTCTGGGGAACGGGCGGTCCATAGCATCAATGCCTTCCTCTTGCAGGAACTGCTGACACACTCCAGCCACATGAGGTCTAGCATTGTCTTGCATTAGGAGGAACCCAGGGCCAACCGCACCAGCATATGGTCTCACAAGGGGTCTGAGGATCTCATCTTGGTCCTGCACGGTGTTGGGCTGTAAGCACAACCCCCACCTGTGGACGTCGGGCCCTCATACCACCCTCATGGAGTCTGTTTCTGACCGTTTGAGCAGACACATGCACATTTGTGGCCTGCTGGAGGTCATTTTGCAGGGCTCTGGCAGTGCTCCTCCTGCTCCTCCTTGCACAAAGGCGGAGGTAGCAGTCCTGCTGCTGGGTTGTTGCCCTCCTACGGCCTCCTTCACGTCTCCTGATGTACTGGCCTGTCTCCTGGTAGCGCCTCCATGCTCTGGACACTACGCTGACAGACACAGCAAACCTTCTTGCCACAGCTCGCATTGATGTGCCATTCTGGATGAGCTGCACTACCTGAGCCACTTGTGTGGGTTGTAGACTCCGTCTCATGCTACCACTAGAGTGAAAGCACCGCCAGCATTCAAAAGTGACCAAAACATCAGCCAGGAAGCATAGGAACTGAGAAGTGGTCTGTGGTCACCACCTGCAAAACCAGTCCTTTATTGGGGGTGTCTTGCTAATTGCCTATAATTTCTACCTGTTGTCTATTCCATTTGCACAACAGCATGTGAAATGTATTGTCAATCAGTGTTGCTTCCTAAGTGGACAGTTTGATTTCACAGAAGTGTGATTGACTTGGAGTTACATTGTGTTGTTTAAGTGTTCCCTTTATTTATTTGAGCAGTGTATATACAGAAATCGCCCATAAGTTTGGAAAAAATGTAGATATGATTTTTAGGCCATATCGTCCAGCCCTACTTTGAGAAATCGTTTTTGCACCCCCTTGGAAAGAGCCCACACTAGCAGCGCCCACTCATCTAAACCCCACAAAGCCTGGTCTTTGACAACCCTAGAAATAGTAGGCTGTGTCATCTCACTGGGGCTTAATGCTAGTCCTAACACCTAGGAGGAATTATATTGCCAACTAAGTGTTCATTATAATGAAATACAAAGTGACATACAAGATACACTAATATGTCTTATGTAGAGTGAATTTGATACTACTCAATATCAAAGCTGGTTTAAAGGGCTGTTTACAATCTTGTCACTGTGAGCATCGTCAAAGCAATTATATAGTATATAGGCCTAACCACTTCCTATGTGATGACATCTAGGGCACTCAATGACCAGGGTTAGGTGAGACAATGCATTCTGACAGACAAAACATACAACTCACGCACACAAACCTGTGCCCCATTTAACCCAAACGGAAGGACAAGGAACTAGAACACACCATATGCCAGAGACACAGAGCAGAACCCTATGTGCAACAATCTCAATGCCCACCCATTGAGTTACAGATATGGTGTGGGTCTATCTATATTTGACTGTTATTCAGAGACAAAAGAGCTCAGTGGAGTTACGTAAGGGTTTATGTACAGCCCTCGCATTTCAACTTGATTTGGCCAATGTATTAAGCCTCAACAATAGGCTGAGGTCCTGCTCTCTGGTGACCATGGCAACAGGTAAGAGGGAACATAAATCCCTCTCTGTGAGCAGCACAGGTGTTCACTTACCCCATGCCCTGCGCTGAAAACCTGCCCCCTCGCCTGCCTCGCTCCCGCTCTCCCCCTAGAGAGAGAGAGACAAGTTACACTATTGACAAAAACATAACTACAGAAAATACAATGCATTGTCCCTTGTGGAACATTTGCCGGCTTGAATGCACATTAAGCATGTTATCGCGCGCCCTACAACTGAAATAGAATGCAGGGCTCCAGACTGCAACCATTTATTTGGCTGTGAGAGTAAAATGTTTATTTGGTGGAATTGGTGCAAGCTGCACATTCTACCTGGTCACCTCATTCCAAAGTCTTCTTTTTTTGGCAGCTAAAACCATGATTTGGTGAAACCGTAAAGTACATTATTGTAATACATCAATATTGAGCAAATAGCACATGGTTTTACAATCAAGATATCTGATATGTCGTTGAGCTACGGAGCATGCAAAATGCGCACAGGACATCGCGAGTGCATATAAGCCTCATTGCTTAAATATAACATGCCTCAAATGTACCGTTAGATTAATACATTGCTACTACCAGTAGGTATTATATTTAGAGTTATATCTAGCTAATGTGTTTTGAGTTCACTTTCTCAGGTGTTGAATTAGCCCCAAATTTAAATCAGCCTGTGATATTAGTGCACATAAAGATGTAGGCAAATTAATCAACAACAAAAAATAAGAACATTTTGGAGCCCTATTTTGATATTAAAATATAACGGCCTAATTGTCAACCCAAAATGTAATGACAATCACGAGATTAGGGTGCACATAAAAATATATTGAATACCATCTCAGTAGTGTATTTACACTTAATACAAAACTGGGAGTGACTTTGTAAGAACCAATTATTTATATTGTGTGACGAAACAAAAAATGTTTGATGCGACAAAAATCATGGGCTGGTGCCACCAACTGAAAAAGTTAGTGGCACCAGTGCCACCAGGGTAAAAGGTTAGTCTGGAGCCCTGGAATGCTATGACATCTTTGTTTTGACACTCGAGGGGGCATTAGCCTTAGTTTATGTTGAGACCTTGTTTCAGGAGTCCAACCAACAGCTCTTCACACCGAAACCCATGGAAACTACTATTCTTTCAACGGGCCATATTACAGTGGAAAGTATTCAGACCCCGTCCCTTTTTCCACATTGTTACGTTATAGCCTTATTCTAAACTGGATTAAATAAATACAAATCCTCAATCTACACACAATACCCCACAAAAACAGGGTAAGAATTTTTTACAAATGTATTAAAAATAAGACAAAAATACTTTATTTACATAAGTATTCAGACCCTTTGATATGAGACTCGGAATTGAGCTCAGGTGCATCCTGTTTCCATTGATCATCCCTGAGAGATGTTTCTACAACTTGATTAGAGTCCAACTGTGGTAAATTCAATTGATTGGACATGATTTGGAAAGGCACACACCTGTCTATATAAGGTCCTTCAGTTGTCTGTGTATGTGAGAGCAAAAACCAAGCCATGAGGTCGAAGGAATTGTCCGTAGAGCTCCGAGACAGGATTGTGTCGAGGCACAGATCTGGGGAAGGGTCCCAAAAAATATCTGCAGCATTGAAGGTCCCCAAGAACACAGTGGCCTCCATCATTCTTAAATAGAAGAAGTTTGGAACCACCAAGACTCTTAGAGCTGGCCGCCCGGCCAAACTGAGCAATCTGGGGAGAAGGGCTTTGGTCAGGGAGGTGACCAAGAACCCAATGGTCACTCTGACAGAGCTCCAGAGTTCCTCTGCAGCACTCCACCAATCAGGCCATTATGGTAGAGTGGCCAGACGGAAGCCTCTCCACTGTAAAAGGCACATGACAGCCCACATGGAGTTTGCCAAAAGGCACCTAAAGGACTCTTAGACCATGAGAAACAAGATTCTCTGGTCTGATGAAACCAAGATTGAACTCTTTGGCCTGAATGCCAAGCGTCACGTCTGGAGGAAACCTGGCACGGTGAAGGATGGTGGTGGCAGCATCATGCTGTGGGGATGTTTTTCAGCGGCAGGGACTGGGAGACTAGTCAGGATCGAGGGAAAGATGAATGGAGCGAAGTACAGAGAGATCCTCGATGAAAACCTGCTCCAGAGTGCTCAGGACCTCAGACTGGGGCGACGGTTCACCTTCCAACAGGACAACAACCCTAAGGACACAGGCAAAACATCGCAGGAGTGGCTTCAGGACAAGTCTCTGAATGTCCTGGAGTGGCCCAGCCAGAACCCGGACCTGAACCCGATTGAACATCTCTGGAAAGACCTGAAAATAGCTGTGCAGCGACACTCCCCATCCAACCTGACAGAGCTTGAGAGGATCTGCAGAGAAGAATGGGAGAAACTCCACAAATGAAGGTGTGCCAAGCTTGTAGCGTCATACCCAAGAAGACTCGAGGCTGTAATCGCTGCCAAAGGTGCTTCAACAAAGTACTGAGTAAAGGGTCTGAATACTTATGTAAATGTAATATTTGCTAAAATTGATAAAAACCTGTTTTTGCTTTGGCATTATGGGGTGTTGTGTGTAGATTGATGAGGGGAAAAAACGATTTAATCAATTTTTGAATTAGGCTGTAACATAATGTGGAAAATGTCAAGGGGTCTGAATACTTTCCGAATGCACTGTATATAGTGGAGAGACTTACCTCTTCCTCTGCCTCTCCCCCTGTGGCCTCGCTCTGTGCCCCTGCCTGCTATCCCAGCAGCCTTTCCTCCATCCAGACCATTCTCCTGTCCACGGACTGAGAGGAGGGAACGTGCATTAGAGGTAGTGAGGGAAAACAGATGCATGTGGAGTCAAGAAATGTAGGCCAAGAAATTAGGTTTGACAAGGGCAGGAGCTACAAAGGGTCTACACTGGTGTGCCAGTGTCACTTCCCATGACCCTAATGCAAAGGCATGTGATCTCTACTCACACTCTCGTCCCCTGCTGGCCCCTCGGCCCCTGCGTGGGGCCCCACCTCGACGACGTGCCACGTCCCTCTCTGTTCCCCTCTCCCTGTTCTCCTTTCCTTCCTCTCCGGTCTCGGCCTGGCCAAGCTCCTTCTGACCAGACACTCCTTTCTTCTTCCCCACCATCTCCCAAGAATCCTGAGAAGACAGGTGAGGTGACCGAGAGGGTTCAGTTTGATTATGTTATGTCTCCCACTGACATGAATGCATGACTAAATTAAAATTAGACTTAAGTGGAAGTTAGGATTCGCCCTGTAGTGAGCTAGATGGGTAACCGTGTTTACTCCCTCCCTTTGGCCCAACTACTAAGCCTTGACACAGGAAAAACTCACAGTATCTGGGCTACCCTCCAGCAACACGTTGATGGCTCTGTTGACATCTCCATTGCAGTCGTGCAGCGCGATCATGGACTCATCCTGGTCCTTGCCTGTGATGTCAATCAGCTGGACGGGGGAAACGGATGAAAATCTTCAGTGAGTATATTGCAATGTAACCCTTTACACTCGTACCGATATACGGGTTGAAAATGGCAGATTTGGGCACTGATAAGCACCTAAATTGGAACGCAGTGGCTGTACAGTAACATGCTATAAATTACGTCAGAGCTCAGGCTCTATGCTTCACAGTGCTATATGGATTTTGACTGACAGAAGTTCTGAACTTGAACAAAATAATAATAATAATAATAATAATAATATGCCATTTAGCAGACGCTTTTATCCAAAGCGACTTACAGTCATGCGTGCATACATTTTTGTGTATGGGTGGTCCCGGGGATCGAACCCACTACCTTGGCGTTACAAGCGCCGTGCTCTACCAGCTGAGCTACAGAGCAACACATGCGACAAGAAGTTGCCCACATCCCTCCTGCTAATTGGGTAACATTTGCACTTTTTTGTTGTCCCAATGAGGGAAGTGCTGTAAATTAAGAGGACTCTATGTATTTTGAGAGACAATACTATTATAACAAATACCACTTTGATGTAATACAAACAAGCCAAACACCCGTCCAAATGTGCACTTCACATTTCCATATCATTAAACTCATGCCATACACATTGTCAACATTTATCATTACTATGTCTGATGTACAGTTACAAGATGACATGGCATCATACCCTGGGTTGTTCTGAATAGAATGAGCCTGTTTGTCTATTGTGAAGAAAAAAATGCCACGGAACGCACACCTGAATGCACTCATGACTCCTATGCGCACCAAAATTACAATCAGTATCTCTGAATTGCTTTGTGAAAGCCTAACACTGTAAGACTGTATTTTATAACTTAGTCATATTGGCAACAGAACAAGCTTTCAACAGAACATGCCCACCTGACCCGATTTAAAATCGTCCGTTTTTGGATTGAGTAAAAAGTAATAGGTGTGATTGCAGGGATGTAGGGTTGTGTTCCAAACAAAACTACAAGTGTGCTTGCTCTAGTTCCTCACCCGCACAGCTAGGACAGCTCAAAAAAAGCACCTTACAGTTGAAGACTCTTCTTTGAGTAATAAAAGTACATTGAAATTACTTAGGAAATGTGCACACTTTGGAGAGGTGTGGCACCACTTGGAGACACCAGTTAGTTCTCTGTCAAACCCTTGTCATTTTTTGGTCTTATGTTGCACCTTGCCCACATTTTCCAGGAATATTGTTATGTTACTGAACAAATCGAGTATTTTCACATTTCGTTAAACAAATGCGGCTAAAGTACAATAAATGTAAAATCCACATAACAGTACACTGTGCTCCTGAGTGGCGCAGTGCCTTAACGATGCAGTGCCACTGCGATGCAGTGCCTTAACTGTGCCACTAGAGATCCTGGTTCGAATCCAGGCTCTGTCGCAGCCGGCCGCGACCGGGAGACTCATGGGCGGCGCACAATTGGCCCAGCGTCGTCCAGGGTAGGGGAGGGAATGGCCGGCAGGGATGTAGCTCAGTTGATAGAGCATGGCGTTTGCAACGCCAGGGTTGTGGGTTCGATTCCCACGGGGGGCCAGTATAAAAAAAAAAAAATGTATTTACTAACTGTAAGTCGCTCTGGATGAGAGCGTCTGCTAAATGACTAGAAATGTAAATACAACGTTTGGATTCAGTCTTGTGTCAGGTGAACCTGTTGTGTCCTCAACTTGTCTAATAATTTCCCATAATCTCCTAATTGTTCCGTTTCAATTGCTACCATGCTTATGCATTTCATATTTATTCTGTAAGAAATATTTCAATATAGCCCTATCCACATAGGCCAATTCCCCAGAGTGTTAAGGAACGCTTCTTTGATGCATTTATACTTCAAGCAGTGAAGTAAAGCTAAGCTCTAGTTAGCAGACCAGAGCAAAAGAGGCTAAAGGTGGTTTGACGCTACAAGTGAGGACACTACAGGGTTTCCGTTAGCTGGCATTTGGCTGCTTTTGGCCAATAAATTAAAGGTCGATAAATAAAACAGTTGGCGGCCAAAATGTCTGCGAGAAAAAATAAATCGCAATGCTTTATTCATTGATGGAAATACCAGTCGATGGAAATACATTTGACCATCATGCTTATAGGTCTATAGGTTCATTTGCATAATTTAGTGGAATCAAAAATTGTCCTGTGTATTTTCGTTAGTCATCATGCATCTTATTTATCCAACAACTATCATACGCAAACAGAGCCTATTTTGAGCAGGATTTCTTCAGCTGGTTGCTGCTAGCGTAAAACATGCGCTTTTATAAGCATATTGACAATTCAAGTGCAGGCAACAGGCTATCAGCTCATCACCCACCACTTTACAATGTGAGCTGGAGGCAGTATGCATTTTGAAAACACTTAAATTGTTTGAAACCTGAATGTTTTATTTCATATTATGAGGTATGTCTTCCCTTGCTTCAAAGTACCCTATAGGTAAAATCCAACCATGGAAATGTGGAGGCAATTCTTTTATAAAGACTTCATAGGCGCGCGTGAGTTTCAAGTTTGGGGAAGCTCACAATTGCCAGTTATGATTTTCATATGTACATTTTCATTTCAATAATATTGTTTTTGTTTCTCAAAAGTATTGTCATGTGGTTAATCATAAAAATCTGAATCAAAATGATACAAATCTAAAAGTCAACTAATGCGAGATCACCAGCTTCTGCCATATGGACACATTGAGTCCCTGTGATCCATTGGCGGCTAAAGATAAGAGAGAATGGAAATGCAGCAGTAGGCTTCCATTGCTCTTTCACACCGATTGGTGATTATCGAGGGGGAGATTGTTGTAAAGATTATTCAAATAGCTTACTGTGAGGAACTATAGTTTTAATATATCATTCGCAATGCATGTATAAAAATAAAAAAAATAAAACATTCCCTACATTTCCGTGCAGCAGGCCAGGTACTTCTATGCGTGTTCAGGCGCATTTTTTTTTTTTTACAAATCTCGTAGATGAGGGTTATGAAATAAACCAAAACTGGTTTATCACAAGTGTAGCAGGTTGTGAATACTGCAAACAACGTTTCCCCTCAGAATGAGAACGGTAATTGGCTAACATGCATTACGAGAAATTAATGTAACCAAATTACGGGGATTAACGGTACATTTACTCCTGGTGACATATGTAATGGGGAATTGATCAAAACAAAAATCAAGGGCAAACAATTCGCACAATGAAACAATGAAAGCGCAAGAATTGGCGGGAGCTGAGCAATTCTGCCACACACCACTCCCCTTCTTGTCTCAACATTTTAAATTATACTCAAGAGATTATCTTCACACATGTTTTAGATGCTTTTTACTGACATTCGCAACTCAATGAGCTAGGCCTATTGCCACGTGCGCTGCCCAAATTGAGGGCTTAACAAACAGGCATAGGCCCACGAGCTTGTGACTTTAAACAATCCACAGCTATTTTTTTAAAGACGCTAATGATACTCGATTCCTCTTTGGCTAAGACATACTTTCTGGTGAAGTATTCTGAATGACTTATTTCTGTATAGACAGGAGTAATTATATAACATTGGCAAATGTATTTCTATTTAGTTCCCTATTGGACCCATAACTATGCCATCTCTCATGTTCTACTGGTTCTTATCAACTTTTTCATTGTCTAGAAGCCAAAGGCACAAGCCTAGTCATATTAGCAACCCATCCTAGCTGTTGCATCTTTAGATTCCCCCTCTAAGTTTCTAACAGAGATTTTCATCTGTCACATATGGAACCGCTATCAGGTGCGCTGTTTAGAATGGTGTTTTCCCAGGTGCGCTCTTCTCTACCGCAAATTGGACTTTGGCAAATGTTTGAAAGTTACGTTTTATTGGCTGCTTCATTACATGAGTTGCATGTTCTGTTAAGATGCATTACCATAATCTAAATGTGATTTATCATTCTGAGCACAGTGGGCGGACGCCTTAATGGGTATGCACCAAATGCATATGGGTCAAGTACATTTCTCAAATGGTTGGTAAATTAAAATCTTCCCGGACACGTTGTCTGGCGCCACATTTTCCTCAAATGGAAACCCTCAGACAATACTAGATCTCTTTGAAATGTACACCAATGTAACGGACCTCCCTTCAGGCAGCAAAAGAGGTCTAAAAGTGCAGTGGGATGCTACATGTGATGAAGGGCGAGCCATGTTCTCACCTGCTTGACTTTCTCCTCAAAGTCAGCATCATTGTGGTCCGAAATCATCTGCGCGAGTCGGATCTGCTCAGCAGTGGCCTGTGTGGAAAAAGGGTGGAACATCAACTTCTGAGTCACCAAAGTCGTTTAAAAGTGGCTCTTCTGTAAATCTCAATGACAGTCTTATCCACCCATTAAGTATTGATTCGGTACCACCTTTAGCTTTTCACTATCAAACAAACAATAACGGTTCTATTCAATCCGTATCGCGGTAGTTTAGAGTTACCGTGTGAGTGAAATTTAAAGGCAATATTCCTGCGTTAGCGGAGACCGCATTCACGGTAAACGCTGCATGACTGCTTAATCAGAAATGACCTTTACATTTCTAACGCACAATCTAACGTTCAGCGACACAGATTGGATAGAGCCCCAAGTCATACAATTCCACAAGTGGGTGATCCTGACAACATAAAATCGTACAGAACTCTGCCGCCCTGTCAGTCACAAACCTAGTGATGACAGCAAAACACTGCTGGTTTACAAATGTATTCTAAATAAAAAACAGAAATACTTGCATAAGTACTCAGACCCTTTGCTATGAGACTCGAAATTGAGCTCATGTGCATCCTGTTTCCATTGATAATTCTTGAGATGTTTCTACAACTTGGAGTCCACCTGTGGTATATTCAATTGATTGGACATGATTTGGAAAGGCACACACCTGTCTATAAGGTCCCACAGTTGACAGAGCATGTCAGAGCAAAAACCATGCCATGAGGTTGAAGGAATTGTCTGTAGAACTCCAAGACATGATTGTGTCGAGGCACAGATCTGGGGAAGGGTACCAAAAAAAATTCTGCAGCATTGAAGGTCCCCAAGAACAACGTGGCCTCCATCATTCTTAAATGGAAGCAGTTTGAAACCACCAAGACTCTTCCTAGAGCTTGCCACCTGGCCAATCCGGGGAGAAGGGCCTTGGTCAGGAAGGTGACCAAGAACCCGATGGATACTCTGACAGAGTTCCTCTGTGGAGATGGGAGAACATTCCAGAAGGACAACCATCTCTGCAGCACTCCACCAATCAAGGTAGTAGCCAGACGGAAGCCACTCCTCAGTAAAAGGCATGACAGCCCGCTTGGAGTTTGCCAAAAGGCACCTAAAGGACTCTCACTCTTGTAGCGTCATACCCAAGAAGACTACAGGCTGTAATCGCTGCCAAAGGTGCTTCAACAAAGTACTGAGTAAAGGGTCTGAATAATTATGTAAATGTCAGTTTTTTATTTTTAATATATTTGCAAACATTTTTAAAACCCAGTTTTTGCCTTGTCATAATGGGCTATTGTGTGTAGATTGATTTGAAAAAACAACTATTTAGTCCATTTTTAAATAAGGCTGTAACGTAACAAAATGTGGAAAAGGTCAAGGGGTCTGAATACTTTCCGAATGCCTTAAAATGTGTGCGAACTGAAAAAGTATGAGCAAGTATGAGTGTTATGATTTCTAGCCAAAACAAATTTCTGCCGTAGCTATTTAGAATATTTGTGCCGTTTTTTTTCATAGCTGGTAGCTAATCACACAAAGAACCATTTATTTCTGTGCAAAGAACTAGAGTCCTATATATACACACACACACCAACTCGCATGCAGCAACAGTGAAGTGCTGAAAGATTCATTTTTAGAAGTGCACAGGCATAGAAGTTGGTCGAATTTACCCAAAAGTCTACTAAAGTGTGACTGTCCTTGTTAGTTTGAGCTTGCTCAACCGCTACTAGCAAAAGGGATGTAAGAGACTCATCTCTGTCAGACATGTCTAAGACGGTGCCAAAAGACATGACATGTCAGCTCTGGTTCTAGCTCCTAAGCAACTTCGCAGTATTTTTTGTGTTATTTCTTACATTATTAACCCAGAACGTTTGTGTCATTACATACAGCATGAAATAACTACTGGATATCAGAGAGCCGGTAAATCGCCAGCATTCAGACCAGAGATACTACTTTCCAGAATTGGATCCTTTGTTCATACACCCCAAGGTAATTTAACTTATCCCAGAGGTATTCGGAGTGGACTTCTAGTCCGAATCTGGAGGAGTGCACACCATCCACCGCTTCAAAGTACACTGCTCAAAAAAAATGAAGGGAACACTTAAACACAATGTAACTCCAAGTCAATCACACTTGTGTGAAATCAAACTGTCCACTTAGGAAGCAACACTGATTGACAATACATTTCACATGCTGTTGTGCAAATGGAATAGACAACAGGTGGAAAATATAGGCAATTAGCAAGACACCCCCAATAAAGGACTGGTTTTGCAGGTGGTGACCACAGACCACTTCTCAGTTCCTATGCTTCCTGGCTGATGTTTTGGTCACTTTTGAATGCTGGCGGTGCTTTCACTCTAGTGGTAGCATGAGACGGAGTCTACAACCCACACAAGTGGCTCAGGTAGTGCAGCTCATCCAGGATGGCACATCAATGCGAGCTGTGGCAAGAAGGTTTGCTGTGTCTGTCAGCGTAGTGTCCAGAGCATGGAGGCGCTACCAGGAGACAGGCCAGTACATCAGGAGACGTGGAGGAGGCCGTAGGAGGGCAACAACCCAGCAGCAGGACCGCTACCTCCGCCTTTGTGCAAGGAGGAGCAGGAGGAGCACTGCCAGAGCCCTGCAAAATGACCTCCAGCAGGCCACAAATGTGCATGTGTCTGCTCAAACGGTCAGAAACAGACTCCATGAGGGTGGTATGAGGGCCCGACGTCCACAGGTGGGGGTTGTGCTTACAGCCCAACACCGTGCAGGACGTTTGGCATTTGCCAGAGAACACCAAGATTGGCAAATTCGCCACTGGCGCCCTGTGCTCTTCACAGATGAAAGCAGGTTCACACTGAGCACGTGACAGACGTGACAGTCTGGAGACGCCGTGGAGAACGTTCTGCTGCCTGCAACATCCTCCAGCATGACCGGTTTGGCGGTGGGTCAGTAATGGTGTGGGGTGGCATTTCTTTGGGGGGCAGCACAGCCCTCCATGTGCTCGCCAGAGGTAGCCTGACTGCCATTAGGTACCGAGATGAGATCCTCAGACCCCTTGTGAGACCATATGCTGGTGCGGTTGGCCCTGGGTTCCTCCTAATGCAAGACAATGCTAGACCTCATGTGGCTGGAGTGTGTCAGCAGTTCCTGCAAGAGGAAGGCATTGATGCTATGGACTGGCCCGCCCGTTCCCCAGACCTGAATCCAATTGAGCACATCTGGGACATCATGTCTCGCTCCATCCACCAACGCCAAGTTGCACCACAGACTGTCCAGGAGTCGGCGGACGCTTTAGTCCAGGTCTGGGAGGAGATCCCTCAGGAGACCATCCGTCACCTCATCAGGAGCTTGCCCAGGCGTTGTAGTGAGGTCATACAGGCACGTGGAGGCCACACACACTACTGAGCCTCATTTTGACTTGTTTTAAGGACATTACATCAAAGTTGGATCAGCCTGTAGTGTGGTTTTCCACTTTAATTTTGAGGGTGACTCCAAATCCAGACCTCCATGGGTTGATACATTTTATTTCCATTGATTCATTTGTGTGATTTTGTTGTCAGCACATTCAACTATGTAAAGAAGAAAGTATTTAATAAGATTATTTCATCCATTCAGATCTAGGATGTGTTATTTTAGTGTTCCCTTTATTTTTTTGAGCAGTGTATATTACTCACTAAATGTTCAGCCCCTGGACAATAAAGTAGATGAGCTCAGGGTGAGAATCTCCTTCCAGAGAGATCTATAATGGCGCCGTAGGAGATGGCTGCCGTTTTACGGGCTCCTAACCAATTGTGCTATCATGTGTGTTTCTTAGCGTTATTTGTAACTTATTTAAACGACAATATTTTTTATTTGGAATTTGGGAGAATTGTTGTCAGTAGTTTCTAGAATAAAAAAAAAAAGTACAATTTTACCCAAACACATACAGTGGGGAAAAAAAGTATTTAGTCAGCCACCAATTGTGCAAGTTCTCCCACTTAAAAAGATGAGAGGCCTGTAATTTTCATCATAGGTATACGTCAACTATGACAGACAAAATGAGGGAAAAAAATCTGAAAATCACATTGTAGGATTTTTTATGAATTTATTTGCAAATTATGGTGGAAAATAAGTATTTGGTCATCTACAAACAAGCAAGATTTCTGGCTCTCACAGACCTGTAACTTCTTCTTTAAGAGGTTCCTCTGTCCTCCACTCGTTACCTGTATTAATGGCACCTGTTTGAACTTGTTATCAGTATAAAAGACACCTGTCCACAACCTCAAACAGTCACACTCCAAACTCCACTATGGCCAAGACCAAAGAGCTGTCAAAGGACACCAGAAACAAAATTGTAGACCTGCACCAGGCTTGGAAGACTGAATCTGCAATAGGTAAGCAGCTTGGTTTGAAGAAATCAACTGTGGGAGCAATTATTAGGAAATGGAAGACATACAAGACCACTGATAATCTCCCTCGATCTGGGGCTCCACGCAAGATCTCACCCCGTGGGGTCAAAATGGTCACAAGAACGGTGAGCAAAAATCCCAGAACCACACGGGGGGACCTAGTGAATGACCTGCAGAGAGCTGGGACCAAAGTAACAAAGCCTACCATCAGTAACACACTACGCCGCCAGGGACTCAAATCCTGCAGTGCCAGACGTCTCCCCCTGCTTAAGCCAATACATGTCCAGGCCCGTCTGAAGTTTGCTAGAGTGCATTTGGATGATCCAGAAGAGGATTGGGAGAATGTCATATGGTCAGATGAAACCAACATAACTTTTTGGTAAAAACTCAACTTGTTGTGTTTGGAGGACAAAGAATGCTGAGTTGCATCCAAAGAACACCATACCTACTGTGAAGCATGGGGGTGGAAACATCATGCTTTGGGGCTGTTTTTCTGCAAAGGGACCAGGACGACTGATCCGTGTAAAGGAAAGAATGAATGGGGCCATGTATCGTGAGATTTTGAGTGAAAACCTCCTTCCATCAGCAAGGGCATTGAAGATGAAACGTGGCTGGGTCTTTCAGCATGACAATGATCCCAAACACACCTCCCGGGCAACGAAGGAGTGGCTTCGTAAGAAGCATTTCAAGATCCTGGAGTGGCCTAGCCAGTCTCCAGATCTCAACCCCATAGAAAATCTTTGGAGGGAGTTGAAAGTCCGTGTTGCCCAGCGACAGCCCCAAAACATCACTGCTCTAGAGGAGATCTGCATGGAGGAATGGGCCAAAATACCAGCAACAGTGTGTGATGACTTGTGTCATTGCCAACAAAGGGTATATAACAAAGTATTTCTTTCATTTTGTCTGTCAAAGTTGACGTGTACCTATGATGAAAATTACAGGCCTCTCATCTTTTTAAGTGGGAGAACTTGCACAATTGGTGGCTAACTAAATACTTTTTTTCCCCACTGTACCTATAAATAGTAAAATCAGAGAAACTGATAATTGTGCAGTGGTCTCTTAATTTTTTCCAGAGCTGTGTATATATATATATATATATCTCACACACACAGTATTCTAGTCAAAGCCACTCCGACATTGCTCGTCCTAATATTTATATATTTCTTAATTCCAGTCTTTTACTTTGAGGTGTGCATTGTTGGGAATTGTTAGATATTACTGCACTGTTGGAGCTAGGGACACAAGCATTTCCCTACACCCGCAATAACATCTGCTAAATATGTGTATGTGACCAATACAATTTGATTTAACATGTGTCTCACTCAAGGCAGTCAAATATGAGGGTACATTGCACTTTATTGAACACCCCCAAAACAAATTTAACTTTGTAATTTCTTAATATATATATTTTTTTTAAAAAGTCTGCTCCTAAATGTGCTCGTTGTAAAAAAAATAAAAAAAGGTCAGCGGATAGCCCCGAATTTGCATGTCCCATGTAATGTAGCCTTAGTGGTAACAATGAGTCAAAAATCCACTGAGATGCTGACCCCACCGCTCGCGTTACGTTCGCGTGCGTTGCAAAATAAAATGTACACATACATGTTATTCAATAATTTCATCCAAACTGCTCTTGAGCGTCTGCGTAGCCAGGATCTAAAATAGAACTCTGTTCTATTTTTGACACTTGTTGCGCTGCAAGTTCCGCCTCTCCCATCTCGTCATTGGTTTTTAGGAGCATATATCCCAGCTTCCAATTGGCTCATTCATCCCCTCTCCTCCCACTTTAACTATTCCCCAGGTCATTGTTGTAAAAGAGAACATGTTCTCAGTCATCTTACCTGGTAAAATATGGGTCAATAAAATGTTATTTTACACTGAACAAAAATAAAACGCAACATGCTACAATTTCAAAGGTTTTACTGTGTTACAGTTCATATAAGGAAATCAGTCAATTGAAATAAATCAATTAGGCCTTAATCTATTGATTTCACATGACTGGGAATGAAGATATGCATATGTTGGTCACAGATACCTAAAAAATAAAAGGTAGGGGCATGGATCAGAAAACCGGTCAGTATCTGGTGTGACCATCATGCAGCGCAACATCTCCTTTGCATAAAGTTGATCTGGCTGTTGATTGTGGCCTGTGGAATATTGCCCCACTCCTCTTCAATGGTTGTGCGAAGTTGCTGGATATAGGCTGGAACTGGAACACACTGTCGTACACGTCAATCCAGAGCCTCCCAAACATGCTCAATGGGTGACGCGTCTGGTGAGTATGCAGTCCATGTAAGAACTTTGACATTTTCAGCTTCCAGGAATTTTGTACAGATCCTTGCAAAATGGGCCGTGCATTATCATGCTGAAACATGAGGTGATGGCGGCGGATGAATGACACAACAATGGGCCTCAGGATCTCGTCACGGTATCTCTATGCATTCAAATTGAAATAGATGAAATGCAATTGTGTTCGTTGTCCGTAGCCATTGTGTTCGTTGTTCGCCTGCCCATACCATAACCCCGCCACCACCATGGGGCACTCTGTTCACAACGTTGACATCAGGAAACCGCTTGCCCACACAACGCCATACACGCTGTGTGCCATCTGCCCAGTACAGTTGAAACCGGGATTAAATCCATGAAGAGCACACTTCTCCAGTGTGCCAGTGGCCATCGAAGGTATTTGCCCACTGAAAAAGGTTACGACGCCGAACTGCAGTCAGGTCAAGACCCTGATGAGAACGATGAGCACGCAGATAAGCTTCCCCGAGACGGTTTCTGACAGTTTGTGCAGAAATTATCATCTTGTGCAAACCTACAGTTTCATCATCTGTCCAGCTGGCTGGTCTCAGACGATCCCGCAGGTGAAGAAGCCAGATGTAAAGGTCCTGGGCTGGCGTGGGTATATATGTGGTCTGCGGTTGTGAGGCCGGTTGGATGTACTGCCAAATTCTCTTAAACGACGTTCTAGGCGGCTTATGGTAGAGAAATTAACATTACATTCTCTGGCAACAACTCTGGTGGACATTCCTGCGGTCAGCATGCCAATTGCACACTCCCTCAAAACTTGAGACAGCTGTGGCATTGTGTTGTGTGACAAAACTGCACATTGTAGAGTGGCCTTTTATTGTCCCCAGCACCTGTGTAATGATCATGCGGTTTATTCAGCTTCTTGATATGAAGCTGTCATGTGGATGGATTATTTTGACAAAGGAAAAATGCTCACTAACAGGTATGTAAACAAATTAGAGAAATAAGCTTTTTGTGAGTATGGAACATTTCTGGGATATTTTATTTTAGCTCATGAAACACTTTACATGTTGTGTTTTTCGTTTTTGTTCAGTATACTGATCATATAGGCCTAGGCGATATCCAAAACTACTAACAAAACAATGAATTCATACATTTTCAGTAATAAAAAAGTGTAAAGTCATGTCCTTCTACACACAATATCACAACACATTTATCAAATTTACCTCCCAGATTTAAAAAAGTATTCAATAATTTTGCTGTGTATTTCAGATGGAACCAAGGCATAGAATGTACCAGAGGCCACCAAAATATAGGTCGGGCGGCAAAATAAATGTTTAACCGAGGGGAGGCCTGGCTGGCTACTTTTTCTATTTGGCTGGCTACTCCAGGTACCTGTGGAAAACACTGAGAACTACTTCCAACTAAGGCGTTGCACCATGAAAATTAAAGCATCTGCTGTTGGGTCAGTGGGTGCACCCGAAATGGCACCCTATTCCCTAAAATGGTGCACTACTTTTGACTAGGGCTGTATTGCAATGTTTTTTCCATGGCAAAAATGAAAACACGAAGCAGACCAGTCTCTTTGGTCCTTTAAAAACATGCTGTATGTAAAATATTGTGTGCTATTGATTGGATGACAAGATGTTTGTTTCCAACTTTAGGGCTGTTTTCCTAAAGAAGTTAAATCTGCTTCGTGTTGGGTTTCCTTGCATGATACTAATGTGTATCGCAATACTGGTTTCGTCCCGGCCCTACTTTTGACCACAGGGCTCTGGTCAAAAGTAGTGCACTACAGGAAATAGGGTGCCATGTGGGACACACGCAAATGTAAAACCTTCCAGAACCACTTCCAAGTTGTTTCACCATGAAAACCAATGCATCAGCTGTTGAGTCAGTGTGTGTGGTGACTAAGTGCATGACATCCTGTGTGAGCAGCAGGGTACCAACCTGAGGCCTCTGCTTGTGCTGTGTCTGGCTCTGTGTCTGGCCTGTCTGCGTCTGCTGCTCCCAGCTACCTCGGGCTCGGTTTCCGCCCACCGACGTCATCATTTACAGTATATACAAATAACAGTATTTACAAAGGAATAACACCTGCAAAAGAAAAGTGCGAGAGTGAGGTTCTGTGGCAATAGAAGGGGGTCCATGGTCCCCCCAGTTAACATATATGTAGGACTAAGAAGCTCAGTTCTGGTGACTTTTTAAAAAGACATTCTACTCCAAAATGAATTAAAATAAAATGATGCTGACGCCATCTAAAACATGATTTCCATCTCCAGAAATGAGCCCAATAAGATTGGTAAAATTATCTTAATATATTGGACCATGCATATACAGTGGGGAGAACAAGTATTTGATACACTGCCGATTTTGCAGGTTTTCCTACTTACAAAGCATGTAGAGGTCTGTAATTTTTATCATAGGTACACTTCAACTGTGAGAGACGGAATCAAAATCAAAAATCCAGAAAATCACATTGTATGATTTTTAAGTAATTAATTTGCATTTTATTGCATGACATAAGTATTTGATCACCTACCAACCAGTAAGAATTCCAGCTCTCACAGACCTGTTAGTTTTTCTTTAAGAAGCCCTCCTGTTCTCCACTCATTACCTGTATTAACTGCACCTGTTTGAACTCGTTACCTGTATAAAAGACACCTGTCCACACACTCAATCAAACAGACTCCAACCTCTCCACAATGGCCAAGACCAGAGAGCTGTGTAAGGACATCAGGGATAAAATTGTTGACCTGCACAAGGCTGGGATGGGCTACAGGACAATAGGCAAGCAGCTTGGTGAGAAGGCAACAACTGTTGGCGCAATTATTAGAAAATGGAAGAAGTTCAAGATGACGGTCAATCACCCTCGGTCTTGGGCTCCATGCAAGATCTCACCTCGTGGGGCATCAATGATCATGAGGAAGGTGAGGGATCAGCCCAGAACTACACTGCAGGACCTGGTCAATGACCTGAAGAGAGCTGGGACCACAGTCTCAAAGAAAACCATTAGTAACACACTACGCCGTCATGGATTAAAATCCTGCAGCGCACGCAAGGTCCCCCTGCTCAAGCCAGCGCATGTCCAGGCCCGTCTGAAGTTTGCCAATGACCATCTGGATGATCCAGAGGAGGAATGGGACAAGGTCATGTGGTCTGATGAGACAAAAATAGAGCTTTTTGGTCTAAACTCCGCTCGCCGTGTTTGGAGGAAGAAGAAGGATGAGTACAACCCCAAGAACACCATCCCAACCGTGAAGCATGGAGGTGGAAACATCATTCTTTGGGGATGCTTTTCTGCCAAGGGGACAGGACGACTGCACCGTATTGAGGGGAGGATGGATGGGGCCAGGTATCGCAAGATCTTGGCCAACAACCTCCTTCCCTCAGTAAGAGCATTGAAGATGGGTCGTGGCTGGGTCTTCCAGCATGACAACGACCCGAAACACACAGCCAGGGCAACTAAGGAGTGGCTCCGTAAGAAGCATCTCAAGGTCCTGGAGTGGCCTAGCCAGTCTCCAGACCTGAACCCAATAGAAAATCTTTGGAGGGAGCTGAAAGTCCGTATTGCCCAGCGACAGCCCCGAAACCTGAAGGATCTGGAGAAGGTCTGTATGGAGGAGTGGGCCAAAATCCCTGCTGCAGTGTGTGCAAACCTGGTCAAGACCTACAGGAAACGTATGATCTCTGTAATTGCAAACAAAGGTTTCTGTACCAAATATTAAGTTCTGCTTTTCTGATGTATCAAATACTTATGTCATGCAATAAAATGCAAATTAATTACTTAAAAATCATACAATGTGATTTTCTAGATTTTTGTTTTAGATTCCGTCACTCACAGTTGAAGTGTACCTATGATAAAAATTACAGACCTCTACATGCTTTGTAAGTAGGAAAACCTGCAAAATCGGCAGTGTATCAAATACTTGTTCTCCCCACTGTAGCTTATATTATCAGGTATGCCATTAGCAATAAACATTATCACATGTAGTCAAAATGATGCAGCATAGTGGCTATAAATAAATAGGCTGAAGCATGGGGTTGCCTATCTGCATTTACCCTATTGGGCTAATCATTAGCTAGATCCCAAAAGTACATATTTTAACTAGTCAGCATCCTATTGATTAATTGTATGTCCCAAAAAACTTGCATAAACAGTGAATATAATGTAAGCCTAACTCTTAGGGTAACTTGGGGTAATCAACCACACAGGGTAACACACATCCTGCCTGTACTTCTCACAGAAACCACTTAATGTCAACCCCCCCCCCCCCCCCCCAAAAAAAAAGTTCCCTGGTTGCCACTAAAAATGTAATTAGTCTCATCACAATAAGTCACTCCACACTCAATTTAAGTCACCTTTCAGGTAGGGTGGCGTTTCACCCCAAGTTACCCTACAATTTACCCGTGTTGCATTTAGCCCCACTCTCCCCTATGCACTCACAGCTACTTGCAGAGTGGTAAGGTGCTTAAAACTCCGGTTTTAAAATTGTGCAGTTTACGCATATTTAGGAGTTGAGAAATAAATAAAGTAGGAAAATAAAACTAGGATTGCCCTCTTTTTAACAAAGGCCATTAAAACTGTCGTTTTCCCCACGCTTGCAAGAATTGTTGTGCATTGACTGCTTGTCAGAATGCAGGTTTCCCTCCCTTTGGCACTCATATGCGCCTCGAGAGGAATATTTATCTCGCACTGAACACACAAGCAGATTAGGTAAATAGATTAACTATTTGACTATGGGGTTGTCTGATTTTTCTGTTCATAACTCGTTTTGTTTGTAGAGAAAAAGTAAATGTGGACTGTTCTAGCATCTTCAGTGCGCCTTAACCAAAATATTTTATATTTCTTTGGCGTGGCGGCTATGATTTTTCTGTGGCGCAGAGCCACACTTAAATGACTGCAGCGTAAACACTTGTAAGACCAGGGTTACTTATGAAAATCTTTGGTAAGACTGCTTATGGCAGTATTGCAGTTCTTGAGAATCAGTGGCTTAATTAACCTATTAATGAATGTGCCCTGGTACTAATTTGAAATAACAATTCTGATTTTCAATAGCAATTGTTAATGCTCATCTTTTACACGATGGTTGGGGAGCAAATAGACTAGCTAGCTAGCTAATCAGTATCCAAAAAAAACACAGGATTTAACCCGGGAACTAGGATAATGCATAGCTAATAATTTAGTAAAGGCCCTGGACCCAGTTTCCCAAAAATGTCTTAAGGCTAAGTTCCTCGTTAAAACCTTCGTAGGAGCATCATTAAATATCTGAGCGTTTTCCCAAAACCAACGTTATTAACGTTGCACTTGAAAACACTGAATCTAACTCCTGCCTCAGACCACTCGTAGAACAGCTAAGTGGATCGTCAGATGCTTTTCTGCCCTCCCGTGTCACTTAAGACACAGATGTCCGCTAAACACATGGTTGAGTCGTCTCTCTGTGACCGCCGATAACTTCAGAACAAAAGTTGACTACAGATACGAAGTTGCCATTGTCTTTGTAATTGATACAAACAAGCGACGTATAAAAATGCTTCAAAAGAAAACCAAGATGACTGCAATAAAATAAACAGTAGGATAGGTGTTCTCAATCACATTGAAACACATTTAACATTCAATTTGCTAAATGTAGGCTACCATCTATAATTTGTCAAAATATATTTAATGATGTGTAGCCTAACATGCACAATGTGCCAAATTGGTGATTTAGTGCATTTTTATTGGGTAAGCATTAGAATAAGCCGCCTCAATATTTGCAGCTGTAGGTGGTAATCTCTCTAGGCGCTGACCCGTCGTCAATATCATGAAATAATTATAAAGTTAAAGAAAATATTTGAATGGAGAAAGCTGATCTGAGCAACGCTCCCTTTCTTTCGATCCTATCAGTATCGCCATGCTCCAACGATGCACTTAGTGACCATTCTCTCTGCGTGGTGTTTTAGGAAACACATTACATCTGCGGCCGTTGTAGGAAAGATGCACCGTTAAAACACTCATAAACCTAAAATCCATCACTATGGGGAAACCAGGCCCTGGATATGTCGACCATTTATTGTCGAAGTTGACAGATGTTTAGGTGGCAGCTAGAAACCCCATCCAAAGGGTGGCAGCCACAAAGTCAGAATTAGCTATAATTGTAAAAAGTTCAGATTTTTTTGTTGTTGCTTTTTGGTCTTAATTTAACCTTTTAAATGTAACTACGTTCAAATGTAACTCGATCAAAACATCTGCCCCCACCACTGAACTTCACACAGAGCTCTAGCTTGGCTTCCTGAACTCGTTAGGAACTCAACTTTCATCTCCAATTAATCTTGTCCATCTATGACAAACATAAAGTGTTTTGTTTAAAATCTTTGAATGATTTTGGATTAATGACTATAAAAATCGATCTCTGAATGTGCTATAGTGATGAAACCACTCTCTCCTGCTGTGCTACGATGTAAGGATTACAGGCATGTGCATTGTCAGTGGCTGTGACGTAGTTTTATTTTCATGACAAATCAAAACTCATTCTCATTTTACATTTACATTTTAGTCATTTGGCAGACGCTCTTATCCAGAGCGACTTACAGTTAGTGAATAAATATATTTTTTATACTGGCCCCCCGTGGGAAACGAACCCACAACCCTGGCGTTGCAAACGCCATGCTCTATCAACTGAGCTACATCCCTGCCGGCCATTCCCTCCCCTACCCTGGACGACGCTGGGCCAATTGTGCGCCCCCATGAGTCTCCCGGTCGCGGCCGGCGGCGACAGAGCCTGGATTCGAACCAGGATCTCTAGTGGCACAGTTAGCACTGCGATGCAGTGCCTTAGACCACTGCGCCACTCTCATGGCTCTCTTGTCCCTCTGCTGCATATGGTGAGCAATATGTTTAGGACATCAAACAGCCATAAATATACACTGAACAAAAATATAAAACGCAACATGTAAAGTGTTGGTCCAATGTTTCCTATGCACAAAAAGCGTATCTCTCAAATGTTGTACACAAATGTTTACAACTCTTTTAGTGAGCATTTCTTCTTTGCCAAGATAATCCATCCACCTGA